CCTCATCTTCTCGTTGCCTGACCTGCTGCTCCCTGGCTCTGGCGTCGTCTTCACGGCGCCTGGCCTCAATCTCCTTGGTCCGGGCATCCTCCTCCTTCTTCCTGGCATCTTCTTCCTTCTTCCTGACATCCTCCTCCCTATGTCGGATATTGTCTTCCATCTTTTCAAGCTCCTCGACCTTGCGGCGAATGTCCTCGTGTCTCTCGGACGTCTCGATGCCGTACTCCGAGTCGCTGTCGAACCCATCTGTGTCACGGAAAGACCCATCCGACAACAACGGCGAAAGCGTAGACCCATCAACTGCTTGGCGATCGTACATGTCTTGTCTCGATCGCTGCGAGTGAAGGGAGCGCGATCCTGTGGAGTCTCTCCGGCCTTGCCTCGTACGCGTCACAGGACTGGCCTGAGACAACCGGTCATCATCGACCGTAAACGATCGCTTGCTGGCCAGCGACCTAATGGCTCCCGGAGCTAGATTGCTCTGCACACTCTGTGGGCCGTACATCCCCGGTGATACAGCGCTGTAATCGTACGTCCAAGAGCCCTTGTTCGCCGACTTCAATGGATGTCGCAAATTCTCTGGCGAGCCCTTATGCACAGACGAGGCACGAGAAGAGCCCCTGATGGGGATACCTCTCCGCTCGGTCGGCGATGGGGAATAGTCTACGCTGCCGCTCGGGAGCGTGGAGAATGGATACTGGCCGTCGGAGGTGACCTGCGGCCAGCCTGGAGAGGGGGCCGCCGAGGGACGGTCGTCGTTCCGCCTGCCAGTCAGATCTGCGGACGGTCGAGGGCGAATGAGTTGTGGCTGCGCCTCCCGCTGCTTCTCTCGCGCTCTGGCTGACGACGGCCAAGGCTCCTCCGGCATATCTCGCTCTCTCGTAGCATGAACTAGCGATGGGAAATCGGCATCAACCTGCACGACGTTGGATTGTACGCTTCCCGATAGCGACAGCCGCCCACCGCTGCTCGCAAAGCTATCGCGTCTGGCCGACGGCGCGACCATGGGCGAGTCTGTCGACGCATAGGCAAACGCGCGTGAGGCTGACTTCCCCTCTTCAGGCGTGTTTGGAGGTATCCATATCTCCTGCCCAAGGACTTGAGACATCGACGCCTTACTGGGTCGTCGGCTAACACCCTCCCGACCAAGCTCAGGCAACTCCGCATCCGAAGAGCCACCATGCATACCACTGAAGTAGGCAGATATACCGGACACGGACTGGGGCACTCCTCCCTTGATAGAGCCGCTCGGCGTAGCAGGCTGCCGACCGTATGATCTCCGCGACCGTTCAGGAGGAGGATGCTCTCCATCCTCTTTGGATCATCGTCAGCACTGCTACCGACATCCTTGTGAGAGCTAGCTCACCTGGACGCAATGGTCTCGTGCTCTGCTCTCCACGCTGGCCGTCCACCACGCTGGAAGCATCCGACGAACTGCGGAGACGGGGAGGCGACTGGCGGCGAGGTTGAGCAGCATGCTGCCGCTTGATGGCGTCAAGAATGGATTGCTGTTCCTCGATCAAGGACGCGGGGGGCGGTGCGCCCTCTGTCCATTCGCGTTCTGCCCTGACGCGCGCCACGATTTGCTGGTAATGTTCGTCTGCGATCCGCCGAATGGTCTTCATCGCGCCGTCGAACTCCTGCAGGATCTCAGCCCGTGCGGCGTCATCGAGGTCTCGCGCCTGCAACTTCGCATCTCTGTTCGCCTGCGCATCCTTCACAAGGGTCCTGAGGTTCTCCTGGATCTTCGCTCGCAGTGCTTCCTTGAAGTCGGGATCCAGGCCCTCGTGTGCAGAGAGAGGGTGAGGATTGTCTTGCTCCTCGATGCTTGACAGTGGTGTGGGTATCGCCAGCGTGGCCATTGGGTGGTGGGTGTCGGCAAAAGGAGGTCAGAAGAGCTATAGATGATGGTAACATGCAAAGACGGTAGACCGCGCAAGTGCGAGAACGGGAACAGGGCGTCAGCAACTAGGCCGCATGCCAGAGCGATAGAGATGGGTGAAGTGGGGGTGATGATACAAGTCCTGGGCGATCGTGCCTCATGTTCAACACACGTCCGGAGAGAAGCAGGTGAGTCGCCACATACCTGGCCGACCCGCGCTGCAGGTCAGTGCCGTTACGAGAGTGCAGTTACGCTGAAAGCAGAGAGAGCAGATACACGTCGAGGACGCTGTCCCCGATAGCGATGGGCGATCTTATGTGTATCGTCGAGGCCTGCGTGATGCTTTCGCTAGAAGGCTTTCCTCTGCCCTCCACGCGTTCTATGGGCGCTACCAGGCAGCATGCATCGGACCCTTCTACCCCGTATTCGGCAACTTCCACTGACGCTCTAGGCTTCGACTCCGACTATCGGCAACGAATTGATCTCTTCAAGATTCGTTCCAGTCGCGCACTCCTCAGAAAAAGCAACGATTGAGCCTTTTCATGCTGAAATTGGTCATTAATTTTTCGGTAGGTTGGTCAGTCTGTCATTCATCCCTGGGTGTGAGATTTAGGAGTTTATTTCATCGGATATCACGGTGGCGCTCATTCATCGCACCAACAGGTACCAGAACGCCCTATATGTCATTGCCAAACAGAAGGGTCTCTATGGATTGAAGAATTCTGGTGCTGCGAGAATTTCTGGCAGGACGTGCGTACACCATTTCTTTCTGACTGATAAGTTCATGCCAATGCATTTGTAGAATGGAAATCTAGGTGATGTGAGGCCACGTCGTTGAGTGTGTGGACAGACCTGCACAAACGTCTCCAAGACGAACGCAGCCTTGGAACGATGGGCACAACCACGGCACTTCTAAGGGAAAGTTGTCTTCAACTGTTGTAACTTACGATCGTACGCACTTGAGCGGGGCGGCGACTACCCTGGCAAATGCTATCTGGGCCCGCAAGAGGAATCACCAGATCAAGAGACCTTAACCTCGGCGGTCCATGCCCTCATCCAAGACAAGTATATTGAATCGAACGCACGTACACTCGGCATCAAACCCCCTCTAAAATTCCTCAAGAACAGGGCCACGCTCGCAGGTTACCTTCAACGGAGATTAACCGGAAATGATCTGGGGAGAACCTGCACACGCCTAAATAAGATTAGGTTGATGCTCGAGGTCATCAAGCCTTCCTGGAGGTTGTTCAGCTAGTGGGTTGCGACGCAACGGTGTAATCTCTGTTGCAGTCTTGCAGGCCATAAAAGCCGGCGAGCGTCTTTCAAGGCAATGGTACTGTATCGTGTATACGCATGTGAACCCTGGTTGACATAGCGCAACAGATGATGACAACAGGACTTAAGCCATTCACGCGGTTTGATATTCCAAAACAAGTCCAAAGATACAAGGTTATCGTACATGCTCCGCCGCCGCTTGTATGTCCGCAAGGGTATCCGATACTTCGCGCGAGCTGCAAATGACGACTTCTCGTCTCGCAATCACATAGCGCCCTCGCTCCGGGAGATGATGTACCTGCAATGCATCACTATCAGCCCGGACGACGGTCATGTTGGGAACATGCAACATACCATGCATGTAAGACCCCCGGAATCCACCCGAGAATGGAAAGGCAAACGTTGATCCAGAAATCTACACGCCAAGGTCTAAACACATTGTGTTGCTTATTCGTGAACGGCGTGGGACTCACCAGCTAGTAAGCCTCTCTCTATCGAGCAACAAAGCCATGTCGTGGTCAGTTCAAACCGGGATGATTAATGCGTGACCACTTACTGAAGAAGACTGCGAGAGGTGGAAGGATCCTGCAATAAGATCAGCTCAGGGCAGTGAAACAAATTGGACGTATGATCGCTACTCACAAGGCTAAGAAGTAGAGACATACATCGTGCGTCGGCGAGGCCCTCCGTCTCTGCGCAGTAACGGGTGCGGTTGTAGCACCGTAAGTCTTTGTGGTGGCCATTGCACTGAAGGATGGTCGTTTCGTCTGGTATAGGTCGTGAACGTCGTGGTCGAGGAGATGGGGACCGTGGCACGACACGCAGCCCCTTATGTATGTACCGCGCGACCTCGCTGCGTACAAGCGCCGATTGAGGAGCGGATGCCCCGTGCCAGTGCCACTATCAGCCTCACCGGCTCCCCTATGATGACGTCACATTTGGGAGGTAGTGTTATTTCCAAAATTGACAGCAGCGTCCAGTATGTACATAGTGCGGACGCTTGAGTTACGCATGGCACGTACATAAGTAGCCAGAGACTATCAATGCGAGAAATCCCCATGTAAAGCCGCCGTGAGGTAGCCTTTGATTGTGTGGTCGCGCAAGATAATCTGGTTCAGCTTGGATTTAACGCTTCGGGTCTGCGATCAGGTCGTACATACCACACCGTCTTCGGCATGACTTTGGCATGACAATGATGAGGTTGGCTTGAATGCGGAGAAGAGCCACCGGACGCACTGGTAGTGGTAACCTGCAGCGGGTGAGGATGTGCCTGCGCATGATGCCCTGCAGGCGGATGCTCGTGCTCGTGAAGTCCAGTATAGCCTCTGGCGAAACCGACTCGCACTTCTCTCCGCCCAGATAAGTACGTACTCTAGCCTGAGGTGAGTCTCTGGGAAGCCTCGCTTCGAAAGCTTGCCAGTGCAACCGCGCTCTACTCAGTAGTCAGTAGTATAACCCCACCGGCTGGCATGCTAATATGACCTGACTACTGACCAAAATTACAACGGCAAGAAGTAGAGCGTAGCTAACGGAACACCACCGAGCAAAGTTAGGATGTACACAATTTGAAGACTGAAAAGAGCCAATTGAAGCTTGATACGGTTATTTCGAGCTTGTATATGCTTATTTGTTCACCTTGACAAGCGTATCAGGACGTACTGTACCACTTGCGTTCCCGTAAGAAGGCATTTGTGTACATGCCCTTATTGCTGGCCCTCTTTTTAACAGATCCAGAGTCTCATATTCAGTGAATTATTGAACAGAGTTTGGTATGCAGTCAATTCACTGTACGGCCTGTATCGAGCGAATATCGCGGTCGCGCGCGGCGGCGCGGCGCGCCACACTTGGGCCGACTGCTTCCTCCTGACCACCACCTCGACCTATCGCCAGGCGAACGGCGGCAACACCGTGATTCTTCATAGCCTCAAGTTGTTGTACCTGTGCCGCGGAACGTGTTGCTCTGCCCACCATAGTCCCCTAATAAACGCATTTTTCCTACGGAGTCACTTTGTAAGTGGTCTCGTGGGGTAGACAACATCAACCGAATACTCACGTCTTTCCGAGCAGCCTGGGGTTTGCAGATCACTAAAGGCGGGACTAGGTAACGACCTCGATAATGCCCTCACCACCAAAACCCTGGGAGCGCGCAGGGGCCAGCGCGGCAACGGCGACTTTGTCCGCACCAAACCCCGCACCTGCGCCGGCGAACACTACCTCAACGACTACACCCTCCACCACCGCACCAAGCGTCCCCACTCGTCCAGCTGCTTTTTCTGGCGCATCATCGACGTTAGCAAACCCGACCGCCTATGGTGCATCCCCTTACTCTTCCTACAGCGCCTACAACCGCCCCGGTTCCTCCTACTCGCCTTACGGGATGAATAGCATGTACGGAGGAGGTATGGGCTATGGCATGGGTGGTATGAGTGGGATGGGCGGAATGGGTGGGATGGGCTATGGCGGGTACTCTCCCTACGGCATGGGTGGTTACGGCGGCGGTGGCATGTACGGCGCACCCTTTCCCGGCGCAGATCCCAACAACCCCTCCCTCACACAGACGCTCGAGGGTGCGACGCAGCACACGTTTGCGCTCTTGCAGAGCATCGTGCAGACATTCGGCGGCGTCGCCCAGATGCTCGAGTCCACCTTCGTCGCGACGCACTCCAGCTTCTTCGCCATGGTCGGCGTCGTGGACCAGATCGGACAGCTGCGCACCGCGCTCGGGAGCGTGCTCGGCCTCTTCGGGCTCGTGCGCTGGCTTCGGGACAAGCTCACAGGGCGCACGCACGACCCGCTTCATAGCGAGTTCAAGGACTTTGTCGCCGGCCGCGCTGTGCAGCCTCAGGGGGCACCTGCGCCTCGCGCGAGCAAGAAGCCTCTCATCATCTTCCTGCTTGCCGTCCTCGGCGTACCGTACCTTATGCACCGGCTCGTGCGCTCACTTGTCGCACGCCAGCAGGCGCTCGCGGAGCAGCAGGGTGCGGGCCTGCCGCCGCTGGACCCGTCGCAGCTGACATTCGCGCGGGCGCTCTATCCCTTCGAAGCGGCCTCCCCTGCGGAGCTCGCGTTGCGCGAGAACGAGATCGTCGCGATCATGGGCAAGCTCGATCCTGTTACGGGCGCGGAAGTCGATCCGCGGTTGGAGGTGCGTTGTGCGCGATACGGTGCGCAGTATATGCTGACAATCCGTTGTAGGTGGAGGGCAGCGAGTGGTGGAAGGGTCGGACGCGCGAGGGGCGGGAAGGCTGGTTCCCGAAGAAGTTCGCCCAGGTGCTCGAGCGCCGGAAAGCTATCGACGCACCAGCAGCCGAGCCGAAACCGGTCGAATGAAGCGCGGGGAACAGTCCGTCGTGCGTTTGTTCTCGTTCTCTGGATATACTCATTTACTCGTCGATATCCTCACATTCTGCTATGTTGTACCTTTACTCACCGTTTGGTTCTAGTCGTTATTGGCGTATCTCTATGCATTGGCTTCCTCGTCTTATCGGGCACGCCGCAAGGGAGTCTTGCTCTCTGCATACTATTGGCTGCATATTTCCCCGCACACCTCTGTTGTAGAAGTACTGACGTCGCTCCTTGCTACTCATCTTCTGCATGAAACAATCTAGAGTCATGTCGGGATGTCTTGCCCGCAGAATGATCTGTGCAATAACAAGTGTGAGTTGTCACGCAACCTCCATGCTTACTACTGAACAATCGAGGCCTACAAGGGATAGGCTGTCAGTTGTCTTCGAGAAATCTGTGGCGTCGCGCAACCTCTCGACATCTCAATCTGCTTCTTAGGGTCGTTCACCACTACCAACGGGGCATGTGGCGTCGTGCTCCGACTCGGAGGTCTTTGATATCAAGCGTAGTGACACAACGATATCGGCCAAGGAATGTGCTGTAGGTGAAACGTTTGCGCAGGCGACATACTCTGTAAGTACAAGGAGGTTCCACGTCACTCAGGCTTAGAACTCAATGCATAGAGCGATCGAAGGAGAGTATGCATGCGCACAACACTATCTCTAGGTCAGTCTTGGCTCAGCTATCTTTTCATTCCCGTGAACAGAAAGTCATATTGACGCAGAAATCTACTTGACTATGCTACAAATTGCAAGAACGGATACGGGATGCATAATTGAAATAAGCATGGCAGGGAGTGTGTGGCATATAATCGATAATGAGAAGGAATGTGAGTGCATGATTAACGGTGTTGGGAAGGACTCAAGTATTCGAAGCTCAGTGCAGTTAGGTGTCCCGAGTCATCCGCTTGACGCGGTTCACGTCCGCCGGCATCCTGCCTTCGTCCATATACCTCCATGCTGTCATGGGTTGCACGCCGTAGATGACGTCGACCCATCTGCCGTTTGAGTCCTTGTAACGACGACCGTAAGGATGTTGCGGCTCCTCTGGCACCCGGGACCCGAAGTCGAACGTGCGCGCTGCATCCGAGATGTTACGCTCCTCTTGATAGTCTTCCGGCGAACCCCCCTCGGAGTACACAGGCTCAGTGGACTCCCTGCGGCCCCTCGGGTTGACGTCCTCTTCCTCGCTCTCTTGGCTTTGCGACGCCGGCGTTCCTGCCTGAGACTGGTCGACCTCTGTGGGAGTCAGGGCGGCCGGAGATACGGCGGGCGACGGGGCGTTGGCAGCCACTTGTTGCGAGTTCGAAGGACCCGCTACCGGCGGTTGGACGTCCGCCAGGTTCTGCGAGCCCGCGGGGCCGGCGGGCGGCTGGACATCGCCTCCAAGAGCTTGAGCGATAGACGGAGGTGAAGGCGGTCGGGCGTTCTCGGGGAGGGGCACAACGGGAGGGGCGACTGCGCCTTGGTTGATGAAGTCGGGCGGGGGGATGGCATCGGCGAGCAATGCTTGGAACACCCCGGGTTCGTCGTTCGCGTTTTGGTTCAAGTCTAGGCCAGCTTCTTGTATCTCTGGCGCAGCGGCGCCGAGCAGCTCGTCTAGCCAAGCATTGTCGACGCCACCCACGACGTCCTGGCCGATGCCGCCCATGAACAGACCGTTGTCGGCGCCCATGACCTGCTGGTTGCCCGCGTCGATGAAGGGCTGGTTGATCGCGGCAGCCATGTTCGGCAGGCCGTTTGCGCCCACGTAGTGCTGGTTCCCTAGGCCCATGGGCTGCTGGTTCCCTACGCCGAATTGATGGTAGCCTGCCCCTACGAACGGTGGGACTCCGGCGGCGCCCATCGCCTGCTGGTAACCTGCGCCCAATAGGTAGTCGTTCGGCGCGCCTCGGTACTGCTGGTTCCCCATACCCATGAACTGCTGGTTCGCCACGCCCCCGTAAGGTTGGAAGCCCGCACCCATTGCCTGATGGTTCATGACGCCCCGAAGGGTTGCACCATGGCAGCGCCGAATGGCAGCATCGGGGCCTGACCATACTCCCCGAAGAAAGGCTGTTGTGGGCCCATGCCGTAAGCTCCCTCAAACCCCTGCCCAAGGAATGGGTTGCCGTAGAAACCAATCCCCGGCATGTGGCCGTGGTACATCTGCGGGTTCAGTCCAGGGTTGACTGGACCAGCCTGTGGCCCAGGGAGGGGGTAGGGGTTGTCGCCCACCATGCCTCTCCTGCGGGCGATGGGCACCCGCCGCGGTTCGCGGTTGCGTGCGTCGACGTCGTCGATCTCGCCGCGGTCGTCGTCGCCCATATCGGTGTCACCGTCGGCGTCGGTTGCCGCATCGCTGGAATCGTCGTTCTCGTGTTTGACGCGAGCGTCCGCTCGACCGTCGGCCGATCCGGTCTCAGAACGGTCGTCGGGGGGAGCGAAGCTGACTTTCTTAGCAGGAGATACGGAGGGCTTGCGCCTAGCGCTCGGGAGGAGGGCGAGTCGACGGGCATAGTGCTCCGCATCTGGAGTGTTGGAGCTGCGTACGGCCCGGTTCTTCCTACTCCGCGAGGTCTGTTGTGTGTCACGCTTGATCTGCGCGGCGATGTGTAGTTGCCCCCGCAACTTTGCATTGGTGACAGCGCGCGTAGTGTACCGATGTCTTGGTAGAACGGTGGCGAGGACCTTCTCCTGTTTTTTGGGCACTTTAGGCATGGCTGGACTGAAGGCAAGGTCAGTACACGAGCATTCACCTAATGCGCCAGAAGACTCACGGGCTTAGGCGACTGCGACTTGCGAGTTTGCGACTTGAGGTGAGAGCTTGAAGTATCGAATACGAGGATGGATGAGTCCTTGCTCCTCCTCCGCATCTTCCTACCCCCTATATACCCGACGCTCCTTCTTCGCTTCATCGAGCTAGAGGCCAAAACCGGCTTGCATAGCCTCTGTGGACGTACGTACGCTTTGTTGCGCGGGGTGCGGTTGCCTGGGGAAGATACGCGTGTTGGCTTTGTCTTGCTTAACTTGGTTGATTCGCCGTTCAAGACTGCGCAATCTAGATGCACTTTGGCCATTTGCGTAGCGCGTGATGCATGGGTGTCCTCGCTTGTTGAACGTGGCTTGGAGATGGTCAACAAAGAGACTGGCTTCGAATCAAAGCAGATGCCCGATCGGCCTCGATCGAGCTTCTCAACCAAGCTAGAACTGGCCCTGGACTTCCATGCCTCGAGGCTACTGGCCACACAGATCACAGCGTCAGTTTCATTACACCGAAGGTCCACCGCCCCTGAGGGCCTGGTCGTCGGTTAACCTGCGGATCTAGAACGACACGGAGCTGTGTATCCAAGCGATCCTTGTTTGCCGCGAAGCTCGAAGCCCATTGTCCTCGAGTGGCGTTACTACGAGATCACGTCTCCTCGGTTTGCCACTTAGCACGGGTCAATCTAGCGTTCGACGTTCCAAATTGAGAATCGAACTTGGAGGCCAAAGCGGGCCACGGCGCCCCGTGGCGCTTTGGAATGTCCCTCGTGATGCCGCCGCAACCCTGCTCAGACCTTCCGATTATCAAAGCCGTCGACTTCCAGTTGTAGTCAAGATCGTTGCTATGTTCCATCATTCCAAGCATGGAACATTCGCGCAGGAACAATATATATCCTCGTAAAATAAGGTGAGATCCGCTTTTCGTCTCCTCAAGAACACCGTTCATAGACAGCAATACGTCTCGCCCTGCCTTCACAAAGCATCAAGGTTTGTGTCTCGCTGGCGTAGCTTCCGCTATCGGTGCTAACGCCATACTATCCCTCCTAGCAGCTCGTATCATCAAGGTCGCAAGAGCGTTCGCGGCTGCTTCAGTTCACCGAAGTCTACAGTCGCTCCTCAAATGTTCCGTTCGAGACCACTGCGCGGCCCCGGTAGTCCCCCCGCCCGGCGTGGCCGGGCGGTCGTCGCGAATCCTCGCCGCGTTCATCCGTATTATAATGCCGCACAGCCTGGACTTCAGACAGAAGGAGACTCGCCCCGTGGTGGAGCGCCACAGCCGACAGCACCCCCGCGTAACATCCACCCGCAACCCGGCGGAGATTCTCCTCCAGCGTCGCCGCTCAAGACCCCTCGTCCCAATTCAAGGCCAAGGCGAAGGACCGCCGCCGGGGCCGTGCACTTGCCGCCCAACGAGCCCTGGCCAGGGATCTGGAGGGGCAGTTCGAGCCCATCTCAGAGGAAGCCGCGGTCGAGATACTCGAGGCCTACACGGACCCCGCGCACGACGACGTGGTGTTCGGTCAGCCGCTAGATCAGTACGACCTCCACATGGCCAACGAGCTGGCGCGGATGGAGAGGCGCGAACCGTGGCTCAGAGCATTGCATGAGGCGGAGCACAAGGTGCAGCGCGCGAAGCATTCGTCTCGGGCGCAGCAGTGGAACAGCGCGACGTGGAGTACCGCGCACGCATGGCGCAGGAACTCGCACCCGAGACAGAGCTGGGGAAGGCCATAGCGGAGGAGCAGGAGAAGCGCCGCCACGAAGAGGAGCTCAAGATCGAGGCGAAACGGCGACGGCGGTTACTCAAGCAGCAAGCAAGGCTCAAGAAGCGACGCGCTGAAGAAGAAGCTCGCAAGAGGCGGAGCGGCTGGCCGAGGTAAGAGGCTCAACGAGCTCCACAAGCAGCGTATCGAAGAAGAGAAGCGCAAGCAAGAAGAAGAAGACGCAGACGCGAGGAGAGACACGCAAACGTGAGGAAGACGCGCGACGCGCCGAGGCTCAACGGAAGGGAAAGAGGAGTGGGAGCGGGGGAGGGAGCGCCGCCAAGCCAACACAGAACAGCGGCTCAGGGAAGAGGCAGAGCAGGCTCGTGGGTTCGTGGAGGCCCTCCAGCTCTACGACAAGAAGTGGGAGGTGCTGAAGTCGACAGAGGCCCCGACGGACATTCCGGGGGACATGATGCCTTGGCCGGTCTTCCACACGGTGACTTCTCCGGAGAGCATAACCTACGACGCCGTGAAGGAGTTCATCCTGCACCCGCTTCGTCCGAGCGCAGAAGGGATGCCTTCAAGGAGGAAGATTGCCACCGAACTGCTCCGGTGGCACTCTGACAAGTTCGGCCAGATTGTGGACAGGGTGAGGTCGGACCACCAGGATGCCGCGAAGCAGTGCGCGGGCCTGGTGGAGCGCTGGCTTACGGCTCTCCTGACGGAAGTCCAGACGTAGTGTGTGCACCGTTCAGAACCCTCACGTTGAGTTAGTGTCGAAAGGGCCCGTCTGCGACTATGCTTGTACTTAACTTGAAGCTATGTACCATCCAATCTATGCTCACTTCTTATTCTCTTACCGTATCTTGTCTGTTGCCCCCATTACTTCGGTTCGGGGTTTTTTACGCACAGGGACATTCTCTCAACACCCCGAGGGCTCGTCGACGCGAGTGTATGATAACTGAGGTCGGGGAGCAAGACTCGGAGCGTGTGGCACTGGCACGCCACAGGCGCGTCAGTCACGTGCTCGTGGCTTGACTGTGGCTGCACGCGTCGCGTACTAAGTTGCGACTCAGTCAGACGCGCTTTCGTGACTGCTTTACCTCTCCATCTCATTTTTCCACTTATACTCCAAAGGATGGTGCAGAAGAAGGCAAAGCGCACGAAGCGCTCTGTCTCAGACGCTATACTGGCGAATGCTGAAGCATCGCGAAAGCCAGATCTACTCAACTTCCTGCCTATAGACATCATGCATGAGGTGAGGCCAACTGAACGGTTCGCTACGATTCAGTGTTCATTTCCTATGGTATACTCTATGTACAGATCTTTCTCAGTCTGCAGCCAAGCGACTTACTCAATCTTTCGCGAACGTCGAAGACGATCCATTCGTTCCTGATGAAGAGGAGCTCTGCGTCCTACTGGAGAGAGTCTTTGAAGAAGGTTGACGGCCTCCCTCCGAGTCCAGAGAAACTAATAGAACCGGCGTGGGTGGCTCTAGTGTTTTCGCCCTTCTGCACAGTACGTAACTCGTCGATGCAAGACTATCTGTCTGACCTATGTCTGACCTTTTACTGCGACTCTAGGCGTGTGGAAAGGGCACACCGCTAGGAGCTTTCTGGGCACTCTACATGTGATTGTGCAGCTCCTGCAGACAACAACTGTGAGTCATGTCAACTGTAAGCTCGACTTGCTTATTGATCGGCTTTTCGTGAATTCGCAGCACAGTGAACGATTACGCTGGCCTTGTTAACCCCCGCTTGGGAGTTCTGGAGGATGTATTTACTGAGGCATGCTCCATTGACTTCGAAATAGTCTCTCATGTTCTCACCTCGTCGATTTGCAGGGCCGCGTCTCTAGGGACAGTGATCCGTGCTACCTCAAATCCGAAGTTCAAGAAGTCGTTAAAGCTATGATGTTTCTACGCTTCACTGGATCCGGAGAAGAGCTAGATGAATTTGTTGACAAACGGTTTGTGCATGTTATAAAAACAGAGCAAGTATGTAGCATGAACGGCTGCAGACTTCTTGGTGGAGACTGACCGCTGCCGTGCATAGTTTCAGGCTTCGTGCCACGATTGGCTGGCCCAGGAGGATTCTGTCCGCCGAGATAAACAGGATCGTCTCAGAAAGGAGCGCCTAGACGAGTGAGTGTGCCACATACGGTCGTTGTCTATGCACCCACTCAATCATGGGCATAGCATCTGTGCGAGACTGCGTCCGCTCGGCTGGGAGCCTGAGCTAAGTATGCTCGAACAAGATGGCAGTCGACTCTTATCTAACCATAGACTTGTCTGCATGACGAGTAAGCTGACCGAACACGGTGCGTAGTACTTCCAGCAACCGTGACACTGCTCATCTCCACACTGTGTAGGCTGGCGGAGAATCAAGAGCGAGTTGGTCGAGGTCATGCAGAGCGTACGAAACAAACGTCTCAGTGCCGAGTTTGAGCGCGCACTGAAGAAACGCTGGGTCACATTCAAGACCGCAGGGATGGAGATCCTCAATGATACCTCGACGAACATCCAGAGATGCGAGTATATGGCCTGAACACCGCAGACCTCGCGCGCACGCCCGCATTTCGGGAGATCTTGTGTGCGCCCGCGGATGCGCCTGTGGACGAGCAGAGCTTCATGGCTCTGCGAGCGGAGATGGAGACGATTGTGGACGTATGGCTGGCAAGCGCGTGCGACGACCTCCGTCAAGTGCTGCGGCACATCACGCAGGCTTCGAGGGACTCGGACGTGGATTCGTTGGAACTCGCATCGACGTGGTTTGAGTGCGAACGTTGCCAGGAGGAGCTTTTCTACCCGAACGTCTTCGCACACAAATGCTTGCGCTCAGTCAGCCCTGGGCCGTTGTCGATTCGCCCTGTTCATCCATGTGGAATATACGATTTCGCCGTTCGTGCGACCTTCCCGCAAGCTTTCGATGAGCCAGGCCGTAAACTCACCGTTCGCTCGCCACGAATCGCTCGTCGGGTCATACGCTTCTGCGACCAGAATCCGGATATAGCGACGGCGGCAGACATGGACGCACTAGACATCAGGCTCGTACAAGACGATACGACGATCATGACGTGGCGCGCCGCGGTGAGTTCGTCCAGCTGCTCTAGATCGGCAGCGGTACTGAAACTCGGAGCATCATCAGATAGTCGAATGGTGTTCCTCTAGACTCGGAGACGACACATCGTCATGGCGGGTAGCAACTCCGGAAGAGGTTGCCAGAGTGAAGGAGCGGGAGACGTGGTTGATACAGACAAAGACCCAATGGAGATGCACTAATGTGGGCAGCTGTATGATTTGAGTTGCCTAGATCGAATGACAATCCATATGTGCCGGTGCGCGGGTCTTTTCTTAAAGCTATCTCCTTTGACTGACGAGTCGGCCTGCAGGCATTATGGTGCTTGTATGACGGCCACCGTCGAAAACGGTACTGTTGCAATGCAGCTGAATCCTGATACCGATATTGCTAGCGGCGTCCGGAAGCTCAGGATGACAGGACGGAGGATTGAAGGAGCATGACTCGCTCGATGGTCATTATCTGGTATATCCATTACTGGTAGACCTTGACGATGTATAGCCAGAATCATGTGAAGAATGCAGAATCATCGATCGTACTCATCAGAACAGCTCCTCTTCCTCAGGCTTCCAGTTCTTGGCCTGGTCCCAATACCCGGCCAGCTTCTGTCCCAGAACTTCCTTAGCCCCAGCGTCCGTCGGACAGCTCTTTGGCTTGAAGTTGCTGAATGCCCGATCGCGCAACTGACCCTCCCATATCAACCAACATTGGTTGTCCTCCAGAGACACAGCGTTCTCCTCATCAGCGCCGGTCGAAGCAGCTCTGGCCTTGCCTTTGTCCGCCGCCGCCTCATCTTCGTCGCCCTCATGCAATTCCACATCCTCGTGACCACGTTCGCGGGCCTGCTCGGTCCACGCGATACGGCGTAGCATAAGCCGCTTGTACTGACGAATAAACTTCGCAGCGCCCTCGACGTACACGAGGCTGAAGGCGGGATTGAAGATGCACGCGCCGGTGAGGTTCATCTGCTCGGCGTTTTTGCGCACCTTGAAGCGGTGCGCTGGGTCGGAGAGGGTCTTCACCTTGAACACCGCGCCGTAGATGCCCTTCTTCTCTTCCTCGACCTTCTTCGTTTCGACCTTCTCCCGCCGCTGCTCGTCATTGAGTTTCCGTTCCGCGTTCATCTTCTCGTGCGTATGCTTGCGCATCGCGACCTCCCGCCGCACACGCGCCTCCACGCGCGTCGGGTCTTGGACGGCATCTGACGTAAGAACCTTCATGAGGTTGGCCAAGCGCACTGTGGTAGACATGGTTAGGTGACATGACTAGCAGTCAAAGAGACACTCGTACCCTTCGGCGGGTCCGGGGGAATGAGTCCCATCCGAATCCGGTCGCGCTTGTCCTGTAATTCCGCCTGTCGACGTTGTTTCCTCATCTTCTTCTGCTCCTGTGAACGCAAGAGGGCCAAGTCAGAACGAACCTAGCCAGTAATAGGCTCCACTGACTTTCTTCGTCAAGCGCAGGGGTTTCATCGCTACCGTATTCTTGTCCCCCGGAGCAGGTATTGGGATCGGATGCTGCACGTATATCGTAATCGGCGAGTTGTCTGACCGGATATTCATAGCACCGATGCCCTTAACCAGGTCGTCATAGGTCTTGTTCGGAAGCAGCGCAGCATCCCACCACTCAGCGGCAGGCGGGGGCTCGCGCCGAATGCTCTTCTCGAGCGTCTCGAACTCCGCGTCCAGACCGGCCTTCTTCGCGTTTTCGGCGATACGCTGCTTAAGCTCCTCAAGCTTCGCCTCCTGCCTGACTTGGTTCGCGATCTGGACGTACTTGCCCTTCGGATTGAACCTGAGGTTCCGCCCAACGCGTTCCTTGGGGGCGCCCTCGAAGCCGCTGTCTGCGGCTGCGGCTGCGCCAGATGCGTAGGGATTCGTGGATACTTCCTTTGGGACGACGGGGGGAGCGGGGGGTGGCGTAGGGGCGTTGCGTACGTTAGCCTTGATGGAAGCAAACTTGGGTTGCATGGGCTTGTAGCGATCCTTCTTCGACTGGGGCGCCGGTATTGAAGTATCGAGAAGGAGAGGGTGTGCTGCCATCTTGAGACCTGCACCCTGCTGAGTGGGCTCGACGACAGGCGTAGCCTTCTTGCCGCGCTGCGGGGCCGACTGCGCGTGTGTTAGCACAAGCTCAGTGGCGAGCTCTCTGGCCTGACGTACCATATACGGATTGTCCTTCACCGCCAATTTACTCTGCGCATCTGCGACACGCCTCTTCGCTTCAGCGACTCGTCGAGCAAGGTCGTCCGTCGGAGTCGACGTTGAGGATGCAGGCGGCGGGCTGGCAGCAGCAGGGCTAGGACTGGGTTTAGGGGCTGGTAAGGGTGTTGTGGCCGCTGCTCTGGGCGCATTCTTCTTCATCGCCGCTATCTTTGCCGCAATTTCGGCTTTCTTCTGCGCGATGAGAGCCTCCGCAGACATCTACGATTGAATGAGTACAGACGGAATTGAAGTACATAGCAAAGCCATAGAAGTCGAACTCAGGCATTGCGAGTGCTTAGGGCTGACTACATCATGCGACACTGCTGTTGACAATCGCGGTGGTGGCTTTTACCGAGGACGTAACACCGTTGTGTCTTTCGACGCCCTCAATTGTCCATTATCAGGGCTGGGTGTGCCTCAGGAAGCGACTACTCTAAGCCCCATTCGCATGGAACCCAGCAAGCTCCCAACGCCCGACTTCGACTTCCGCAGCTTTGATTGATAATAGACTGCACTCACCGCTGAACCAGATGAGGAACCATTGGCAGACGTCTGACCGGGCACAAACGGGTTATAGAATCAGACAAGAGGTAAGTAAGAGACGGATTCACCTTCAATACAAGAGAGGACGGCGACTTACCGCGGCACTACGAACGCGTTATCAGCAACAATGCCAGGAAGACATACTCAATGCTGACCTTTTCAGCTTCTTAGCAGCACCGGAGTCGTTGCCTCCTTCTAGTGGTCGCTTTCGGTCACTCATTGTGATGAAGACTTGGGCGAAGAACGAGCGCGATGATGGTGGCAGGTGGACAAGCTGCGGGCTAATACAGGGCAGTGGCGTTACTTACGTGTCTACTAATAAGTTAAGAATGGACTGTTAGAATGTTTCGAGCCCCGATGGGTTTTTGCTATTAGAATTATATCTCCGCTTACCTTCGCTTTCTACTCCTGAAGTGCCGCTTCCACGACTCTTTCATGTTCGCACTTCCATCTGCCCGCTCGCTGTTAGCAGCGTGTAGGTCCACGACCTCCATCTTCTCCCATGCGTCGACACCACTAGCGACCGCACCATCTCTAGTACGCTTCAGGGGACAGCTCGCGCCGAAAAGAGTCAAGTACCTGAAGCGTCACAAGGGCCTCTTTCCGATCCCCATTGGCGGGTCAATCAAGGGCACGACGCTCGCGTACGGAGACTATGGCATCCGCATCAAGGAGAATGGGATGCGCTTGACCGCGAAGCAGCTGACCTCGGCGGAGGAGTCGATTAAGAGGGCCATCAAGCCCATCAAGGGAGCGAAGGTGTATCTGAGGCTCTTCCCCGACATCCCGGTCTGCATCAAGGTGAGTCAACGCTAGCACGGCCTTGTGCTTCCAGAGAGTGACCTATGAACAGGGGAATGAAACCCGTATGGGTAAGGGAAAGGGTACCTTCGAGTACTGGGCGACTCGGTGCGTCTAACGCGTTCTAATGACCCTGCGAGCTGCATTGCTAATCTTTGATGTGCAGAGTCGCACCCGGCCGAGTCGTCTTTGAGCTAGGTGGTGCCCCCATGCGGCCGGAAATTGCGCGTTCCGGTGAGCAGCGCTCTCCCTCTCACCACTTCTCCCTCTGACGCGGTCTTGCCTAGCATTACGCCTGGGCGCGGTCAAGCTACCGACCATCATGGAATTCATCACGAAAAGCACGCCTCCGCGTCTGGGTAACCTCGTTCTGCCCAAAGAAGAACTTGAGAAGCTAGAGTGTATACCGTACCGTGCACCATAGTAATCCCTGCGATCGGCCTTCAGTCACTTTCCAGAATCATTTGGCTCTAGCTTTCGTCGATCATGCAATTGGACGAAGTACGGGATGCTATGTTGTGAATCAGTAAGCTGCGTGCGTTCGCATTTCTGACAGTGTTCTGGAAGGTCACTTGCGTGGAGCGAATATCCACTGTACTCAAACAGGCAGCCCCGTCACAGCCGGCGTGTCAAAGCTGCATTAGAGCCACTGTTACTGACAAGGGAAAACTAGCAGCACGGTCGTCAGAGCTTACAGTAATGTAAACTCTCACCTCATAAACATGCACGAGTCGGAGACTCCGTTGCCCGCCGCGCCGGAGGCGAGGGTATGATCGAGGCACAACGATCGCCCATTGTGCGCCTCCTATCTCGCTCAGGGTCATACTCATTTAATGCTGCGTACGGGGGCAGCGCACAGAACTAGCCTTCTTGCTCTCTCCCGCAGGTACGTCCCTTCAGTTGCCTCGCCGCTAGACCCAATGCTTATGAATCGCCCGCCGTGTACAAATATACCAGCCTGCTCTTACCCATTCTGCCAATCAGCTAAAGGCTACTATATCTTACGTACGCGGCACTTAAACCTCTCACTTCGACTGTACTAATACTGCTTTCACTGCAGTCTATTGTTTGCGGCTAAGCTCGATGTCGACCGCTGCGAGAACAACTGACGCGTCGCGCCTCACCGACGCTTACCCGGCGGCATACAAAGATTTCTACGGCTTACCCAGCCTCCCTCCCTGTGTCTACAAGTCGGGGCGGCCATACCACGAGGGCACAGGCGCCCTGTACCTCCGTGTCGGCCTCCGTGTCGGCAACGCAGACAAGCGCACCGTCCTCCTCACCGCCGCCCACATTGTTCGTCCTCCTCCCGTTTTCGCCAATACAGGTAGGCACAGTAGCTAGGCCACCGAGGAGATCATTGCGCTCGGAGACAAAGGCTACAGGGATGCGGTGACCAACATGCAGAGTTCCGTTCGCGACCTCTCCGAGATGATTAGTATATGGAATGATGATATTGCGGAACTGTGCGAGTGCACCAACGGTGGGGTGGAGGATGAGGAGATAGCCGAAAAGTGCCAGGAGGTGGAGGATCTGGTGAACAAGGTGAAGGCGAAGATCAAGGAGATAGACAGACTTCACAATGACATCACCAGGTCAGGACGACCCCGGAGCAGCGCACCATCGGTTTCGTCCTCCATGTCGAACCCATCGCTGTCAGCGACGGACCCCACCAGTTCATCCGCGACTGGGTGCTGATCGAACTCTACGAGGACAAGATTGTTTGGGACTCGTTCAATAGCAATCAGGTCTATGTTGGTGCGTCATCCCATCTATTTGGGCCACAGCATTGTCCTGCATTTTGAGCTGATAATTTGCAGGCAAATACCTCTCGCCGTATGACTATCGCGAGATCATGTTCCCCCGACCCGAGGACCATGCTGGCTACATGTACCTGCACAATGGTCTCCTCCAAGCCAATGGGGTGGTGAAGGACAAGGAGATGCACTCGCCCCAGTACCTTGACGCCAACGGCTGCAAGTGTCTCCGCGTAGTGAAGAACAGTTTGGCCACAGGCACCACCGTGGGCCACGTCAACGGGTTGGACTCGTTCACTTGTGTCTACACCAAAGACTCGAATGGCAGTGAACAGACAGCCATCGAGGTAGCTGTCTTGCCTTATGACAGGAAGAGGGGTGCGTTCTCTGCCCCTGGAGATTCTGGTGCCATCGTCGGCATGCTCACTGGCGGTGGCGGCAAGGCTGAAGACACCGACATCACGTACCTAACCCCGTACTGGTGGCTCGAGGAGGAGATTAAGAAGGTCTTCCCCGGCTTCTACCTTTATGACACTTTGCAGTAATGGCAAGCTCGCTGTGCAATGGGCTCCTCCATAAGCCTTTAATGAACATTCCCCCTTTTCTCTCGTCTCGTCTGTACAGTCCGTCTCATCTTGTTTCCATGCTCGCTCTTCCCCCCCCCTTCCGTCATGCCGTCTATCTATTATCAGCTCGTTGTCGATGCTGACGCAGTAGCTTGCGGCCTAGGTTCGCCTTGTTCTTTTTCTTTTCTCTCCTTCCCGGCTTGACAAACACTTTGTTCTCGAATATGGTAGACCTCTTGCATAAGCCTCGTCAACTCGTCGTGTATGTCGTGTACGGTCGGTTCGATGTTGATCAGCTCCTTGTGCGGTATCGCGTCCTGCTGCCTCCTGACCATTTCTCAGCGTGTCCCATGAAGCATGTGTCGTTGTGCTAACTTATTACTATTTACACTCCCACCCGTCGGCTCTCGCTCCTGTAATCCCCAGTGTTCCACTCGATCGTTTACGTGTTGTGTACTTTTACTTCGCAATGAACAGTGTTTATGTGTCTCTGCATGAAGTTCGTTAGCGTGATTTTACAATTATCAGTACTTCAAGTTGCCCTAGGAGCCTGAGCAACTTGTCAACGGGCCACGTCCCAGTCTATGCTCCTCGTCGGTGTTTACCTACATGTCTCATCGGCGTTGATTATGGTCACTTGTTATTCAGTATGAGCACATGTGCAAGATGCATTCAAGGCTGGTCGCGTCGCCGCGACTCAAATTATTATAGGAGAAAGCCGCTACAGGGCGCTCGGCGAGTTTGCACTCGTCCTCCTCCTCCTGATACCCACCATGTTTGCGAGCTCCGAGCTCCCAGGCGAACGCGAAGTAGAAGCGTGGCTTCAGTCGCTGCCCGGAGGGCTACCTTCTTCCCCCGCCCTGCTAAGGACAGCGAAAAACATCCACCAAAGGACGCAGATATTCTTACAGTCCTGGATACCACTTCTTGCAATTGACAAGGACGGTGACTATAATGACGAGAACATTGCACTACCGCCTACCGTACTCTGCGACGCTACGTCGGACACCTTACATAAAAGTTTGAAGCCCTTGAGGGAGGACATTGTTCAGCTCTACGAACACTGCCAGACGTCCCCGAACCTTGCTCGCTTCCTCCTCCTTGTTTGTACTGGTACGTACTTCATTGAAGGTCACGCCCCCTGAGAATTCCGGTTCTGATCTAGATTCGCAGGATCCAATGATAAAGTACAGATGGTGACCGAGTACGTTAGACCACAAAGACTGTCCGTCGCCAACTCACAATCGTAACATGCAGCGCTGCAGCGCTGAGCAGGCCCGCGACCTGAGTGCTGCATGGCGCCAAGAGTATCGAGGCCCCGCTCTAGAGAACTTTCTGCAAGCCATGCAGTGGTACGAAGCCAACTACGACAGCTCGATTCATCATGGTCGCACTATCGCCATTCTTCAGTCGAGTGGTTGTGGTAAATCACGTCTGGTTGACGAGCTTGCATCGAAGGTGCGGTGTACTCATCAATGAGGCCACATCGACAATTCTGCGATACTGACAACATGCCGATTAGCATCCGGTGCTCAATGTCTGCTTTCGTGCGGTTGGCCTCCTGGAGACACAATGGCATTGAAGTTCTTTGAAGATCACTCCGCCATCCCTATTGACCCGCCGCCAATACGATCAGGGCGAGCGATTTCTCGAGATCTATCACTTGTCTACTTAATCATTGTCCTCACAGGGAGAGGAGATTGCCGCCGCATTTCTTGGGGCGCTGATTGGAGAAATGGCCGATGACTTCAATATTTCACGACTCAAAGGCAAGCGATCTGGGCTAGGTATCGGCCCTCCCGGCAGCCGCAGAGCAGCCAATCGAGAGCGGTTCTTCCAGGCAGTCTATGACCGAGCAAATGCGATGCTCCGAGTCAACGAGACATTCCTCACCCAGGAGCGCGATTGGGTCAGTATGTTCATTCCGCCTTCACGCTGGCACAAAATGGGCTTCAATTACAAGGTGTCCAGCGATGTACCGAAGGACAGAAGCGTCGAGTGGCATCAGGCACTGTTCGAGAGGTTCTGTCGGCCAGCGTCCAATCATCTAAGCAACCAGCTAGCCTCCCTGGGAGAGCGCAAGTTCTTCCTCGCGTTGGACGAGTGCACCGCCCTTGGATCGGCTGGGAATTCCAGAGGGGCTCCGAGTCCTCTTCCTCGCAGCTCGCTGGTCGCATTTCAGCGAATTCTGAAGGCTGCCGAGATTTTGGAGTGGCCGGTCTGCTTCTGGTTCCTCCTTCTCGACACAAACCCCTCTGTGATTATGCCGCATCCATCTAGTGACGTCTCTTTCTCTCGCCGTGCATCGGATCTCAAGCCTCTTCCTCCTTTCGTCTACCTGGGCTTCAACCAGCTCATCGATCGCATGACAAGGGAGAAGGCCGCCGACTCGTTGGTTCTCGGCAACTTGAAGTATTCTGGCCGTCCGGTATGTGTTGATCGTGCTTCTATGTAGCTGGTGTTCAATATCGGCGGCTTTTCAGTTGTGGGCAACAATGCCGGCATACGTCGCGCTGGCCTGTGCGAAGCAAAAGCTCTTCGCGTCGCAGCAATTTGTCGCCAGCACGCCACTGCAAGTGCTGGCGGCTTTCGCTTCCCGAGCTTGCCTCGAGCTTAGCGGAAACGAGGCCGCGAATCGTATGGCCGCCCGCGCCGTCAGCCATCACATGCGCATACTCGTCTCAGTCGTCAAAGACACCCTGATCACAGCGGTCCCCGCTGAGCCTATACTTGCCATCGCATTCGCCGATGCCCTTAACCGGTCGGAGGATACCTACGGTGACGCCCTCGAGACTCTGATGCACCAGTTGGAACACCAGACCCTCGCACTGGGAGACACAGGAGAGCTCTGCAGCCGTCTCCTTCTGCTTCTTGCTCGTGACCGAGCCACTCTCCGAGTTCACAAGCGATTTGTCAGTGACGATATGTCGAGGATGCAGATCTTCGCCCTCGAGCTTCACGAGCTACTGGGAGAGCTACTCGGCGAAAACTTTGGGTTCGAGGAGCAAAAGGAGCTGGCGAAGCGGCTTCTTGCGTTCTGCAAGGGCAAGTGGGTCAACTTTTACCAGTTCGTCAAGTTCGAGAAGGACGTCACGGAGCTCGATGCAGAGGACCTCGAGCACGCCTGGTTCATCGGTGCTGCCATCCAATGCCGTCGCAATCAGGCCGTCATCGACGGCGGGATTGTCGCCTATGCTGGCTCCCTCTACGAGCCGTTCGAGCGCCGCAACCTGATCTTCATCCCGTACCAAATCAAAGGAAAGACAGCGAGAACTGAAAGCAAGGTCGGTCTTGGTCTGACCGCCCCGCCGATTATTCACCCAAAACACGACGGCTCCGGGATCGAACGCGTCAAACCTCAGACGATCGTCCTCCTCATGGATCTCAAGTCCAGTTCAGCGTTCGAAGAGACGGGGCGGATGACGCGGCGGGAGTTGCGTGCGGCCGAGCGAGCTACGCGATGGGCGGGGTACGCGGATCCCGCGATGGGCGAGGAGGAGCCTCAGAACTTCTTCCTTAACATCCGGGGGTGCTCGTCGACGGTGTATCCCGTGCTAGAGCCATTTGCCCACACGTTCCAGTCAATTCTCAGCCATGACCCCGACAGTCAACTTCCAGCACCGCTGAAGGCCATGGAAATCGCGACAGTGGAGGCGATGTTCCCGTTGACAAGGATGTAACACGCTGACAACACCGCTGCAAGGAAGGGCACGGAAGAAGTTCATTAGTCGCAAAGGAACTTCTGGAGCAACCTGGGGTCGGGAAGAAAGCTGAAAGAATCCCCGCGTACTAGTAACGTCCGAACGTAAGAACTTGTTCGGTCATAGAATACAACTCAGTCCTATGTATTGAGACGAATACATTATGATAGTAACAATCTGATAATAGCCGAAGATAACAAAAGTTGTATTGAGTTTAGACTTCGCTACAAACCTTCAATTCCTCTTCCTCTTCCTCCCAACTTCCTCCCCTTACCAACTTCGGGGGTTCGTTTCTGTCTCTCATCATCCCCTTCATCGAACATGGCACCTCGTCGGCATCGTTCGACCTCGAACGCGTACGCAGATGACACTCAACGGGCACCATCGCCCGCTACACAACTACAGGCCCAGCGTCAGCTAGGCCTCACTCCTGCGATCTACGAGAACAACCTCAAAGTTCTCCGACGTCGCGAGCCTTCCATTGTGTCGATATTTGACCAATTCAGTCATGTCTGCGTGTACCACTATCATGCGAACAAGTGGGAGAAACAAGGTTACGAGGGAAGCATGTTTCTCTTCGAAAAGTGTGTCGTGCTCTCGTCCGTAGTCCGGGCACGTCGTAATCGACTCACTTCAGACAGACCTACCCACCCTACGGGTTCTTCATTCTAAACCGCGTGGGCACGGACGATTACATTCGCCCCATATATCCTGAGGACGATGTGGGAATTGTCGGCGACTACCTCGCGTTCCGCTATTACCCCAAGTTCACCCAGGTGCGGCTTGCGATGAACTTGCCGTACCCCGTCCCACCGGAGCACCGCGCGACGCTAGATGCTGTGCTGCTCAACCAGCTGACCCCGGAGGAAGTGGCTGTCTCCCGCGAGGAGAGTGCGTCGACAACCAAAAAGGAGTGGAAGGGGACATCTGTGACGATCGGATTGTGGATGTTCGCTACTGACGCGAGGGAGCCTCTCAAAGATGTCATGATGCGGTGCGTCTGGTAAACCAACGAACTATAGCCCCACTGACGGTGTCGCAGACTGCACTCTTACATCAAGGCAGGGAAGGTCTACCCCGAAGAGTTCAGGTATGGTCCGGGCCGCCCGCCGCCTCCGAACCCCCACCTTCGCACAGCGAGTCGCGCGTCCGTGTCCAGTCAGAGCGCCGATGGGCAGGCCAACGGTGGTGTGGCATCTAGTAGCATTCCCAACGGACCTGGTTCGGAGCTCGACAAGTTGTTCGCCAAGCTCTTACCTAGTGCGTCGTCGACGCCGGCGCCTGAGGCACCAGTGCAGTCGACGTTGAAAAAAATGTCTGTGCAAGACCTATTCTCTGCATTGGGAGGCCCCCAACTGTCGCAACCTACACCTCCACCCGAGCCAGCCCCATCCGCCCCTACGCCCAACCGGGGCCTCGCATTGCTTGACTCCATCTTCGCCTCTGCGACACCCGGGCAGCCCTCCACGCAGTCGATGCCTGGATCCAGCCACACTCCCCAGGCGCTCCCGATGGCCCACCCGAGCTCTCTGCCACCCCATCCCGAGGACATCCAGATTGTCTCGCCGAAGCCGACGTCGAGTACACTCCCGCAGATCCTCAACCAGGACGTCATTTCATCCCTGCTCGGCCTCGACTCAAGCTCGCGCGCGTCGTCCGCGGCACCGAGCTCGGCGGGATCGCGACGCTCGCGCTCGAACCGGTACGAGGGCGACACGGAGTACAGCGAGGGAGAGATAGCGTCGGTGTCAGACTACTCCGCGACGAGCACGGCGCTCGACGTGGATGCGGACCCGGCCATCCTAGCTGCGGGCTCGTCGTCGGGCATGCCTCTGTTCGCTATCCAGCACTCTGAAACAACGACGACAACGACGACCTCCCTTAGCGTCCAGGGAGACGTCACGCCCCGACAGACGGTGCGAGGCATCGGCCCTTTCTCACCTCCACTGCAACCGCAGAGGTCTGCATCCCGCGCGAGTACCCAACACCTCGCACCTTCGTCAGTTGGGCCCGGCCGGCCGGTCACAGCTAACGGGCATACCAACGGGCTCACGCAGTCGGACTCATCGTCGACCGTCACTGCCGGCCCACAGCAACGCGAGCTCGTGCCATTCGAGGCCGACTCGGAGCTCTGGCCGTACCCCCGTGCTCCACTTGACGATCGCTCGCAGGAGGACATCGTCGAGCTTGACTTCACGGACACGCGCGCGCTGAGCGATCCCGCGATGTTCTCGAGCCGGCTGAAGGAGAAGCAGAGCCAGGGCGGAGGGAAGAAGAAAAAGACGCGGCAGGAACGCGCAGCGGAACGGGAGAAGAAGCGCGAGGAGATCGAGCGTGGGTGGGACGACCCTGTCAAGGGGGAAGTCACGGCGGGGTTGAGGCCACCATCGACGGCCCCAGGGCCGAGTGAGACGGCCAAGGGGAAGCGGAAGGAAAGGGTCAATGGCGCAGCGAAAGCCGCCCCGATCACGAATGGCCATGTATCGGACGAGGTCACCGCGGGTGGAGTGCGGGTTAAGGCTGCGCGGGACGCGGTCATCGCGGCTGCATCCACACGTCCAAAAGAACTGAGCAAAGAGCTCCCGAAGAACGAGTTCGTACGGGATCTGCTCACCCTTATTCATGTGAGTGCCGTCTGTTATCTTGTATGTTCGTAGCATCTGACCCTTCCTTCAGACAGACAAAGCTTTCGTAGACAGGCTCTATGAGGACTATCTCCGTCACGCGTAATGGCGTACGCACAGTGATATCAGTACGACCTATCACGCATTCATGAACCCACATCTAGACCGTCTTGCACGCACGCAAATCATTGCATCTCAAGCTCTCACTCCTCAGTACCTCGCTCGCCCATGTAGTCGCACCGTTTGTCGATTTTTGTATCATAGGATGTCTAGCTTGTCGGTTTCGTTGGTTGCGTACTGGCCCACACTCTGTTGTACCTTCTTAGCAGTTCATTGCCACCCACAGTCTAGTACATACGCACATCTGTGCACGTAACGGGCGGGAAGCGGTGTATTCCTGTGACGGCATATGATGATATGGAGTCACACCACTCTGAAGCTGTCGCCCTTGGGCCCTATGATCTCCGTCACTTCTGCTTGCGCTATGTACAGCTATCCAGGGCTGTTGAGACGGACTTGCTGCCAAGGCACGCAAACCGGCAGATGCAGATATCGTCGTACACATAGAGAAGGATTGTTATGCTCATAATAATCTGCGTAAGTAGATGTAAGTCTAGCTCACAGATACAATATAGTGCCTACTTACGTACGTTTGGCGAAAATAAGCGTTACATAATTATTTACCTTTCTCACTCACCACTTGCTGGCGCTCCTGGCACACTCCGCACGGTCATGTCGCTGGCTGCATTGAACCCTTGGTCCCAGAACGCGACCCGGGAAGCCAGGCGACTCGTCCTCTCCGTCCTGCGCTCCCAGAAGGAACCCTTAGGTGCCCATGACCTCTACAAGCTTGTCGTAGAGCACGAAGCCGAGAAATCGGGCGTTTCGCCTTCGAAAGAGGACCGACAAACCCTTCCGACTTCTGGCAACCCACCCGAGCCTCCACATCCGAACCATACCATCAGATCTATGAAGTGCGTTTCTCATGGACTCGGAACGTGTTGAAGTAATGAGTAATGTGGGTGCGTAGGTACCTGAGGAGTCAAGTTCTCCCCGACCTCATGCGCACGAAGGATGTCCGGCGCGTCTACATGCAGAAAGAGCTCACACCCGCGGAAATCGAGCAGCGCAAGCGGACAGCAAAGGGTCCACGAAAACAGAGCATCGTCGCGTCGACCACGCAAGGTGTCTGGCGATTCGAATTTCGCAACAGGCCTGTGCTGCAGAAGCCGAAGGAGCAGGAGATTTTTGGCGCGGACGTGGGTGTAGGTGCGGACTGGTCGCATCTGAATAAGAGGAGGCAGAGGTCGAGGGTGTTGTCGGTGGTGAGGGATGCGAGGTGGCTAAGAAAGCTGGATAAGGCCCGTGAAGAGGCTCTGCAGCAGTCTGGGGAGAACGTGGCTGGTGCTGCACCATAGTGCTGCGTGTTCTGTATGTGTCTCGTCGTCATTTCTTCCCAATTAACGTCCATCGGCGTGTGGTACATTGCGGGGACCATATTGCTCGTTGTTCTGTGTCCTTCTGCTCCCTCTTGCCAGCATCCCTTGGCAATCGCCTTGATACACTGTTGTCCTGCCAATTGCAAGTGCGCCTTGAAGCTGAGTACCCTCGCAATACCTCATGGCCACTGTCCGCTGTGCACTACCCTTGCTTGATGGTCGTGCAATGTGACATGCTCTCTTGGGGCCCAAGGTAGGCCACTTCGCAGTGTGCTTCCTCGTAACCACTTATAATAAAGTTACCACGGAGCAAACATCGTGTATGATTGCCTGACGAGTCCGTGTTGGGCAGGCCTGCTGCAAATCTCGGCAACGACAGATGAGTGAGGAACCGCAATACCACCGAGTATCGCTGAAGCTTAGTGCTCGAGAGCAGTTCTTGTCGGAACTTCCGTCACGCCGACCCCGCCCTTCAAGCTTCAAGATTCAACACTGGGGACATGCCGGTCATCTACGGTCATCTACCTTGCTCTGCCGCCTCTGATCTCTTCACCAAACAGTTGTACTGGTCCGCATCTTGTTGTATTTCCAGTGCTATCACTGACTCGATGAATGACTGTCAAAACAGTCACAGCAGACGTTCAGTCGAATACATGACGCATGAAGGAAGCGGCTCAATTCCGCGACTGCGCCTACAAATCAGAATACGTCTACGGACCCTCTCCGGAACGATATCACTGCCGCAACCTTGCCCTCGAAACTGAGCAGGTCCCCATACTTTACAGCCACCAGATCACCGTAGCCACTCTCGTACGTCTGGAGGCCGAACAACTTCTCCACGTTGAATGAAGCAAGCGCAAGGCGGAGGCTTTGTCCACGACATCGGGAGCCTCTAGATATGCCTGCGAAGCGTCGAATACGTGAACATAAGTTTCAGTCATGTGTGACGGGCAGCTCACCCATGCAGCGTCGAAGCGCAGGTTTCTAACAGCCCATGTATACATGGCGTCCTCGTTGGACACGCCCTGAGGACCGAGTGCTACTGTGACGTTGTGCCTCAGCAGGGTCGCGATTGTGCTATCCGCAGAGGCTGGGGGTCCTGGGAGGCTACGAGGTGCTGTTTTAGGCGACAGATCAAATAGTGAATGCATACTGACTAGCGTCTGAAGTCCCATTGTAAGGGCTATGGATCAAGCGCGCCGAGTGAGCACTGAGGATCGTCACTGAATGGACCAGACTCACGTATGGCCTAGGTGGCTTTAGGATGACGCCGACGGAGGCTTCACCGAGCTCCTTGGCAAGCAGATGGGACTCGGCACCCCCGGAAATGATCACCTTCAAGGGGACTCCTGTCTCGACTTCCACTTCTTCCTTCAACTGGATTACCGTAGCGATGATATCTGCACTGTTAGCTTCCACTACCAGGGGAAGCGTGCCCTGTCTTGTAGTTGAGCCAGGACATCCGTTTCCGAAACGGTGGAAGTACTCGCGTTGGTCACGAGTCGGAAGTACTTCGCCGCCTCACCCGTCGGGTGCGACAACAAGTGTCTGAGCGTCGCAACCTGCGTGCTCACGCTTGGAATGCCTTCAGTAGCCAGTTGACATGCACGGCAGTGACATCTTGCACGATAGCGCCCTTCTGCAGCTTGTGCGGGGACCCGAGGGAGAAGGCAGCGCTCAGACCACCCAAGAAGGACGAGTGGATAGGTGCGCTGATCGCCACAGTAACGCCGTGACGGTAAGCCAGTCTGTGGTTGTCGGACGCATCAATATAGCACCCTGGCGAGGCATTTGCACTCACAAAGCATCGCGCGAGGCGAATTGAAGCCCGTCGACAGTCCTAGGCATGTATCCTATTCCACCAGCGATGGTAGGAACATCCACATTGAGGGGGTCGTACACCTCCCCATCTGTTGTGGACACCTCCATGGCAATCTCCTGCAGCCCGATGCTGGAGCCCACAGATATGAGCCCCGGCTGTAGCGTACCACCTTGCAGGTCTACGTGCACGTTCCACCATTGGGAGCATATGAAGAGCAGTCATGCAATGAACCAGAACAGATGATCTTTCCCGCGTGCACGACGACGGTACCCGTTGTGCCCTCTGTGGTAGCAAGCAAGTCGACCAATCCTGAGGTCCCTGTGCCTCTGATCCAGGCACTCGTCACATTGCTGAAAATTACGACGCCCTTAGTTGACGCTGCAGGCTCAAGCGGGGGCAAGCCGTCGTATTCGAGTGTTCTCTCGGCCTCTTCATCCCAGTTCGGGGTGTGTGGAATTTGCTGAGAAGATGCAGGCTTGACTGCGGGGTAAGACGGGTTGATCTGAGGGATGCCGTCAATGATGACTTGAGCAGGAGCAGTGCCGAGCGAGAGCGGGTGGCTATCCCATATGACGACGTCTAAGGGTACTCATGAATGTGTGATACGGACCAGGGCTTCATCAGTACATACCTGCATCGTATCCTATGCAAAGCTCGCATCAGCGGTTGTTCGGCAACGTAAGAGCGATGCAACCACTGACCCTCCTTCAGGAAACCAATGCGGTGGTCCAACCCGAGCGTCCTGGCGGGCGTTGAGGTGACAGACGCCAGAGCGATGTTCTCCGGGAGGCCATAGTAATGTGCGTACCCAGCTTCGTTCACTAGGAACCTCGACTGAATAGCTGGGTGGTCCGACTATGGCAGATCGATCCGGATGAGTAACTACTACAGACAACGAGACAACTCTAGGGCGTACCTTCATGATGACGGGTATGCCATTGTCTGCCAGAATCCGTGGCGCGAATTCCGAGTGCCTGTAAGCCTCGCGCTTGTACCTCGAGAACGCGGAAAACATGGCTATGGCAGGTGTACGACCTACTCAAGGTCAGTCGTTCACGCCACGCACGACTGCCATCATGATCATACCATAGGCACTCTTCAGTAGCTCCGGCACAAGATACGCTTCGTGAGCATGGTGGAATGCCGCGACTTCGAACTTGAACTCGTTCGACAACTACGGTGCTGCGTCAGTATGATCTGCAGTGACCCGCTGGTCCCGATTCTGCTTGCCCTGACGAAGTCATCGAAGTCGACCGCCTCGTAGCAATGCGTGTTGACCTGATACTAGTATGAGCACGACATATGACACCTTGAGCATCTGGAACCCTCACCTTGACGCGGCCTCGCAGCACGTCAACAAGCGCTTCCCATTGCAGGTCTTCAGGGAAGGCCTGCCCCGCGACTGTTTTCCAATCGCCGGCTGTAGCTTTCGCACAGTAGCTATCTTGGGCAACTTTGATCTGGCGAGCGTGGTTGTACCTAAGGAATCCATCAGTCTAACTGGCCCAATAATGTGACACGTCACGTACGCTGAACGGAACGCCCAAGCGGTGTCCATGCGAGTCCCTGCGTAGACACGAGCTGATGGGAGAACACGTTGGTATGCACCGTAGCCAGCCATGTACGTATGTGTCACCACATACATGGGTTCTCGCCGCAAGCATGTCTGCGACATGTTAGTTCTGGCTTTTCGTGAAATCGAATATCGTGAGGCGCACTTCATGTATCGCCAACGCGGTGAAACCGATGGATCCACGTTAGTTCCGTTCAGACTGTACGGTGGCTCGAGTAACATGGATGTCGGGGAGCGCTCCTTAGTCGGCCTCAACTTCATGACGAATGCCTGTCCACCTGCCCACAGCGTTTTAGACAGCTTGTCAGGATACATAGAGCGCACACACCGATCGCGTTGGCGGAGCCGGGAAGAATCAATGAAGTCGTGACGCCTCCCGCCATCGAGTGTCTGAAGCCTTGAGACGCGCACACGGTTCAGCGAACACGGCGCCTTGCCCCAGATTATAATGAGAACCTTCGTCATGTGTGTTCAAGGCATCAATGGACCGTAGCCATGGCTGCGCGATTCCTTTGAGGGAGTTTCCGTCGCTCGCGCCCTCGAGAGCAGGTAGCGCTTCCACCGCCAAGTGCGAGTGGACGTCGATAATCCTGCGAGAATTTGTCAATGTCGCGGTCTGCAAAAGGAACATCTCACTCACCCAGGGGTTACCCATGCGCTGCACGAGAAAGTATAGGTTACAATACGCGATGATTTCTGTCATGCAACATACCTGTTCGCGTCTATGACCGTCACTCTCTCGTCCAGCGTATCCAAGCTTACGTCTCCCACTGCACGAATCAACCCGTTGTCGATGTACAAATCACCGTGCAGCACTTCAAGACCATCCTGGAGTCCTGTCCACAGCGTCGCATTGTGGATCAGCAGTGGGCGCGTCCCAGCCTGGAACCGATCCGACTGGGTCCGTTCGTGAAAGTCCTGCGGCGGACCAGGCTTGAAATCAAGAGCAGCACATTTCTGCAGTATGCCGTCCGCGTTCAAGGGCACCTGGACGCGTTCCGACGCGATAAACGACGCGTGAGACTGAAAGATGACACCAGAGCACTGAGACTGAGCAGACCGGCGGCGACAAAGCGCAGACTCCTCGTCTTCGACGGCCACTGCTTATCCATCTTCTGTGGAAGGTAGCTCGCCGACGAGCGAGCCGCTCGAACGTACGAGATGGTGAGCGTCAGGAAAGAAGGTGTATTGTCGCCGTTTCACGGTCCGGCGCAATCATTATGGTCGATGTGGTAGTTCCGAGAACTTCGGAATTCGCTTGGGAGACCGACTGCACGACGAGAACCTGCTGGACCATCAAAGTGACTTGCAACACAGCGACTAGCCTCGAGCCTAACTTATTTGACTACTCAGTGTGCGCTCACCGCAAGCCGGCCGGCAACAGCAGGCCTAGCCCAAGCCTCTTTTCCCAACTTGAATGTACACATCTAATGGTCCACTTTACGGCGAAACATAAGTACGCTACGGTAGGACTTGATGCCCTCATCCCCCATAATGATCCTTAACCACAGCTTCGGGGTCATGACCGACGGGTGAGCCGCCAGCCATGCACAGTAGCTCGTACCTCCTCTTCTCCGGGGTCTTCGGGGAACATAGGCTGCGTGGATATGTCAAGCGGCGTCGAGGTCAGCAGCGGGAGATACTTACAGGAAACCTTTGAGTAAGAATCTCTTCATAATCCCATCCGCGCTCCTTGGCTTTGCTGAAAAACTCCATATCGCGATGCGCTAGGTGTGGTCTGTGATGCGTGTAGAAGACTAAGAGGCCTGGTTCCGCCCCCTCGTTTGATTTGTTGGAAGACAGTGTTTCCTCGCACGTCTTCAACAGCGCATCGTGCTGAGAAAGCCACTGTCAGCAAGAATGTCGTGGATATCAATGGCCACGTACCTGAGAATGATTGAAGATGAGATCGGACATGATGATGAGATCGTACTTTGTTCTATCTACGTCTAGAGATTCCAGCAACGGCCCAACTGGGCGGCCCCAGATGTAGCCCTTGTTTCATTGTGAGGACACATATGACATGGCGGCACACTTTCCGAACCTTGACTTTAACGCGCAATGATTCTTGAGAAGATGACGGGACGTTCTTGCTCACGTTGAAGTTTAGGTTTTCAAGGAGGCTTGCGTCCGGATAGTCCGTCAACACGACCTACAAAAGTACAGCCCTCCACTAATCAGTTTTCATCTTACAGGATAGCTACGTAGCGACTAACCGTACGAGCGCCGTTTTTTGCAGCGACAATTCCAGGCAGCCCACCACCGGCGCCGAGCTCTAGCACAGCGCGGTCCCGGTAAAGTTCGGGATGGGCGTTCAGGTACGATGCAAAGGCACGGGATGCATTCCATCTGCAGATAATCGAATGAGTGCCCGAGTAACTGTACGTCGCCAAAGAGTACGCACAAGTAGTGTCCCCACAGCGGATGTGAGCCAACCAGACGAATCGATACTTCTGACCAGTCGTTGTTGACACCGTCCTGTGCCTCCCTCACGTATGTAACTGTCGTAGGTTCAGGGGATGGTGGTCTTGGTGGCTCCTATCTTCCGTTATACAGGCCCCCATAAGTTATTCCAGCTCGCGGCAGAAGATGATTATGTCTCGCTCACAGTGAATACCGAGTCGAGGCCCAGTCCGATCTCCTCAGTGTCCGACATACCTCCCGGTCGAAATTGACAATGTTGGAGAGTTGGCTTTACTATCGTTATGTTTGCGAGGTTTGCGATGATGTCTTCGAAGTTACAAGCAAGTTAGACTCGTGCAAGTAAGTGGTTAATCTGGAAGCGCGGAAGCGCCTAAAGGAAATGAAGATCGCTCAAGCGCCTGGGTAATACATGGGTAAGCGCCTGTGCTACCTGTGAGTCGAACCAGCCTATCCTATGATTCGAGTCCCAGCGACGCGGCCAGCAATGCATTTCACAGATATCATGCTCATACTGAATACCATATGGCCATATTCAACGCTGCTGAGATCAAGTAGATAGACCGACGAGTCGGGACGTGGCCTCCTGGGACACTGCTAGCGCCCATTCGAACTGTGTTCTTCCATCGCGGACGTGAGTACCATGTGCTGCATCTATAATCAAGGTGCTTTCTTTCCTAAGAGATACATCTGGCGATTTTCATATCTGCTAGGACCTCAGACACGTGGCAGAAGGGACGACGGGTAGAAATAAGTGACCATCTTCCACGCAGACTCCCACACTGAGAGTCTATCCAGAGAAACGACCCTTTGACGACGCATAGGTAAGCTGCACGAACATCAACATACAATCTGCTTCTTACCCTGAGGTAAGCACCCTTGACTTGAAGCGCGGGCACGATCAGCAGGAACAGCCCGGCAACAATCGCTGCCTCGACGCCGAATGTCTGCAATGCGCCGTACTTCGTTGCCCAAGGGACTTGAAAGTAGGCGACGCTGAAGCCGCCCAGCGTCCGGCAGAGGTTTACAAGAGCAGATATCTCACCCTTCAAGCACAACGTCGTCGTCAGTCGTAGCTGCGCAAGATGCGGTGCACCGTGACGCTCACCTGCCTGTCTGGGAAGCAGTCGTTACAATACGCATCTGCCAACTGGTAAGCATAACAAGCATGAACATGATATGTCTCGATTCTTACAGACTGCAACAGTGTTGAAGACCACTACACACTGCGCTATGCCCCAGCCGAGGACTAGCCCAGCGATGTTGAGCCGTTCCATGCATGCTCCGAGGACGACAAAGCCAGCAATATACAGCGCAACCGCGATGTAACAAGCCCTTCGTATAATTCTCTATGAGCACGGAGGTCAATGAGAGTCGTTTCGGCGGAACGCACCAGAGCCGCATCTCAGCCTCGAAGACACCCTTGTTTCGGCGGATGCAGACTTCCATGATCCAGTCGTTCAGATAGTGCCCGATCTGCTCGCCCAAGATCACGGCCACCTGTGTGGTTGAATTGCTTAGCGGATGCAGTCGTGACTATGAACGGACGCATTCACGATGGGTGTGCCGTAAGCACCAGCGATAGCATATTCACTGAAGCCGTAACCCTTCGGAGGCGCTTCGGCAAGGATGACTGCGTTCGTCGTCTATCAACGCAGTGAGCAATGTGCCTTCCGTAGTCATGGCTATACCTACGTTTATACCTGTAGTGAAGCCAAAGATTATCCCCTGGAGGATAGGAATGTGCATGAGAAGAATGATGCACAAGTCACAAGAAGATCACCCACCTCAAAGACAGGATGCTAAAAATATGCGGCCGCCAGACGAGATCTACACATGCCCATACCACGGTCCGCCAACGGGCACGATACTTAGCCATGCGCCATCCTGTATCCCCACTAGTGTCTGGACTCGGTACAGCAACGAAGACTCGGTCTTGGAATCGGCTTCGGGTCTGGGAGAGAGCGGTCATACATACTATGAGACCGAGCGGCAATCAATGAGCGGACACAAGAACAGAGAGTAGTTGACACTAACGACTCTTCGAGGAAGAACGTGATCATGAAGACCACGAAGCCACCATACATCGAACCAATGCCGTATGTCCATCGCCAGCTGAGTAGCCGGTGTTGAATTGATGTGAGCGCGTAGAGCAGCAACGAACACGTACTTTGCACGTGCAGCGAGAAATCCGAACGCGAATGGCGACAGGAAGGGAGATATGATGAACCCCATGGTCCATACGTTCAACTGTATCATGTCTTGTCAGGCATAGGTTTTAGGTATAGACCATTGACTGACCTTTCTCGCCTGCAAATGGAACGGGAAGAGGTCTGTAACAACGTAAAGACCCTGAGAGACGTCAGCACGACATTCAAAAGCCGGAAAATAAAGCTACCTACTGTGACTTGTGGGCATGTCCTATGAAGGCAGTCAGCGCCCGGAAGTTGATACAATTACACAACACGTTACTTACCCAAAGAAGCAGTGAGGCATCGCATCGCTATAGACCCGCATCAACATTCAAGTCCTGAACACATCTCGCCGCACAAGACGAACCTGTGAACGTATTGAGGTTTGGAGCGAAAGTGCAGCCGATCAAGAACCCTAACGCCAATACCTATTGTTGGGGGGCGAGAGTATTCTCAGGAATAATTACATTGAGCTTGAGACACAAGGCACTCGCCTGCGACCAGAACAGAACAGGCAGTCTCCCGTATCGTCGCATCAGCATGACAGCGACGATGCTTCCCCACCCTGTCAATTAGTGACGCATGTCAGAGACGCGATATATCGGCGACTGCAGACGATACTTACCGAGCAGGAAGATACTCCAACTGTATTCGGAAGTGGTCAGTTACCAGCATCGTGGTATTCACACCTTCGAACGCAAGCACGTACTTCGATGTCAAGTTATTGATGACACCCGTGGTGGTATTGTAAGTCTGAGCCAGCTGAAAGATGGATGCAATGCCTAAGACACGCGGCTTATGAGGCGCGCAAAACGCGACCATGAATCTGCATCCGTACCGATACCGGAGTCAAAGTCCGGGACGATAGCTGCCAGTGTTATGATGAACAGCTGGAAGTTCTTCCGGCGATCCGACCACTGTAAAGCTCGCCCTGTTACGGAAGTCACCCAAGAGTACGAGACCACTCACGTTCTGCGGATCCTCTGGATCATCGGTTGGTTGCGGCCATAGCACCTTAGTACCATCGGACGACAACTTCAATCGCTTTGCAAACTCTTCTCCGAACTCGATTCTCGCTTCCCTTCACACTAGTCAACATTCCTACGTGGAGCACTCGGACGCACGAGAACATACTTGGGGTCGATCACAAGCCTTCCGGCATTACGTTCATGGTATGTATACAGATCGATCTTGTCCACTGAAGAGGAAGTCTCCTGTTCGCGGACTAAGACTATATTGTCGTCTCCGGAACTCTTCTCCAGGTTCTTTACGCTGCTCGCTGCGGAAGGTCGATCACTAGGTAGGAGGGTTGACATTGTTACACGACTAAGCCGTGGTCCAGTGCGCCAGGGTTCTGCGATGTTGAGATCACAGCGAAGGCAAGGATCCGTAGTTGAGAGGAATCGCACGACGGAGGGTCTCGCCCCTTTTCCCTGTGAAGTCTTATACATGGGAGGCGGCGTGAGCCCAAGACCAAGAGCCCATGCATTTCACCCAAGGTCTTCTAGGGGAACGTTCGTTGGTCACAGGTTTCCATGACGGTGAGAGCAGCATAAGGGCAGAAGCCACGTATAGGCACGACTTCGCAGTGTCTCCACTGATTCCCACTTAAGTGGAACAGCTGAGATGCCCACTGTTGAGATCGCGTGTTCAGCGGCAAGCGCACAATGTGGACCATTGCAAACGTACCCACTTGGCACTGAAGAAGCGCATAAGGCCGCGGGTCGTGGATGCTTCGGATCACTAGTAAGCGCACCCACTTATTGATGTCTGAAGAGTGCTTGTAGACAAACTTCATATCTGCGACACGAGTACCAGCGTAAGCCACCGTTGTGCACAATCGCGGGACCTAAGCGAGAGCATCGACGGGAGTAGACGTCGCAAAAGCAGATTAGTGTGTGATCAAATGATGCGGAGGAGGATGAACTCTTTGCCGTTTCAATGCGTGAACACATGGATGGGAGGCAGCAATACCACGAGACTCTTCGACGTTCGATGGGCTGGGATCTATATAGTAATAGTATACGATCATTGTCAGTCGTTTTTGCTTCGGCTCTGTGCCCTCTAGGAGAGGTCTGACAGAAGAAACGAACGAACATTGCATATCATTGGCCCGCATCGTGACCTTTGACCCTGCCCATCGAGGCGAGTCGCCGCTGCATGTCTAATGTCTTCGTAGCAACCTGACGGCGTGGAGCTGTAGGTCCGCTTCAACAAAGCTCAAAGACACTCAATTGCCGTGATCGCTATATTCGAAGTCAAGAACAAATATGTCCATAGGCTCCAGTACGTACCGAATATTCCTGCCGGACAGCATATATATCATCGAGCAGGCCGCTGATACAGAGTTCCAAACGTTTAAGCTCAAGGTTCATTAATGCATTGAACGTACAGTTCAATCGTGTCCTGCATGATCACGTGCATACTAAGTACCGGTTGGGTACCGGTACGCGACATTGCGAGCTTACTGGATTTAGCAATTCTGTCTTTTCTTCTCCTCCCTCACAGCGTAAATGCGTGGCTTGACATTCATCGGCATCAGACAAGCTCAGACGACGGCAATTCAACTGATTCTGTCAAGGTCCTGCACCATGCCACTGACGACAATCGCGAGTCCAGAATCGAATCACCACGCTACACTTTACACAGCACACAAGGATGTCGATGATTCATGAACTCGCATTCGACACATGTATCTCCGAGTCGTAGGCGCCAAAGGTCTCTCTCACAGGGAATGCGCGAAGTCTTCTCAAATTGGCTCATCTTCCGAACCTGTCGCGAGCATCCTGGTGAAGAGCACTGCGACCAGCAGCAGAACACAAATGCCGCGTTCGATATGGGCGTTGCAGTTGCTCGTCGATCGGTATGTGGTCGCAACCGCTACAGTACATCAACATCACGAGCTCATATATGATAGCTTATACAGCCCGGAACCGCTCTTTACTTCGAGCTATCAGAGCGATCGCACGGGCCTCGCAATCAGGCGCATGAAGTCTCGTTCCTACAGAGCTCCATGAAAGACGTTCTTCAGGATTCGTCTTCGTCAGCATCAGTGCCATCTCCATCCACTGCCCCCATTGCGCTCATCTCACCAGGTCCCATCCCTTCGTCGAACCGGCCAGGAGTAATAAGACGAGCATGGCTAGGGCTGAAGTCAGCGCTATGGTCAGCATATTCTCTGGCGACAGGGATCCATCTGCCAGCGAGTGGATGTCGGCGCCCGACGTGGAGACGAAGGGGAGGTGGGCTGTACGGAGCCGATTGACGACAGTCGAGGCCCAGGTACTTTGGTAACGTAAATTATAGCGAGATGTCGTGCTCACCGCCACATTCCCAATCCTTGCCCCAATTCCTGCATCTCAATGCTTCTGAAGGCCGTGCACCTTCGACGTCAAAGGCGAACTTCATGATTCGTGCGATAAATCAACAGACTTCCTCTCACGTTTTTGTCATGTCCGATGTCAGGCTTTATGATTGTTGACACGAAATCTGCAGCTGTGTGATCAAGGTGCCGTTCGCGGGATGGTAATCACCTCAGACTTACGCTGGGAAGCGTTTGCAAGCACCGTCCTGGCCAAATTCGACAAATTACCTACTGGACTGGAGATGTAAATTTTGGGACTGGATGGACGGCAGCGGATGCGTAAGTGGCTTGCTCGTTCTCCGTACACGAACTAAGTAGATGTAACACAGGTCTGTCTGTGTGATCGAACAGACTTTTAATCTACCATGATAGTGTGTGCAAGTGTAGAACGGAGGCTGGGGTATGGCATTCCGACAGATATTGGTGGTCTTGAGGCGGCGATGTCGTGCGTCGTGGGTCCAGTATTATTCTGTGCACGGGCTGATATATTCCGGCAGCGGACTGCTTATGCAAACTCTGACATGTTAGTCTCGCGTCGATAATATTGGCAATTGGTTCAGTACAATCCCGGTCAATTCAAGTACCACTGGTCGCTGTCGTAGCACCGATCGTGTGATTAGACTATTTTGAACCAGCCTCGGATCATCATCTAGTCCATAATCAAGCTCAACCAAGTCTCCGTTGCAAAACATCAAAAACAGGCAAGTGTCTTGTATGGTACTCATCTCTTTGCCTGGTACTCTCTTCGTCACCTCATTTCAGCTTTCCATAAGCATTGACAGATGTTTTGCTAAACCATCCAGGAGTCCTACAGGCCAGTAAATGGCGTACACCATATGTTTTTAGCGGCCTCAGCCGATAGGTAACAACTTTACGCTGTTCCAGCACGACTCCCTGCACAACGCGTAGTATGGTGACCGCAACAGCGAACGAGAAGTTGACGGAACATGGGGTAGGTAACTTTCGCGGGTCCGCTTTCTTGAGACATCCCTCTGACGTGTAATATGTCACGGTTGTGGTCCCATGACATGGGAGGAAGGCACCGTCACCAGGGGCATTGCGTGGCGCACGCATCCTCCTTACATTGCAGCCAATACGCAACTGATGTAATGGCCAAGGTATGACAAGACCACTGCAAGCAACGGCCGTCGCTCCTGGTCGCTCCATTACATTCCAGTGGTCTCGTACCCATCCGTGTGGACGCACCCCACCACCGCTCCGAGAGACCACATTCCAGCGGCATCAATCCCCGCCATGCGTTCAGACGCTGAAGCGCTGATGGCCCATCATGGGAACCAATTCACTGGGCGAACGAGTATGGAAAATCTTTGATCAACCGCTATAACAGGTCAGGACATCCAGCGCTAACGTCACGCTACTGAATTTCGACCCACTGACCATGTATCTGACGCGTATGCTGCCAAATGGGGACTAGCACCAGATGGCGTCTACGAGTTCAAAATACCAATGGACATGAGAACTTCGTCAAGGCCTCAACTCATCCCTTGACCTCGGTTCCTTGGTGGTATATCGTTGCGCGCGAACGACACCTTGGTCCCGACTTCTTCCACGATTCCAGGCGGTAACTCTCTGGGACACTCCTTCCGGTACGACATGTTTCGTGCAGACGCGGAGACCGCGAAAGCGCCCATTGCTGTGGTTCCGGATGTTGTCGACAAGGAAGGGGACTCAAAATACGAGGACATGAAGGGGGATGCGGCTGTGGAAGGATCCCCAGACGTCTTACTGGACTTGGCCCTATATCACGAGCATAACGCGGGCCGTCTAGTTGTGGACCCGGAGTACGTCTAGGCTTTAACGCAATTAATTGCAAGATCGCTGAAACAGTCACAGGGAGGCACTGATAGAATTTGGGGAGAAGATCGCAAGTAGGCTAAGCTCTCACGGGATGGTACCAAGGTACTCTGGCCTCAGCCAAGAGATGACCCGGAAGATCCTCAAAATGTGAGTGTGCATTTCTCTGGAAGGGTCGTTCTCATGGCGTGATTGACGTCAATGCAGTGGTCGGATTCGCGGAAGAATTTTCAGCTCTTCATTATCACAGTTGCCGCTGTCATCCCCGACTTCGACTCAGGCATCGGTGAGCACATATCCACTCCTGCGTACAGGAGACAACGTTGACATCAGCATTCTCTTTGCGACGCGATGCCGTCCTGTCAGGCATTGCATCTATATTTGCTCTTGCAGAACAATATGACACGACCACGGGAGTGATCAACAATCTGACATCCAAGTACGTTCATGGAGGTGCTTCCGAAATTTGCGCAATGCCCATTCACATCACGTCGCAGTTGGAGCATCTTCCTTCTGGGTAAGGCTGGCTGTCGATTGCACGAGGTAGTATTTCACTGAAACGTCGCAGGTTGGGGTAGCCTGTTCGCTGTGATGCTCGTGCGGAGGTATGGCCGCCTACCCGTGCTGTTCTGGTCGCAGGTGATTACGTCGCCGTATCTCGCCATAGAATGCTGATAATCATTCTACATTCAGGTGCTTGCCCTCGGCTTTTTGCTAGGCTGTACCTTCGCACCAAACCTCAAAACATTCACGGGTACTGTATCTCACTCGGCACTGGAGTCATTCAATTGACTTCGCTCCTCCAGCTATGAGGTGTCTCACTGCGTTCTTTGGGTGAGTACATCAGCGCTGAAGCGGTCACAGTCCTTGATGCTCGCAATAGGACATGCCCACAAGTGACCGTCAGTACGACCGGTCCGTGCTGATTATCTCAAACTGATCAGCAGCACGTCTTAGGGTTTGTACTTCGTCACCGATATGTACCCGTTCCACCTCCAGGCACGAAAGGTCGGTCTACCTCGATAGAATGACATTGGGCGCAAACGCAAAGTTGACATATGTCACGTACACCAGCTTAATATTTGGACAATGGGGTTCATCATTTCGCCGTTCATCTCACCATTCCTCTTCGGCTTCCTTGTCGCCCGCGCGAGGTGAGTTTGATGTTCTTACAAACACCACTGTGTTCGATCTCTCATGGCGCGGCAGTTGGCGCTGGACATATGGAATCGGTTCGATATACGGGGCAATCGTGGTCTTCCTCATCACGTTCTTCGCGGAGGAAACGTACGTCTGTCCCGGCTGCATCGGTCTCAAGAAGCAAACTGATGGCTTCCGGGCTTACCGCTCGTAGCATGTACGATCGTGCCTTGCCAAATCCGCGGCCCATTCCCCGCACGACGTCGCGTCTACGATATAGGGTTGAAACTCTGTTAGGTATCACGGGCGCACGGATGGCGCGTTATCGAACAAGATGGCGAGACACCATACTGGCATGCCCTTCGATCATTTGGCGACCGCAGATACTGGGCATACTTCTCTTCGAGGTGCGCATCACCGGTGTACGTACCTCCGGTGCAGTGTTCACACATTATCTAGGCTATGCTCTTCGGTTTCAGTATCGGTATCAACGTGCGTCGTTCTTCGCACACGAGGGCCGCGTATGCCGTAGCTAACTCTGGAGGACTCGCAGACTACGAACGCCGTCTTCCTTGGCACCCCTCCACCGGTTGGATACGGATTCAGTCAGTACGCTGTGGCTGGCGCCTATGGAACTCCAATCGTATAGTGACCACACTTTACTCGTCCGACAACGTACTGATACAACAACTGCAGGTTGCAGTCATAATCGGCGAATTGCTTGGCAGATACTTCAATGACTGGGTGATGAATTTCTGTATCCGGCGCAACAAGGGCGTGTTCGAGGCTGAGATGCGGCTCTGGTGAGTCTCCCTGCTTGGTCCACGAACAGCACTCCCGCTTACCTTCTGCCGTGTAGGACAATCTATATCGCATTACCTCTCTACATATGTGGCTTCCTCGTACTGGGGGCTTCATTCCAGAAGCACTTGGGCGTGGGCGCCCTTGTGATGGGTTGGGGTATCGCGGAAGTGGCTGTCATGATAACTACTGTCGCTGTCTACGCCTATTGCAATGACTGCTTCCCTACCAGACAGGTAAGTACGACACCGCCCCTTGAGCGCAACTTTGACAAGCGTTCGATCCGTCTAGGGCGAGATTTCGGCATTGATCAATCTCACCCGTACCTTGGGCGGGTTCAGCGTAGCGTATTTCCAGGTGCCGTGGGCCACGAAGAACGGCGCGTTGCAAACGTTCGGTGTCGAAGCCGCCATTGTAGCAGCGCTGTTCATGCTCATAGTACCCGTGCTGCAGTGGAAAGGTGCAAGCTTCCGGGTATGTCCATCATCCATACCGGGAAAATACAATAAATTAATGTTCGATATCATCGCTAGCAACGGTATTCACTATGATACTCCCGCAGCGAACGACGCAGGAGTGAGTGCAAGCTAATGTTCTCACAACTATGCACGATGTCATGCGGGGTACTGGATGGTCTCGAAGAAGGCGGCGGAAACCTACATGAGACATAGCTTCAAGAAGAGCATCCCACTGCACTATGCGATCGATCACATGCAATACAATAGTCTAGTCGTCGGCTTCATCTGACAGCGTCAGTCGCTGATGACACAGCCGTGCGACTGCAGCACCGTCAATAGGTATTGAGTTGCCCTGGAAGCCCTCGGGGTAGTTGACCGGAGGGACGTCGGGACGTGTGAATGCCCTGCGCATCCTTAGCGGCCATCGCGGAGTCTAAAAGCGGAGCACTGACCTGTCGTTCCAGAAACCGAAGTGAACCATCCCAAGAGCACGAGTTGTGTACTCATAATCGTGTGCGAAACCTTCGGGATAGAAGAACTCCATGACAGTTGAACGGGGAGTCGGGCGCATCCACAGCAGTGAGGTGAGACCATTGCCATGGACACCCATCATGATCTGCACGGGCGTAGAAACTCAATCACAGACGACCATGAAATGAACAGATAGGTGCCTACCGTCGTTCGACCGGCAAGCTGAAATTGCTCGATGCGCGACAGGCGGTCCATGCTCACGACATTAACCTCGTACCCGTACGTGTCCCTCAGATTGTACAACTCGCGGACGAGGCGATCGTGATCTTCAGGGACCAACATACGACGTCCCCAGTCTTGTCGGGAGATGTAGGTGATAACCGGGACGCTGTCGACGCCCTGAACAGACTCCGCTCCGCCGCTCTCCCCGAGACCAGCGAATCCGACGACGTTGTTCCGGATGGTACTCCACCAATTGACACTCCCAGGAAGAGCAAAGGCGTTCGCAGCCGTACGCTGGGTCCGGAGGAAATTCTCGCCGTGCATCGCGGCAGCACGGTCGGCAAATACCACACGGTCGAAGACGAACACGCGACCCGTGTCAGCGCGTTCCTTGAAGTCGTTCATGAATTCTGTCGAGATCGAGGGGAAGGACGCGCGCAGGACCCATTGATTCATTGCGGCGTAGTCTCTCCAGTTGTTTGCGTCCAGGTGAGGGAAATCATCCTTCTTGGGGTGGAAGTGTCGTTTCGCCACTCGGAGGGATGCCGGGGTCTAACGACGAGTATGTCCGCCAGAAACCGAAGAAGAGCTCGGCAGACCAGTGGTAATAATGGGTGATGCTGTTTCGCGATTAGCAGTGATACCCACGCAGCGTTGGCAGACTTACAATTGTTTTGGGTCATTGGCATACCACTGAAGACTGCGTCAGCCAGATTTGCTATATATGTAGAGTCTCCATACCGTCACGCCATCCAATCGTGTCGCATCTGTACCGAACAACCGCTTAGCTTCCTCTGTGTTAATTACGCGCATGTCCTTGTCGGTCGGAATGCGCTCAGTCTCGGCTATTGGACCATTTTCGATGAATACGGCAGTCGAAGCGATGCGTCGACAGTCGGGTATTGTTTCCGGCTCATCGGACACAATGTAGACTGTACCGTTCAACATGTAAAGTCGATCAATTATCGACCATCCTGTTGCAGAGTAGATAGTCAGTTCGTGAACAATACGTCACATCCAGACAGACATGCACAATATCTTCACGTCTTGCAACGCGAATTGAGGATGCCTCATCACGTGACTAGAAACGGTCCGCAGACCACTCTGCGGCAGGCAAGAAACATAGCGGCCTATGGCGTATCCTTAACGGCTTGGAAGCGAAGACTCACCGGGTGCATGAGCGACTATCTTTGTCTGAGGTACTGGGCCTGTGTCCCATCGCAGCGGCAAATTGAGTGTCTGCAACGTCAACTGCTTCTCGAAGGTTGGAGGCTCCGCGTGAACATCGGCATCCTCGTATACCGTATATGGCCTGACTATGTCTTTGAGTGTCCGTGTGTCCTGTGGCAGATTCACAGTGAAGACAAGGAGCAGAACCAGAAGTACGGTGAGGAGACAGATTTCGCGAGGGGTAGGCGTGAAGGGTGCCATCCGTGTTAGTGACCGACGTTATCCAGTACTATAGATTGCAGCCTCAGATCATTCAGAAGGAGCGAATCGTGATCAACAGCCGGGCATGCACGTTTCGTGGGCGGGGATGTGGCGGTGGCCGTTGAACATGGGCTGGTCGTCGACGCGCGACCGCCAGCAATGGGCGCCTCTTCGTGATGACCATCCACATTAGGCAACTCATGTAGTTCGCTCGCGCATCCCCCAGTTATTTGACCACTGCAACGTTCTTTGACCCTGTCATTGAGCAGGGCAGGTTCGTACAACGTATATGTCATACTCTCATATCTAGCGAATGGGTGCATATTCTACAGATTGAGCTGGATACAGTCCGACGGGATGCAAGATAGTGATACATGTGGTGGGTGGGTAGACCGGGATAATCGTATGATGGTCGGATTTGCACGAGACCGGTCTTCAGTAGCACACTTCGGCCGCAAAGAACGTGGGGTCCCATGGTATCGAAGGCATGTTCACAGGGGATTGCACCACGCTCATAGTCTCGGGAGTCGCATCTAACAGACACGTCCCGGTTAATGATCAGCAATAGACGCAGAGCGGAGCGTTGCACACCAATTGGCGTGGCTGGGGGAGGGTAGCGCAAGGCATCGTAATTTCACTTCAAAGAATCTGAGAAGCCAGTGAGCGAGAAGACCCAATAAGGTCTTGGGGCATAGCTCACCTCGACGATGGGATGTTGTCGACTGACTGAACACCAGCGACGACTACGCCAGCGCCGTCGGAAGGAAGTGTGAGATGGTCCGAATGGTGCGGCCCACCTTTGTCTTTTATGCTGGATCATCCATGCGCTCCGAGCGTGTATCGATATCTCTAGGATATCTTCGCGGAACCGTAAATCTGATCGGATCATCGGTACCTCGCACACCCTCGCGCAAGAGCTCCGGGTTGCACGCTGCACTCGTTATACTGCGCACCCGATTGGCCCACAACATGCGTTTCGGTGCCTCGTCGCTCTGTAACTGCACAGAAAGAGCAACCTGACTGCGTCGTGGAGCGCGGAGGCAATGGCGTAACGATGCAGTCATTTTGGAGGGTGTGCATAGCGTCGGCCGAGCAGATTGAGATGCATGTGGCAACTGCGGATGCATAGATGATACTTATCTCACCTTTACGTCAAAGTATGCTCGCCCAACTTTGTCAGCCATTCCTGTAGGGCATACGCGAACGAGCGGCCTGGATGCGGGAACGAGTAACTTCATAGCTCCTCAGCTTCGCGAGGCTAGGCTCGTCCCGGGCTCGTCTTGAACTTATCCGAAGGAAGGAAGTTCGCGGCATACTCGTGTTCTAGGCGTGTCCTAGACGTTCATTAGATCCAGTGGGTACGTCTCTTGCAAGTTGTGGAACGACGGTTGCCTGCTTGCTACGTCATCCATGCACTAAAAGGGAGAAAGCACGTCCCGAGATGTCAGGACATCGTCGAGTAAGCATTTGCTACACAACGTCAGAACGACGATGAGATTCTCGCTGTCGATGAACAATACATTGACGACTTGAGCACCGCACCAGTCCCATTCACATGTTCTCTTCGGGTATCATAGACAAACGTGTCGAGGCGCCTTCCTTCAAAGCGAGTCGCCTACGCATGAGGCTGCAGCAAGCAGCGTGTCAGCATCCGGATGGGGTCGAGCTGGAGCCAGGACTGGGGGTAGAGACATTCGAGCACTGCATGCGCTCGATAGCGACGTGAGCCAGGAAGGGAATGATGTGAGACGTCTTCCCTTCGCGAGCATAGTTGTTCCTGTCCATCGGCATCGTGCTATTGACGTCTAGACCGGGGTAGTATGCCGAGTTGTTGAAGAGACCGAGCGCTGTCATGACGAGCAGAGGCTCCTCTCGGTAAGTGAACGAGATGTAGAGCGACTGATTGAAGATGGAGGTGTCGTTCGCGGTCAGTATGTCGAGCGATGGGGTTGCTGTAGCCGACGCTGTAGAAGTACATGACGTCATCCATGTACTCGAGGCTGAGCCACTCCTCAGCGGCCTCAGCGATGAAGATGTCGCAGAAGTCTGTACGGGTGCGGATAACATCGACATATCCTCAGAGCTTCACAACGTCTTCTACAGTGAAGTTGAATCCTGGAATGGCTTGGGTGAAGCGGGAGATGAGAAGCGCAACGACCGTATGCGCGCCCTTGGTCGGGTTGTCTGAGAGAGGGAACGTGTACGCGTCGACCGCCGTCTCATCGAACGCGGGGAATGCAAGCTTGGAGGAGTCGGGCGCCAACCAGAGTGCGTAATTGAATGAAGAAACCCCCCCTCCTTCGTACACCCGGTCGGGGACACCGTGGAAGAGGGAGGCGTTTCCGGACTCGTGACGCGGACCGGGTCATCGCTGCTGAGCGGTTATTATGGAGTGATGGAGAGAACGGGAGAGACATACAACAAAGAGGCAACGGGGTAGAGGCCATTCGAGGCGACGAACGCAATGGACTCGCCCGTCGGCGACCACGTAGCACACGCAGTGACGGGTGGTTGAGAGGATGGTGGGTCTCCTTGGTCGCGACCCCGTGCACGTAGTAGTTGCCGAAGCTCGAATGCCGTCATTGCTACTCAGTGTCAGCGGCGAGACGAGATTAGAGAGCAGAGAATACCAGAGGTGCAGGACGCCCTGTATGCGGAAGCCGGTGCGGTGTAAGATCTTGCAGCGAATATGTCGAGCTCCCCATCTGTAGAGAGAACGGTGTGATGAGGCAGAGAATGGAGGGGCGGGAGAGGTTGATATTTGCAGTAGTATCTAGAGCTTGTTTACGAGCTCGACGAGGGCCGCGTCCATGGCACGCAGCGGTTGTGGGCCAATGGCGGCGGCGGTGGCAGGCGTCTGCACAACCGACTGCAGACTCGCGTTCAACGTTGCATGCAACGGCCAAGTACGTGCACCACTGCAGGTTTGATACGTCGGGCTCTGCAGTTTCGTCTCTCGCAGCGCACGTCTGCAAACGCCTGCTGGAAACAGTTTACGCGGAGGTCCACCGAAGCCTCCTCAACATTTGCAAGTCATGATGCTTCTTCATGATCTCATACCGGTCCATCCCAGGCGTCCAGTCCATCGATCCCACGTTCATCGTCGCCGGATACCTATCTATGCCATGTTTCCCGGCCCAGTCAAAGTCGACAAGCTTCGCGTGCATTCCCGACTCTGTCGGGACACACATAACATTCGGTATCCGCAGATCGCCGAACACCCAGTCCTCGGCATGCAGAGCGTTGAGGGCTCTCCCAACGTCGTCCCAGATAGTATCAGGGAATGGCACCGGCGGCCGCGACTGGGTCATAGCCCAGACCGTTATTCCGGGAATGCGCTCCATCACGACCTTTCTTGGCGAGGACTTCGTGGGCTGCAGCACCGTACCGCGACGTGAACTTGACGACGACCTCGACACTGCTGGACGTGGACGACTGTACAGCTCCCTGGGCCGGGACTTGCAACGTGGCAATGTACATCGCCGATCGTACTTCGTCCGGGTTCCGAGGAAAGACGTACTCATCGTTTGTCCGAGACAATCTGTACTTGAACGACAGCTTCGGGAGCGGTTGACCGTCGAGGGCGGTAGGCGACGGGAATAGATGACTGACGCTGTTCTCGGGCGGCCCATGATCGCGAGTTCGGTATGAAAGTCCCGTATCGCCATCGTGGCAAGTTGGACAGCTTTGAAAGCCTTCGCCAATCGCAATACATGTTTGTGCCCGTGCAGACCCAAAGACAGCTTCTGGGAGTATGATTCTCCGTAGTAGATGTTGCCGCCAACGTACACGACGCTCCCGATCTGATAAAGTGGCCCATTAGTCCGACCCGGACTGCAGGATGGTTGGTCGGCGGCTGCCGCGCACGAGCGAACTAACAGACAGGTCAACAAGCTCATCTGAACGGCAACACCATTACATCACGCCGACGAACATACCTCATTGCTTCCGACAACCTTGGCATACGACAAAACCGCTTTTAGGAAAGCATCCCCGCCCATCCCAAATTCGTTATTGTTTTCTTGTATCATTGTCAGGTACGGGTCGTACCACATGACGTCGGGTTTGGCACCTTGAAACCGAGTAACTTGTGTCTCTCCGGCAGAACCCGCTAGCTTGTTGACGAGGACTTGGAGCACCTTCCACCGGTCTTCCTCAGAGTTATGAATGTCTAAACTTTTGACAATGAAGTCGTTGACGTCGCCGAGGAATTGAGCATCGATGGTCAGCTCGTCCAAGTCGTTATCGAGATGGCGAAGATGATAATCTAACTGGGCAAGAGCAGAGTGGAATAGGGCAGGAGGAGGACCATAGTTGTACGCCGGCCGCCCACCGTGGACAAAAACGCCGCCGACGCCGAAAATCTTCTGAAGACCTTCGACATCGTGGACCACCCGGTCCGAAGGCGATGGAACTCCCTGCGTGAAGTTCTTGGTCCTGAGACGAGAAACTGACGCAGATGCGGAAGTCAGATCGTTGCACGTGGAACAGGGTGGGTAGCGCACTGTTTAGGAGACGGGTGGCTTCGAAACGAGGTTCGGTAAGACTATCGAGGGCTTCCAGAACTAGTAATTATGTCAGTGTATCATGACTTCGACGGTACGCAGGGGAATCACCGTCAGAAGTAACAATGATTATATCGACCTCCTGCATCTCCGAAGAACCACCCGGGAACTCATATTTGACATAGTTCGCAATGTTGACCTGTTCGCTTGCATTCACAACGGACATGGCGGCGTAATTGCTATTGATCCACCGTTGGGCGCGCTCGAAAAGGTTTGATTCAGGCATTGCAGACAGGCCCTGTGGCTGTTGTACTGGTGTTAAGAAAAGTACCATTCACAGCAAATTCACAGCGGTCGTACCTTAAACACATAGAAGGCCTCAGAAAGTTTGACGTGTATCTTGGGCTCAGCGTTGCTGATCAAATGTTTGATGCGCGTCGGTCTGGGTGTGGGTAGTAGAGAATGAATCCGACGGACATGGTAGCGGTAGCGGTGGTACTGATGCTTCGATGTTCGAAAGTGTGAACTTTAGTGAAGTACGAAGGAAACTCATCAAATATGGCCATAATTACCAAAAACAGGAAATTCTTTGGTCGAAAACATGATACTCAGCTGTATGCTCGTCAGTCGTTCAATGGATCTCGAACGTGCAGCGAAGCAGTTCCTCACTGGATACTTTACTCAGTGGTAACCATGTTCGGCGTCTGATTCGGAAACACAGCAGTACAGTATATTGTTTGCGGTGTGTACCCATTACTTATCACCGACACTTCAAATATGTTATCCTAAAATGATAGTTATTGTGTGTCGTTAACCCATACACACCGGGAGCATAGTGTTTCACATCTACGTGGTTCGTAGACATCAGTCTAAGTGCATCGGGAAGGTGATATGCATTACGACTCGGACGCGAGCGAGCTCCTCCCAGAAGGCTGGCTTACGTAAGCAGTGTGACCCGTAGAGCCCTCGGCAAATGACATTGACATCCTCCTCGGACGTCCCGTCAACGATGGTAGAACTCTTCCGAGTCACTCAATGTTACAAATTTCTATTCTGGCACCGCGAACTCCGTCCAGCGAGACCATGGTCGAGACGAGCGGCCTGGATGTGGGAGCGAATAACTTCATACTAGCTCCTCAGCTTCGCGAGGCTAGGCCCGTCTTAAACTTATCCGAAGGACGGGATTGCGCAACTTACTCGTGTTCTCAGCGTGTCTGAGACGTTCATTAGATCCAATGGGTAAGCCTCTTGTAAGTTGTGGAAAGACGGTGGCCTGCTACGCCGTTCATGCACAAGAGGGGATGAAGCAGGCGTCCCGAGACGGCAGGATGGCATCGTCGAGTAAGTATTTGCTGTCAGAATGACGGTGAGATTCCTTCTTTCGATGAAAAATACAGTGACGACCTGGAGCATCGCACCAGTCACATTCACATGTCCTCTTCCATGCTAACTTCAGGTATCATAGACGAACCTATCGAGGCGCCTTCCTTCAAAGCGAGTCGCCTACGCACGAGGCTGCAGCAAGCAGCGCGTCAGCATCCAGGCCTGTCGAAGCGGTTACCATACGCACCGTTCGAACACGTTCAAGGGACTTTCCGGCGTAACCTTGCCCGTTCCCAAACTCGGTTCATGAGGCGCCTGCGCGTACGCCCTGAGCGGCACCCAACTGCTTAATGGGCTAGTCCCCGGCTCGTACGTCGCTTGTGCGACATACAGCAGTAGGCCGTCGCTTTTGATTTCCACGGGCACGGTCTCGAGTTCGGTAATGAGCGGCGCGGGGATGTCAAGGTCCATGCCACTGGTCTGTGGGCAGGCGTTACGGGTTTTGTGACCGAGATGACGCGCGAAGACCTTGTTTTTGGGATGAGTGTGTTCAGCAGGTGAACTAGCGACGTGTCGGTGTGGTATGGCACCGTAACGAAAGTGGCTGGATGAGGGAAGCGGTAGTGCCCTAGCACCCCGGCATCGATCGCGGTTGGCTCCTCGCCTTGGTCTGCAGCGTTCGCAGGCGGAGGAAGCACTGGCAGCTCTGAAAGGCGCGTGTCGCGCCACCAGAACCGGAAGGGTGTCTCGCATTCCGTGATGTCTTGCTCCTTCCACTTCAATACGTCAAGCACATGCAAGATCCCGTTGTCTTTCCAGTTCTCGTCTAGAATGCAGTCGAGAACGGTGTGTGGTGGCAAGGGCGAAGCAAACGGCTTCATAAGCGGCTTCCCGAGGACGCGCGAGCGCAGCGTTAGGTTCGGAACTGCACACATGCGGGCGGACGATCAGGGACGAATAGCACATGAAGAATTCGCGTGACTTACCTAGACCCGGTAATCCGGATGTTTGATGTGTAACGGCAAGACAACGTTTGCCCACAGGAACGGGAGTGACAGCCACCCATCCTGCCGCAATGTCTTGAGGAATGCCATCGGACACGACGTTGTAGGCATCGTAGTCTTCGGACATCTCAAGCAGCTCCGCATACATGCACTTGTCCGCCCACCGATTCGGCTTGCGCTTCGACGGCCCGGATGACGATGGCGCAGGCTTAGCTCTGCGTTTACTCTTTCCACGCTTCTTTCCGGACGTTTGCATGTCGGCTGTCTGAGGAGCAGGTACTGCAGACTCACTGATGGGCGCGGCGCTGCTACTAGCACTGGAGACCTCTCGCGCAGCAGGGAGCATCCCGACGAAGTGCGATACTCCTTGACGAACTATCTCTGGACCATCCTGGCCGTCTCCCTCGTCCACCTCATCGTCTGAAGGTCCGAGAGTAAGGTCGGCGAAAAAGTCCAGCTGGCGGCTAGAGTCAAATCTCTCGGCTCGTCTCTAGCGCGATAGTCAATAAATACCGATGTCCCAGATGACCCAAACTTACCCGCTTCTGCTTTCTAACGCCTTTGACGCATCAGAAGCGCTGTTCGAACGGCCGCTGAGCGACTACTCACTTTGTTGCGCCGGTGTTCCTGTGAGGACAGCGGGTCTCGAACAGCTGCAGGTGGGACCTTGTACGATGCTTTCCGATCACCCTGCATTGCTTGGACAGAAAAGTGTTAGCAAACGAGAACTTAACGCAAAGATCGGATGGGTGGAGGAGGACAAGATTCCTGTAAGTAGTCGCCAACGTTCAGCTTAAGTTCAGCCACAGCCTACAGGAAAGCATCGCGTAAGCGCCCATTCAACTACATACATGTGGCCACGTGGCTTTTATTACTCGTTTCCGTTTGTGCTTGTGCAGTCGGCCGCGCTTCAACTTAGTACGGTTGTCAACTGCTTCAACCTGGCTTCAACTTCTACATTCTCGGCCTATTACTCTCCTGTACAAGGGACCTCAAAACAACCCGGACGTAGCTTTGGAAAGTCTGCATTGAGGTCCTCCAACACATCAGTACATGCGCTTAGCGGAACTGGGACTGGTACAGTGAACAGCTGGTCAAGATCATCGCGACTCTGCTAACTCGAGGTGGCCATAGCGTGACTTGGCCGCTGCACAATGTCCTCGACGGACTTGTTGGTGTCACTGGAAAGTCATGAAGACGTGGTGGCATGGATCAACAATGCCCTGGAACCCGATCCGTCTGCGTTTGACGGAAGTCCTTTGGAGCTGACAGAGCTCGATCGCCGGGTCTCCAGTCTCGTAGGTCGCTGGAGATTGCTAGCGAAGACACGTCTGCAACCGTCGAACGACTCATTGACGATATATCTCGAAGCGCCACGCGACTCACATATGACTTGCACTTCATGCGGGACGGCGCCCTGTCGCTACAGTCGATCCTTCAAAATGTCGAGACGAAGTCTAAGGCATCGGTCGCGGCCGAGACCAACGCGGCCTTAGAACGCCTGCACTTTCTCGATACGGTCAAACACAACATGGAGGCAGCTCGGGAGGTCTTACGCGAAGCCGAAAGCTGGGGCACACTCGAAAGCGACGTGACCTCGCTCTTGGGCGAGAAGAATTACGAGAAGGCCGCAGAGAGGCTTTCTGAAGCTAGCAAGAGCATGGCCGTCTTCGAGAACACGCCAGAATACGAGAGCCGACGGACGCTCATGGTCAGTCTCCAGAATCAGCTGGAGGCGGCTCTAAGCTCTGCCTTGGTCGCAGCCGTCAGCTCACAGGACGTGGCCGTCTGCCGCAACTACTTTGGTATTTTCAGCAATATACAGCGAGAAGCCGAGTTTCGCAACTATTACTACGGGTCCCGGCGGGCATCACTGCTCGAGATGTGGCAGAGTGCGCCGCTTCGGGATTGCGAAGGTGCATCAGACGCTGGACATGCTACACAGACATTCTCTGCGTTTCTCTCGACGTTTTACGCGTCTTTCTTGGCTATACTGCAGTTCGAACGCACCTCTGTTCCGGCGATCTTCCCAGATCCACAGCAAACATTGTCTACGCTGATCTCATCAGCTCTCTCCGCTTTACAACCCACCTTCTCCCAACGCCTAGCCGCAGTCAGCACATTTCATGGACCACGCGCACTGCGCGAGCTCATCGCCGCGTACCGTGTTACGGAAGAGTTTGCGCTGGCAGTGGACAAGATCTTCGAGAAGGTCGGCTTCTCCTCGCTCATCTCTTCCGCCCCAAACACGACCACGGACAGTTCCAGGATCCACTCCCGCCGTCGTTCAACCTCGCGGATGTCCATGTCCATATCACGCCGGATGCCGCCTCAGCGCCCCTCTGAGAGTAGCGTCACGGTCCCGACGCTGCCGATTCTTGATTGGGACACGGACCTCTTCGGGCCCTTTGTCGACTTCCAGGCTGACTACTCCTCACTAGAGCGCCGCCTCTTGGACAATGCTCTTGATTCTGCACTGCAGAGCACGCCTCGACCAACTACCGGGACGGATTACGCGCGGGTCCTGCGAGAGCGAGCCGTAGATGTGTTCGGCGCCGCGGAGGACGCCGTCGCGCGTTGTAACGCTTTTACCCACGGCTACGGTGCTGCAGCGCTGGTTCACGCTGTAGACCATCTCGTCTCCGCGTTCGCAGAAGCGTCGCGCGTCGAGATCGCATCGAGAAGGTCTGCGGCGACCGACGCGTCTGCCGGTGCCGGTGCCAGTGCGGAGGCTGATCTGGCCGACTTGGACTACACAGCGGAAGACTGGGCAGAAATCCAGGCCTTGCTGCATCTGCTTGAAGCCGTACGGGCACTCTTCGACCGGACGTCATCGTACGACAGCAAGCTGCGCGGTAGTCTCGTGCAAGCGTCCATGTACCTTCGTGCAACCCGACAGGACTCCGGCGCATTCGGCTCCCATGACACCGGTACGACGCGAGGTGCGTTGCAGGTCCTGATGCAGTCGACGCTCAACTCTGCCGAGCTGCATACTCTGTTGGAGAGCGTCGATCCAGAGCCGCCTGCGCCGTCCCACCCTGCACCCAGTGTGCCTCCTTCCCCAGACGCGCGGCGCATGTCGTTCATGGGCACGGGCCCGCTGTCACCGCTCCTGGGGCAGTCTACGCTGGCACCACCACTCCTCACTGAGGCTCGCAGCGCCATCTCCGCTCTCGCGCACGCATGTCAAATGGCTCTCCAAGAGACGATCTTGGGCCCACTCTACATTCATCTCGCCGCGTACCCTGCGCTCTCTGTGTGGGTGGCGCCAGATCCATCCGCAAAAGCTCCTGGTGCTGGAGGCGCCACGAGCGCAGTGCACGTGCCGACCTTCTCGCTCAGTCCTAGTACGACGATGGGACGCGTTGCTGAGGGACTCCTCAGTCTTCCGAGGCTCTTCGAGGTCTATGCCGATGACGACGCGCTCGCAGTTTCGCTCCAGACCCTTCCGTTTCTCAGCAAACGTTTCCTCCTCGCTCTCGCGGAGCCGGTACAATCTCCCCCAGCAGGCCCATCGGAACTGCGCTCGCGGCGTTCAGCTTCGGTCGCCTTCCTCCCCGGACAACAAGTGCAAGCGCCCGCGCAGCCACAGGATATCCAAGATATGCACTTCTCCCCGGAGGCTGTCACGGCTGCGTGGCTTGCTTCGCTAACGCGGACATTGTTGGCGCGCTTGACGCGTACCATCTTGCCCAAGATCCCTCGGTTGACCCCAGCGGGCGCTGCGCAGCTGTCCGCCGATCTCGGGTGGCTTGCTAACATAGTTGAGGCGTTGAACGCCGACTGGGCGCCCTTGCGGAGGTGGCGGAAGTGGATCGATGTGACGGACGTGGAGGGAAAGAAGAAGGTCACCGAGGGGTATACGTCTGGGGATGGATCCGCAGACACGGAGAGGGATGGAGAGGACGATGCCGATGATACTGAGGACGACGTAGCGGAGGAAGGAGACAGCCGAAGCCAGATCGTCCGGACAGTTACCAAGTTGAGGGGCTGGTCGATATGATCATGGTACGCCATATGGCATTTTTTGAAGCCAGACTTCAATCGATGGTCATGCTCGCTATCGAGTTGGCTGTAAGGTGTCGCACTCAACGTCTTCTATGTTATGGGCCAGCTGAACTGGTAGGTGGCTTCCCTACGCCAATTGCGAGCGTAGTAAGTACCAGCAGGTGCCAAGCGTTTATATAACATCGGGCATTGGATGACATCGATTAGTGTCCTGATCCACAAATACTTGGGGCAGGCAATGCGAGGCATTGTGGCGCGTGTTCTCACCCGCGGTGAGAATGTGATTCCTTTGAATTGTCTTTGAGCGCTGCGTGCTGATTCCTTTCTATCGATAGACAAGGCCCGCTGGTACAAACCACACATTACGTCGGTCACAGGTTCGTCAGAGAAACGCTACACAGTTGTCCTAGACACCCTGTTTCTGCAGTGTCACACGTCGCCCGATGCGCTTCTCTCGCTCATTCGAACCATTCGGACAGTCATCCTGTCAGATCTGCGGGACCAAGTCGCGGGGCGCATACTTGTGGAGCACGCATATCCGCAGCGGTGTAAGTTGATGGAGGACTCGACAGCTTGTTGGCAGATAGGAAGCAATAGCGCATTGAAGCATGGGCCCATAGAACATGCTGTCCTCGTTGAATTGATAGAAGCTGAGGCACTGCGGACTCTGCGATATGAATGGCGTCAAAACACAGGAAGTCCGATGCTGTCGAGCCACACGATGAAGGCGCCTTTTGAAGATGCACACACATGGAATGGGGCCTTAAGGCTCGACCCACTATTTCGCATCCTTCTGCGCCCTACCCTGCCTCTTCTCGGTGGACGCTTGTTATACAACGCAGAACAGACGACACGACCTAGACAGCACTAGGTGAGCAAAAGAGCGAGTCTTGATGATGCAAAGAACTCAAATCGTGCATAAGCAGGCATGGTGTGGTATCCGTGCGTGGACGCCAATGGCGATGGACAGACGGTTTCATGTGCCATCGATGTCCTGTCTCTCCGATGTAGACAAGATTATGATCAGCTCAGGTACGCCTATGTCGCGTCTTCTCCGGGGTATCTGACACTCATCTGTGACTGCAGTGCAACAGAGGTCGGTTAGCCTTCGCTAGCTTCACTCATGACCCTCGCCTTTCTCTAACAAAAGCCTGTTGCAGCTACTTCAAACCGAGAGGAGCTTGCATCTCATGCTTGCTGAGATTCACAGTCGACAAAACACCATGCTGCCGATACACCGAATGCCACCGGAAGTCTTTAAAGCTATATTCGAGGATGCTTTGTCCAGGCGCACTCGGTATCTCGATGAAACGGCCATATCATGGGACTACCCAGTGTTGGGACTCACTCAGTTAGCCAAGATAAGCTCGGTATGCAGGTACTGGAGGGCGATTGCTTTGGGTACGCCGACATTGTGGACCAACATCAGCCCAGGATGGATGGACCGACGTCAAATCTTCAGCCGTGCGGCAACCATGTTCCTGGAACGTGCTCGCGATCTCCCTGTCGACCTCGTAGTCGATCACCACGGGCACGCAGGGAATCTCAGTAGCTTCATTACTGATCTAGGGCCCGACTTCACTTCACGTCTTCGACGCATTCACTGCCGACATGCGTGGGAGCATCTCGACATCGTCTTTAACTTCCCCGCTCCCCGCTTGGAGTCCTTGTACTTGGATGATACTCACACGGAGGTGACCGCAACAGACGTACCCCTGTTTGGAGGTCAAAATCCACAGCTGCGATATCTATCTCTCTCCCGCATGGCCCGCATGCCCACATTCCAACTCCCTACATTGACGCATCTCCACATACATCGATGTACCGATTGTGGCCTTTCCGCCCTCCTTGCATCTACCCCTGGGCTTACGGACCTTTCCTTATCAGAAGTTGGCGCGGATTCTTCGAATGGGACGTCGCCCTTAATGTCTCCCCTACATCTGCGGAAGCTGAAAAGGTTCGCACTTCACGGGATGTGTTGCTCCAGCGTCCGCGCGATCATGTTATATATGGCCATCCCCAGAAGTACAGCACTCCTCTTCACTGGCTGCGACACTTTGAACGCGGAGACCATGGCATCTTCGGGCCTGCGCGACTACTTGTCTTCTCGGGCCTGGACAAGAATGTCAATCCGACCTGATGAGGAGGGAGACTTTTGCTCAGTGACCGCAACAGATGATCACGTCGGCGTATCGTTCGACTGTGTGGCATCGAAGGAGCATCGTGATCCGGACGACTGGTGCTTCTACGACATCGGAGATATGCACTGGGTCATACCGCCCACTATGCCGCCGCCGTTCCAGAGTGTTCGCGAATGTTGGGTCATGGAGACCTTGCATGCCATGAACAGCTTCCGCGCGTCTGGGCTACGCGACATGCTCGGTTCCATGTGCAACTTGGAGACCTTGGTTGTATGTGCTTGGAGCCTAAAGGCAGTTCTCGAGGCGCTCTCCTTGCCATCGCAGCATGACGTGGAGGCTGGTGGGACAGAGGTTCTCGTCTGCCCCATGTTGAAGGAGCTTCACATCTTGACAACGGACGACCGGGGGTCGCGGATACTGGATGTGCTTGTCGATGCACGGTTCGACAGACTACGGTTCCTCGAGCGCGTCGTGCTTGACTACCTGCCTGGCTCTTGTGCGTCGAGCATGCGCGACTACAGGTCCGACAGACCTGTCGACGTTGTTGAGCTCACGGAGCAACCCGAGATGCCATTGCCCCTAGTGTGTTCGGTGGAGGTCCATGCCTTCTGGCCCAAGTGGCGACCTCACACAGAACATATCCTTGGTACGAAATACGAGACGCGGAAAGGGAGCCGACGGCACCCAAGATCCCGGCCCGTCATCGCTCGAAAATCGTAGCCGTCGCACCCAAGCACAGAAAATCTTGCATCTGTAACGTGTGCTTGCTGTTCACGTCCGAGTCACTCGCTGTTCAATTGTGCTGGTGGTGGTCATTTTCTGCAAGTCGTCCGATGGATTGATACATGAACCGTATACTCCGCTATGAAGTGGTCCTCTTACTACCGGTGGCAATTAGTACAGCAGATTCGACAAGATGTATTGATCACTTACATCAGGAGAATACAAGAATACACACGCGCCGGCATACTGGGACATTGCCCTGAACGATGCTGGGCTGCCGTCGAGACATAGATATCGATGGATGTAAGTAGAGGTACCGCATGGGGTATCATGCACCGACCTCGCTCAAGCACACACAAAACACAACACATTCCTCGCACCGACCCTGAGTGGCACTGTCAGAGGTGTGGATCCATACACATTAATATTTAGTGCTACATCGAGGTGCGTGGCCATTATCCTGAGTGACCTCAGGCTCGTGTAGAGATACAGACAATAGAAGCTGACAAATGTGGTATCCCAGATAGCTCTAGAAGCCGAGGTACACCATGTAATCGGGCCACCGTCTGGAGCCGGACAGCAAGTTTACTCGAGGCAAGTACTGACTTGGAAGTTGCGCCACTCTGAGACGTGCGATGGTCGATGGTCTTGAGCCCGCCAGTAGTCTTCGGCTAACCCTGCTACACAGCCTGGGTCGCTAGCAACTTCATCGGGCGACAAGTGCGTAGCTGCACTTTACAGCAAGGGAGCCCTGGCGATATCAAGCTTCTCCTCATGGCCTTCGAGCGATATCTCCCCCACCGTCAGCTGCGAGCCTGCCACCGCCTGCTGACCAGCGTTCGCCGACGGCCGCACATCTCGCGAAGTATGATTCGAGCTCTCCATACCCGGTCGCCCCACGGGGCCACGGTCCCGACTATGCCGTCCGGGCGAACGACGACCAAGCCACCCTCCGCCGCATCACCGCATACTTTGCATACGCATCCCCGGTCACGTCGTAGGCTGAGATGCCCAACGGCTGCTCGCCCAGCGTCTCAGCGGACTGCAGCGCACCCTCCCCACGCGGGATCGTCAAGAACGCGAACACGGGCGCGCGTGTGCGCGTGAACGCGTCTGGCGCATCCAGCGCCTGCTTGAGTGCGAGGTATTTGCCCGCGCACGCCGCGTTCAGCGCGCGCCCGCAGGTGTCGCCTCCAGCGCGCCGGCAAAGACGAGGATCCAGAACCGCCCAGAGTACGGCATCAGCTCGTAGAGCCGTCGCGGGAACGCGGCGCCTGGGAGGACGAGCGCGACGTCTGGCGCACGACGGCCCAGGAGCGCGGCCGCAGGCGTCGCACTCGCGCCGGCGCGGCGGTTCAGCACGTTCTCCGTGTACGAGATGCCGAGGCCGACGGTGAAGGACGCGTTGGTGGTGAAGACCTCGTCGAGGTACGAGTTGACGTCGGCGTCGGGTGGCGCGCGGAAGTGGCTGGGGATCTTGCCAGAGATGAGCGACGCGATGTCGCGATCTAGCTGATTAGGTACTGTGCGGAGGCGCGGCGCTCGGCGTCGTACGTGTCGAGCACGCTCTCGTGCAGCCACCCTTGAGCACCCCGGCGAGCTTCCAGGCGAGGTTGTCGCGTCGTGGATGCCTGTGTTCATGCCCTAGGGACAGTGTTTCGTCGGGTCAGCTCTGGCACGCGTTACAGTGAGAGCACCCTGACCTGGGCCGCACCGGAGGAGTGCGTGTGTGCCGCGTCGCCCGCTAGAAGGACCGGCCCGTCCTTGAACGTCTCCGCCACGCGTTGCCCGATCGCGTACACCGTCCACCAGTCCAGCTCGACAAAGTCCAGAGTGAACGGCCGGACGGCTTTCTTGGCCTCCGCCATGATGACTTCAGCGGTCGGTGACTCCCCATTCTGACCGAAGAGATGTTGTGGGCAGACGAAGCCGATCCGAGTGCGCCCGTTATCGATCGGGGTCCAGAGAACGTTGCCATGCTCGATGGATTCGATCGCGACGCCGCCCCTCCTGCTATGCGGCATGTCCGTGCGCACAACAGCGTCCATGCGCACCCAACGATGATTTGAGTTTGTTCCAGGAAACGGGATCCGGCAAATGGAACGGACGGTGGAGCGTCCCCCGTCAGCTCCTACCAGGTATCTGCTATTGAGTGGTTGTTATTTCGGAAGGGCGAGTTACACCCGGTGTGGACTAACCAGCGAACTTGGTAAGTTCTTTGATCCTCTTGTATTGTCGCAAGTACGGGGTACGGTGCGGTTGGATCAATAGAGTAGTCGATGAGTTTTGCGGGAGCTCGGAGGGCAGTCGGGTCGATGTATTGTATGGCCTCTCTCAAGGCAGCTTCAAGGTACTTTTGCCTGACACTGAAGCTGTTGGGGAGTTGAGAGGTGACCATGATGATGGTAAGAGGAGGTACTTCGCACCTGAATTCGAAGAAGGTGTTGCCTGCGATAGCGTCGCGCACGAAGGACCACCCTCGTGCTGGTACTTCTTTGCCATCTTTGAAAGTGATTGTCTCTCTGTGAACAGCGCCGGTCAAGCAAAAAATAACTGTTAAGTGAATAGAGCATATACTTGACCAAGAATCCTATGTCTGCAATCCGAGCGTACATTCCGATCAGGTCAAGGAGCTCGACGGAGCGAGAGTAGAGCATGCATGCCCTTCCATACGAGGCCTGTGCCGCTTTATCGTACTGTTCTAAATCATGGTTTACTCAGCTTCTGCTCGGGGACATGCACAAGTGACCAACGAACCTACTGCAAGTGCAACAACCCCGGCCTTTAGCAGCATATACGTTGCTACGAGGGCTGTGGGGCCACCACCAACGACTAGGACATCCATTGCAGTAGGAGCAGGAGAGTACATGCTCGTTCTGATACGGGTTCGTGTAGCAGGATAGAAAGGATCCAGTCGTGGCGAGCAAACTTCACAACACTAGTATGCGCGCCAGAAAGAGGCGGTGCATAACAAGACAATTGATGCACACAATTCTTTTTCGGCGCGTTTACTTGGAGATAGAAGTCAACCCAGAGTTTGCAAGTGTGATGAACCTCTGCTTACCACGGTCGTCCGCTTGAACTCCTATCTGGGCGTCGCGAGACGTATATGCACTGGTGAGCTCCAAACCCTTGGAGGAGAATACAAGGTTCTCGCTTGTCGATCTTTTTCAAGACGTCATCAAGAGTTCTGCAGTGATGTGACGGAGGCCGCTCGGCGGGGATCTACACCTCTGTCCGAGAAGTTGCGTTTCAAGACTGCCTCGCGACAGCCCAACAATACACCGCCGATGATACTGCGAGTGCGTGGCACTGGCCTGGGAGTCTGGCAAGAACGTGCCATTGTGCAGCTTTGTGTGTGAAGTGGAGCGCTCGCAGCTCGACATCAAGACCCATCGTATTACAGCCATACGCCGGTAGGTAGCCCGGTGTGTCGCCGAGAGTGATCCTACAACGCCTTGTAGTATACCCGGGTCACCTACGTGGTATGTACACAGATAGTATACGGCGCGGGCCGGCCCAGCGAACGGAAGCAGCTCCGCACCGACGAAATGCGAGTGTGCCGATGCGCATTCTGTCAGGACGATCCCAGCAAGTTGCAGACGACGCCGATATGTCGCGTATGGATTCAAGTTCAAGCTGGACTTTTGCGCCGATGAGGTATGCACGGCCGACGAGGACCATCCCCGAGCCGACGCACTCGGACTCGGCCATGCATACGAGCCGGCTCGACGGAGAGTTGGTTGGGGAGAACGAGAGATAGGAAGAGGATTCTCGACGCCACAAACTTCATGACGCCTTGGTACCCGAGATAAGGACTCGGTGGGTGCGCGCGCGGTGTCGACCGAGATCGAGTCGAGCGAGGGACGACCAGGGCGGACCTGAGCCGCATTGTAGTGGCCATTACTGCCATAGCTGGCCCTCGCCTGGAGCTGGTCCCTGCCACACAGAGTCCCGTCAGTACGAGTGAGCGCACGCGCGGACGTACCCGGCGGCCTCACGCTCCACACACCCCACACCCCTCGGCACGCTAGAACACCCGCCCCCTTCCACGCCGAATGTTCCTCGCAGCGCACCGATCGCGGAACCCAGATCACGATCTGTCCATCTGCGCGCACCGGGCCCGGCGACGTTCCTGCCCGACGCCCTCTGATGCGCCACACCGGCGGGTGGTTCTCGCGCCGGGCTATATATGGACGGAGAGAACCGAACTGCCGTGGTCGCGGTGGGTGGTGGTCGATCGGGCGGGGCCGCCCGGCGGACGCTGAGCAGGTACGTATATGCGCTTGCTGGTACCAAATGCGACAGGGTGTACTAGTGAACCCGCTAAGAGTAACAGTAGCTTGAATACGGATGGCCAAAATTGGTATTGGTTGGCAGGGAGGAGGTGGCTGAAACGACGTACAGTCAGCCACACCGTGACGGCGGCACCCGTACTAACGACTGTCGCAGTTGTCTGCCAGTGGCAGTGGACTGCGGCGGCGCCTGGCCGTTTGCAGTATTTGATCTGCATATGTAGGTGCGCAGCACAGGAACGGTGTCAAATGACAACGACCGAGGCAGCCAAGTGGGCCACTGGGACACCACGACAAATGCGACGACAGGTTTGACAGCGTTCCGAGTCAGTCAGCTGCAGTCAGCGTAACGGAGGTGGGTGGTGTACTCGAGGCTTCCGCGACGAGCGCAGGGTGCGAGTCGATGATAGCCACGGGATCGTCAATCGATGTGAGCGCGTGGAGGTCGTCCGTCGGGTGAGGGAAAGCGGAAGGGGCGGGGAGCATCCAGGAACATCTGCTTATGGTAATGAATCTGCCAGATCGGGGCGCATCGGGCTGGTGCGATCGAGGCGTCGGCCCGCCCGAGTCCGCGTCCGCATCCTTTTCCCACCCTCCCTTCCGCCTTGTGCCGCCGCGTTGGTCGCGCGCGACGCACAGCAAGGACGCAGCACAGCATGGGCCCCGCTCGTACGCCCGTCGGGGAAGCGTCGCGCGCGTTCCTGGGCCGAACATGGCCTGGGAGGATTACGGCTGCGAGATCTGTGGGGGCGTTTGTGGCAGGGAGATAACCGGGCGGGCCCTCATTGGACGATAAGCAGCGCCCCCGCCCTACGTCGCAGTGCCAAGGCAGGCCGGACACCATTTATGAACGCAGCGCGGACGCGTTCCTCCTTCTCTTCTTCCTCCGAAGTCGTCGTTGACTCGCCCCTCGCCCGCCCACCGCGTCAGCCGCCGCGCGCGACCCCCCTCCCCCTTCCCCGACAGCGACCGCACGCACACATCTTCTGGCGTCGCAACTATGGTCAACGTCACCTACGATGCCTGTGAGTCGCGTTCAGTGGACTCACGCGAGCCTTGTACTGATCTTCACGCAGCTGGCGACCTTCAGTGGTACGATCCCAGCAGCGACACCACCTTGTCTACAACCTCGGCGACATTGCCTGGGTCCTCGCTTCCACCGCCCTCGTCTGGATCATGATTCCCGGCGTCGGCTTCTTCTACTCTGGTCTCCTCCGCCGCAAGAACGCACTCAGTATGATCTGGATGTCTATGATGACTCTCGCGGTGGTTTCATTTCAAGTGAGTGCATCCCTTTCTTCTGTCCGGCCTCCATATTGTTGGCGTTGGGTCGCTTCACTATATGCGTCGAAATCCCTCGGTATATGCGCCGAAATCACTCGGTCTATCACCAAAACCTCGGTATATGCGGTGTCTTGTCTCATTCCCGCTTCTACGCATCGTTTGAACGTCGGCCTGCTCGCGCAGCGTGCTTTTTCACGGAGACCGAGGACTCAGCAGTTCGGGGGTGTGCACAACGAGGCCGCCGCTTCTCATGCCTGGCGTCTGCCTCTGACACGCCTGTCGAGATGCTGAGTTGCCCACACCGTGGTCCTCCCGAGCTTCCCGCCTCCGTCTACCTGTGGTCCCCCATTTCTGCGCTTACTGCTGTCGGGCGTGAGCCACAAAACCCGCCCACACATCTCGTGTTTCAGGGTGGCGTGACGCGTTGGTTCACACTGCCATGCAGGCGTAGGAATGGCCCACAGTGCGTTGATGGTCCACATTCAATTGCTTGCGGTGCCTGTCATTCCATATGCGGCGTAGGAAGAGTACATCGCCGGTATTCCAGCATTAGCGTCGACTTTTCTTCCGTTCTCTGCGCCTGTAAGATCAATTGCTGACAGCCTTCCCTTCACAGTGGTTTTTCTGGGGGTGAGCAAGAACGCGCAAATGAAACGCACGAATGTGCCCGCTGACAGACGATACCACGACAGATTTCACTAGCTTTCAGCGACACCGCGACAAATCACTATATTGGTAACCTCCGTGAGTACCGGTTGCTTAGTTCTGGCGTCGCGAAGGTGGCAGCATCTTAATGCGGCTACGTCCGAGTCGATTACGCTCAGCGACTCCTGCGTTTGACCGCATACACCATGCTAACCTCACTTTGATTTTCAGAATACTTCGGTCTCAAGGGCGTCCTCGAGAAGCCCTCCGTCGGGTCAACGCGCATCCCATCCATCGCCTTCTGCGTCTTCCAGCTAATGTTCGCCGCCATCACACCTATGCTCGCGATCGGCGCGTTCGCCGAGCGTGCGCGGCTAGGCCCGGTCATGGTCTTCGTGTTCGTATGGTCGACGATCGTGTACGACCCGATCGCGTGCTGGACGTGGAACTCCTCCGGGTGGGCCTTCATCCTCGGCGGGCTCGACTTCGCGGGAGGCACGCCCGTGCATATCTCGAGCGGTACGGCGGCGCTCGCGATCTCGATCTACCTGGGCAAACGCAGGGGTTACGGAACGGAGCGGTTGGCGTACAAGCCGCACAACACGAGCTACGTCGTGCTCGGGACGATCTTCCTGTGGTTCGGCTGGTTCGGGTTCAACGGCGGCAGTGCGCTGAGCGCGAACCTGCGCGCGGTGCAGGCGTGCATCGTCACCAACTTGGCTGCGTCCGTCGGCGGTCTTACCTGGATGCTCTGGGTGCGTACAGCTTGCTCGAAAGCCTGACTAGATGCTGACGCCATGACAGGACTATCGCCTGGAACGCAAGTGGTCGACGGTCGGCTTCTGCTCCGGCGCGATCGCCGGCCTCGTCGCTATTACGCCTGGGTCCGGGTACGTCGGCTCGCCCGCCGCTGTGCTCTTCGGATTCATGGCGGGCACGGTGTGCAACTTCGCGACGCAGCTCAAGTTCTACTTCGGGTACGACGACTGCCTGGACATCTTCGCCTCGCACGCGATCGGCGGCGTGGTCGGGAACATCCTGACGGCCCTGTTCGCGCAGGCGAGCGTTGCGGGCTTCGACCACATCGCCGTCATCCCCGGCGGCTGGCTCGACCACCACTGGATCCAGCTCGGGTACCAGCTCGCGGACTCGGTGTCGGGCATGTCGTACTCGTTCGTGATGACTACGGTCATCCTCTGGGTCATGCACTACATCCCGGGCCTGCGCCTGCGCTCGTCGGAGGAGGCGGAGATCCTCGGGATCGACGACACGGAGATGGGCGAGTTCGCGTACGACTACGTCGGCCTGGACTTTGTCGCGGGCGGCGGGGGCGGCGTGTTCCACGACGACATGCGCGAGGACCGGGGTGCGATCGCGGGCGGGCGGGAGCCGCAGCACAGCAAGCTGCACATGCACGAGCACGACGTGGAGGTGCAGGAGCGCGGCGCGGCGCCGGGCAACCACGAGAGCGCGAGCGCGAGCACGGTGGACGAGAAGGCGCAACAGTAGATGGGTGGGACTGTAGAGGATTCGGCTTGGATTAATGTGAAGTAGATGTAGGAGAATGGGGCGGGAGAAGACAAAACGTCGTTCATTTACATATCCGTATAACCAGATCTCGCGGCGGCCATACATATCCTAGTATTGTGGCATTGCGCGCACACCTGTCTCAAGTACCTAGATACATAATGTACGTCTTCCAATGCATCGCTTTCGATATTTCTATATCATGACCTGTGCATGCTGTACCAGTATGACTCTGTTTCTGTGGCGCACTTCACTGTTTGAGCTGTCTGCGTTCCTTCTGCCCAGATGGCTGTATGGGTTCCCTTGAGGTGATACCTACCGGCCAGCGCAGTGCGAACGTCGCGGGGAAGATGAGGACGGCTGGGCGCGGCTGTAGGTAAGTAGGTGGCGCGAAGCTCAGAGCCCGACACAACTCCTACATCTCGTACCGAGCAGCGCGATCAAGCTTCAGGACTGGGCACTCTAGTAAAGTGGGTAACCAAGAATGTGACGTCTTCGCCCGAATCCACGCTCACCGGAGCCTCGCGATGGTAAAGAGTACGTGGATGAGTTGTCGTTGTTGTGGAGAGATCAGTCTGACTTTTTCTGAATTTATCCTCGGACGAGCGGTCACCGGTCAAGAGCTCGAGGGAGATGATATCGGAACGAACGATTGCAGTGTAGCCTGTGTTGTCAAAGTTTCAAAGAGCCGTTCAGTTCTGTGGCATATGCATAAAAGGACGTCCTCAAGTAGATTCAAAGTAGATTGTTCCCAAAATCACGTGCACGTGCATGTCTCCCTCCGACAGGCGCCTTCGCATCTAATTCTACCACCGGCGTCAGTGAGCTACGACAGTTACGACGCCTCGATGAGTACACGAATACCATAAGTATGGTAAGTATACATCGATGTCATGCAGCGTCTTCACAACGGCATATGACTGATGAGTACAGGTTACTCTCGCGGGACCGAACCATATTGCAGAGTCCACTGACGAAGCGCACAGTGAGCAACGCGGCACGACGACGTCGACTACAAGACTGCCGAGGAAATCGGAGGGTCGATATATGCCGCAGACCTGTATGTGCAAGCTTCTGTATCTTTGACCAGGGGGGACTAGGCTCATGCGGTCCGAATAGGAGGCACGGAAACTGACGCAGACGCGTCACACCCCAAACGACCTCTCACTGGCAGCTTGCTCTCAGCTCGATCAAGCTCAGTCCCGGTATCGGGAAATTGCTGTTCAATGACATTACTCAACAGCCGCAAATCGCATTCTGACAGGGGTATCTCCTCCCGCCGCGGCTATCTCCTCTAGTACGTCTATCGCTGTCTTCGTCTAGCATACCGTTCATTGATACATTGTCACTCACCAGTACTGTTTGTCCGGTTCATGGATGACGTTCATGATTAAGAACATTTCCGGGGCCTCGGGCGGATCCTTTACATCGTGACGTCCAGTATGAATGGGACAGACGGCATCTCACTCAACGAGTTCATCTTAAGCATGCCCTAACACTGCATCGCGCTCATGGAAGGCATTGGTGTTCGAGAAGGTATGAAGCGCGACCTCCAGTCGGACATCAAGCGCCCAGGGAAGAGGAGAGCAGCAAAAACAACGCGCCGCTGATGCAGCATGAGCGAGGACAAGGAGTAGAGACCTGCTCTCGCATTGCTTCATCGGGTCTCAATGCGGTCGACGGCGTCGGCGTGCAGGAGGGCCGTATCCTGTTCGCGACGACGAGCAAACATTAGGCTCTGGACCCTGTGCTCTGACGACCCGGGCGGAAGGTTATCCACTTCGAGTTCAAGCTTGCAAGTTGAAGTCAAGCGGAGAACCTCTTGAAGTGCTTCTACACGCTGAGACTCTAGGGTTGGCCGAGGCCACGACTCCATATGCGGCAGCATGGGCAGCGATGGAAAGCATCGTGAAATTTTTAGTACGAAGGTCTCAGCGCTCGCATTCCTTCAACCTTTTGCTGAATGTGACTCGTAGAGCCGCAGAGATTGTCAACGTAGAACAGCGCTTTCGTCGTAGTTGGGCCGGATAGCTCACGCCAGTGCGTGTGTAACGTTGCCTTGAAGGACGAAACCCTGATCTTTCGATGTCAATGCGAGTACGCCCTGTGACGCTATAAGTGGACCCTTGACTTCTTTCTCTGACAAGAACCTCAAGTTACAGGCCGGACCTTCTTAGGTTTGGCTTCGCAGAATTGCATCTGACTCGGTGACCGGACGCATTGGGAAGCGAAGCGACGGGGTGGCAAGGCTGCTGTCGCCGTATCGATGGAAGCCAGTGCTCAAGCCACTTACGTCGCCCCAGCGTCTGGACGGTGTCACGAAGAATGCGCCTTCCACGGGCCTGGGTATGCGATACTCCTGGATATGGCCAGTCCAGTGCCCGGGAGCTCCAATTCGAAGTGTAGCATCACCCGCAGGGGCACCCGTATCATATCTTGACTGATGTCTTGTTAGCCATCTCGACTGTACATGTGTCCATGTGCACGGAACGCTCAGAGGGAGAAGGTTGGTGCACCATATTCCGACAGAGTGGTTCTTCGTCTTCAAAGAAGCCTTCTCCTAGGGAATGTACTCCGGCAAATACTTAAATAAAACCAAGCCACTAGAGGAAAGGCAACGTTCGCACGGTACGAGTTTCGTGTTCTCTCTACTTTCATGCGATTTTCTTATAACCGCCCAGTGCTCTAGGTTCAGTGCCGTGACCGCAGCCTATAAGTTTGTAAATACCACCTCAAAGTATCTACGCAACGAGATATTCGAGCCGTTTGTCTCCGTATCGTCTTAGTAGACATGTTTGCCGACCGCTTCACCACTGCTTTAGCGAACATGGCTAGCCCTCTACTGTCGGTCGGGGGGCTGGCTTTGGTTGGTCGCCCACACGTTGCTTATCCTTGTAGTGATCACTGAAAGTTCTATCTTAGGTCGCGCACTATTGGTTCAAGAAGTACGAGCCGACGGATGTCCTCTCACTCGGTGTCTTACTTGGCTTATTCCCGGTCCTGCCAGTCATCATGTCACCCCTATCCTCAACCTCTACGCCATTTGCCATCCTCGCGGGCTATTGTTCTTTCTATGCTGCCTTGTTTTGTTCCATCGCCATATATCGGGTCTCACCGCTGCACACGCTATACAAGTATCCGGGACCATTTATCAGCAGGTTTTCGAACTTTCACCTGGTGCTCGTTGCTGCTCGGGGAAGGCAACATCACTACTTCAAGAAGATGCATGAAAAGTACGGTCCCATTGTTCGCCTGGGTGAGCAGTCCTAGTCTTATACCGCGTCCTGATCACTGATGCGCATCTTCCTGAAGGGCCGAACGTGCTATCTATTGTGGACGTCGAATTACTTCCTTCCATCCTCGGTGCAGATGGCATGCCAAAGGGTTCAAGTACGTCCCGATATCTTTCAGTCGTCTGTATGTTTGACATTCTCTGTAGTGTGGGATGGACGCCGGATCTCCGGAAATCATGGACAGACTGCTGCCAGAATTGCGAAAGGCGATCTCGTTGGAGCTCGCGACAAGCAGATCCATGCGGATGCACGGCGGGTGTGGAATCGCGGTTTTACTAGCGCATCTATCAGGAAGTATGAGCCCATTCTCATTCGGCGCGTGGGCCAATTGGTTGAGATGCTGGAAGCAAAATGTCCCTCCGCTGTGACTCACGATGCGAGTGTACCTGAAGATATGTCAAAATGGCTGAACTTCTTCTCGTAAGCCCTCTTGCGGACTTCGCGCTAGCCATGACACTGATAGGCAGTAGATTCGACCTCATGGGGGACTTTGTGTAAGTAGGAAATGCCTCGAGGTCCCGTGCTGTGTTATAATGACACTGCCCGAGACAATAGCTTCGGTGGTCCGTTCGAGTTTCTGCGCGATGGTGACAAGGACGGCTTATTGCAGACCATTCAGGATGGGTTACGGTATGTTGGATCGTATATACTATTCAGAAAGGTGGAGTTTACTCACGCAAGTAGTTTATCAAGCCTTACGGGCCATATTCCATGGTCGTTCAAGGCGGTCATGAAACTGCCCTTCCTCCCACCGCAAATGAAGGGAGTTGGGGAGTTTGCTCACAGGCAGGTCTTGAGGCGGCTGAAGGACGGTGCCATACACGACGATTTGTTCTACCACCTCGTAAGCTTGACGTTCTTACATACCTGTCAGATGTCTGTCTCATATGGTACATCTCACTTGGCAGAATGACGAGGAAAAAATCGACAATGATCCAACTCCCCTACCAGTCCTGGTCACATACGCCGTCACAGCGATCATAGCAGGCTCAGACACGACTGCGTTCTCTCTGAGCAGCGCGTTGTATCTGCTTATTGAACACCCAGCGTGTTATCAGCGGTTACGATCTGAAGTGGACGCCACATTCACTCCTGGAACCGGATTGCCGACGGACTTTGCCAAGCTTGCGCAACTCGAGTACCTCAACGCGGTAGTGTGAGCCATTTTCTCCAGCTCATACAAGTTGAGGCTGTTGATACCATCGTAACAGTAACGAAACCTTGCGTTTGTTTCCTTCGGTGCCGACATCGCTACAGCGTGCACCCACCCCAGGCAGTGGCGGCCACCTCCTTGGCCCCGAGTAAGTTCTATCCTCTGCATTGAGTAGCTGTGAATGTGACCTTCGCATGCAGCATGTTCATCGCCGAGGGTACGGCTGTCTATGTGCCGCCCTACGTGTATCACCGTGACCCGCGGTACTTTTATCCCGACCCAGACGCATTCCTCCCGGAGCGCTGGCTGAAAGGCGAAGACGACGTGGCGACGGTCCTCACCCCGAACGCGTTCATGGCATTCTCCGCAGGGCCAGCGAATTGCATTGGAAAGCCGCTCGCACTCATGCAGATGAGAATCATGCTGGCATCCCTTCTCCAAGCCTTTGACATGCGCTTCCCCGAGGGATATGATAGCAGGCAGTGGCTAGACAGTCTAAAGGACTCGTTTGTGACGACGCGGGGATCTTTGCCTGTGATTTTGACCCGTCGCTCGAAGGATTAATCGATTAAGGCTTCGATATCCTTTTCACTGGTACATCCGCCGCCAACGATTCGTTCAACTGACTCTCTGTAGAGTTAAGGCGCCGAGTTAATCGAGAGTTGATGCTTCTAGTACACCTACAGGCTACTAGACTCTAGTAGGAGCAATATTAGCACAGTGTGAGTCCAGCCGCATTCTCCGAGTTACGTGATTGGCCGATAGTACTTACCCGGTATGCCTCCAATACCTTTGACAAAGCGGGAGAAGTCTTGTACGAATCTCGCGGCTATGGAGATAACGGAACCTTTTGAGAACTTCAAATTGAACAGGTTGTCAGCGATGACAAGAGGCGCTGGTTCCTAGTTACGATGTCTGATTGCATTCTGATTCCTCGCCCCATGCTATAATCGACTGTATACTGACTGCGAGGCCACGACTCCGAGCAAAGCGCGCGGTTCAGTATTTAACGGCCCACTTGTACTTGATTCGCAACTCCTACGTATCAGCAGCCATGTCGCGCCTGTCAAGCACCCCGTCCCCTCGAAGGCATCTCGATGTGGTCCAGGTTCACTGGCGTGAGCTAATAGACTACAGGACAAACTCTCGAGTACCCGTCGTCGACGGTCGCACATTCAGTGTGGCGGCTGTGGCGGCGGTGTCACGGTACGTGTCTTCTCTATTTCAACTTCCCAACAAGGGAATATTGTTCTCTTGCTGGTTTCTCAAGGCAGCTCACTTGTTCAATTCTACGAGCATGTCATGTATGCTTACACTCTATTTACAGGTTTCGCATTGTCCCGGAGCTGACGACGGCGGAAGACATTCTGGCAAAAGTGGACGCCGCAGCCACAATCGTTGCACAGTTCGTGGCTCAATCAGCACTGTCCGGCGCAGGGAGTATGTACGGCACGACGACCGGATTTGGAGGCAGCGGTGAGTATCGTGTCTCAGTGTTGCCGCGTCGATTATTAAATATCCAGCCTGCACGACACCATGATTGTCTTCACGATGTCAGCGTATGTGTCTATACCGATGCTCTAGAGGAATCATTCACTAATTACAAGTCACCGACGGATAGCCGTACTCGCATTACTACATCAGTTCCCAAGTTGCAACGCGTACTCATCCAAGGTCTTCAAGCTGGGATAACTCTGCCGCCTCCTCGGCAGGAATCTGAGGGAGACGGGGTGCCACTAGCTGTCGGCATACGGTCTCTAACCTATGCCCAAGATCTCCATACATTGAATGCGAGCAGCCTCATCACGCCAGAAGAGTGGGTGAAAGGTGAGCTGTTACGCTAGCGGCCACGGTGTGTGGCAAGAATGGAATGCTTACACACCTTCGTTAGGTGCCATAGCGATCAGGATGAACTCCCTGGTCAGAGGACACTCAGGCGTTAGGCTCAGCGTAATCGAATCGTTGGGACAGCTCCTCAAGGAGAATATTATACCATGTCCTCCGCTCCGGTCCGTCTCTCATCTAGTACCTGTTGCACATCTACTCATTTTTCCGTGGTTTCTCCGGATTCTCAATCTCGTGGTCCATGTGTCACAGGCAAACTATCAGTGCCAGCGGCGATCTCGGACCTCTGGCATATATTGCCGGTGCGCTCACAGGAGACAACCACTGCCTCGTATGGGACGGAGAAGGGTTGGTGCGTGACAAGCATGAGAGGTTTCGAAGACTGACTCTCTGTGGCCAGGTCGAGCCGGGCTCTGACAACGGCCCCTCTCGCTCTCAGTCGTCGCTCGCTAACTCCTCTAGAACTTCTTCCCAAAGAAGGACTCGCGATCGTCAATGGAACTGCGCCGTCTTGCGCCGTTGCAGCCTGCACTCTGCATGATGCGCATTTCCTGCTTCTTCTATCGCAGGCGACGACGGCTATGTCTGTCGAAGTGCTTCTGGGAACAGCGGAGAGCTTCACTCCCTTCATCAGCGAGGTCGCGCGGCCCCATCCTGGCCAAGTGGAGGTCTCAATGAACATACGGAATGCCTTATCTGGAAGCAAGCTTGTCCAAAGCTACGACGAACGTAATGCGACCGAGAGGCTCAGGCAAGATCGGTACAGCCTGCGAACTGCGCCGCAATGGCTTGGACCGCAGGTCGAAGAGCTGCTGAGCGCTCATCATACGATTACCATCGAAATAAATTCGACGACGGACAATCCGATCATTGACGTGAGCAAGGGCGAGCGGGGAAACATCAGCGGCGGAAACTTCCAGGGAACATCGTTAACAGTCGCGATGGAGAAAGTACGCATTGGATTGCAGCATGTTGGTGGGTCCTATAAGAGCTCGATATATGTATGTCGCTTCAACGCTGCTTGTCTAGGAAGGATTGCATACGCCCAGCTCGTCGAGCTCGGCTCTCCGAGCATGAACCGGGGACTCGCTCCTGATCTCGCGGCGAACGAGCCTAGCTTCGATTATGGACAGAAGGCGCTCGATATGGCGTGCGCTGCCTATCTAGCGGGTACGTATTGGACTGCTCGTGCTGCTCGTAAATTCTCCTGACCGTGGTGGCAGAGTTGTCGTTTGTGGCGAACACAGTGTCCAACCACGTCCAGCCTGCGGAGATGCATAACCAGTCCGTGAACTCGCTCGCAATGATCTCAGCGAGGTACACAGCGACGGCGGTACAGCTCGTCCAGATGGTTCGTTACACACATCATCTGTGCCGGGAGAGGCGCAGTCTGACGACCATTGCAGATTCTTTCGAATCTCCTTCTCTCTGTGTGTCAAGCCTCGGACCTTCGCGCAATGTACGCTGCGTTTTTCGTCAAGTTGGGCGATAACCTTCACGACACCCTCTCCGCTACGATCACCCCGCCTCTGCCTCCTCCCGAAATGGACCGGCTCTGTGCGATACTGGCCGACCAGGTCAAAGCGAGCTTCGGCGAGACCTCGTGGTTGGACACGAAGGATCGGTTCCACACGATGTGCAAACCATTGCTCGCTGATGTCCACACCTTCCTTGTAGCGCAGGCACTCTCGGACATGTATTCCTTCAACGGTCATGCGTTCCACACCACGCTCGCTGCGTCTTTGGCAGCTGCCTGGATTTCGAACAGGGACACATACTTCCGGGATGGCAGCGCCGAAGAGTTGCTTGGGCATGGCACCCAGAAGCTCTATCGCTGGGTCAGACGTGGCCTCGGGTTGAGTATGCGTCGAGGCATTGACATTGATCGGGGCACCATTGATCTCGACGTCAGCAAGATATACGAAGGGATAGTCAATGGTGATGTGAACGATGTTCTCGTGGACGTTTTCGGCGGAATAGAGATGTCTCAGTGATGATCTGAGACCAAGCTACAGCGAGTACGAGGAGCGGACGTCCGCGGGGGAGGTTTGTGTTATGCTAGGGTCAAGCCAGGACAGAGATTGCATTCCCTTCATAACGTGACACTGGTCGACTCGGTTAGCAGGCAGTAGACAACTTAAGACTCCTGAAGGGCAGCTATACCAATGCACAGGTCGACTATGAAACCGTACGGCACCAAGTACCCATAATGACCTGTCTACAGCGATGAAGCTTTGAAGGGCCGACAACGAGAAGGCATATGCCAGGCCGTAGGTGGTACTGCACCGGATCCCGTATACGACCCATTGAGCCCAGAAGATCACAGTACGTCGCCTTCTGCTGTGTGGCTTCGTCGTAGTGTTTAACCTCCTTTGTCAATCCTCACACAGCTACATACGCTGTTGGACATCCCTGAGTACGACAACAGAGCGTCTGTACACATTTCACGAGGGAATTGGCTATCGCCGACGAGGATGCGACAGTGACAATGGGCTGAAGCGCATTAATCAGTCATTGCCAGATCCTGACGAATGATTAATGAAGTCGACAGCCGCTTCGTAAGTGAAACTGCATTAGATTGCGAATTGTGGAAGCAATCTTACTATCGCCAGGACACGGCTGACCAAACTACGAGTGTAGATGCTCTGTGCCAGGCAGTGTCTGTGTGAAAATAGCTCTAGGCTCAGCCTCTGGCGCCGCGCGGGAGGCCAGCTTCCACCAATCTTTTCACATGGCGGAGTACGCCGCTGGCATCCATTGGCAGGCACCTGGTAGGCACTCAGTGATATCACCGTTCCGGAACATCAGAAGGACACTGAGCTTTGCGCTTCGTGGGCAAGAGGTGGAACTGCCAGTGGGCACAAGATCCGGGACTCACCAATACTGACGGACCACGGGAACATGCTTCGTCAGAAGGCGACGACCATTGACATCTTCCACTGCCAGGTGTGGGGACTCGGTGCCAGCGCTGGCACCCAGATTCGGGAATCCAACCCACAGGTTGGATCGCTTTGGCTGAGTAAGTACAGTTGCCGTGTCGTAACCGGCATGTCCGAGTCAACTTCGACGGGCTTTCGGAAATCCCACCACTGCAGAGGAGGAGGGGATTCCACGTAGTCAAGTATTGGCACTGTGCTCGCGATCGAGCGCACCGCATGGCAGCACACAGGCCTATTATGTAGATACTTACAGTACATGATAATGCCAGTGATACCGTAGGGCCGGAGGATGCGTGTGCATTTCCCCCGGACACCTGTTACACGGAACTTGAGCTTGAACTTACAATAATGGACCAGGCGAGCTCTCCACGTCCGGCAGCGAGCCGCTTCCACGGGCCGACGTTCGCTGCCCAGGTGGTTCATTATGTAAGCTCATTCGACCGACTGCTACGGTTACGGAGATTCCTAACATCAAGCTTCCAGCTAGGTCCATATCGTTGGGCCCCGCACGGAAAGTGCGCATAGGAGCGGGGGTCGTCGGACGTTGGTATTTGGTGATCCGGACATTGTGCCGCTCGACCTGGGCCGCCTAGCCAAGGTCGCGGCTGCCTGGCTCAGCCTGGCCGTCAAATTCCGCTGCGCCCGGCGTGATCCCATATCAAACCCGTTGGACTCCGCCTATGTGTGTTTGAAAGGCGCGGGGCCCAACGATATGGACCTAGCTGTCAAGCTTCAAGTGTCCGCGCCAAGATTGAAGTACTGATATCCGTTGCCACAAGTCCAATATCCCGAACTGCGTGACACGGGTAGTCTGCATGATGATACCTGGGCACGCCGGGTGTTTTTGCGCAGCTGTGACTCGTGTCAAGTTTACCAGACAAGCTGGGATTGCGGCTGCAGATGAGACAGATGCTCACTTCTATGCCCATTCGAGAACACGTTGATTATGCTAGACGGGTACGTAACCTTCATTCTGTGTCTAGGAAAGATCTCATGGTCGTCATTTCCTACGGATGCTCATCCACATCATGATCATATGGGAAGAAGCGCAACTACAACACTCACGTTCCAATCAAGCCTGCTGTAGCTCTTCTGGACTGCAATCACTGAACCTGATATTGAGCAATCAAATGATCTCATGTGCGGCGGTGTCAGCGACTCCAGCGTTTGCAGTAGGCAAGGAATCATGATGTACGAACAGAAAGCCGCCAGAGGCGTGGTACACGCACCGAGAGTACGTATTAGTCTATGCCTTTCGAGCACACTCTGTACTAACATCCCTGTTTCGTAGCTCGTCCTTCACTGGATCTGCAATCTGTTGCGCTCTCTATGACCATAGAATCCAGGACTCGATACATAGACACGATGCCTGACGATTACGGCTTGGTATGTTGCATTATAGACTGCCACTGTACCGCAATTCATGACATGGTTGCCAGACGTCGTCTTGTAGGGTGGAGACTGGATTCTGGTGGAAGACGACTGGCGAACCCTTCGCGCGGATGTTGGCCAAGTCAGCTTATCCCGCTTCCGTGCAATCCGCCTATATGGCTATGTTTTACCTTATTGTCTGCCCCGAGTTTGGCACGAGTCCTTATCTCGCCTCGCCATCCATCGGCTCGCCCTTCACCATGGGAGCGAGTGGACAAGGTACCGACCGAAGCCCACTGCACCAGCATTTTCCCTCGTACATGACAGACGACCACTCGCCGATCGAGTTGTCCTGCATCTACGGGAGGGGAAGGTCGCCCCAGATACGTTTTGCCATAGATCCCATAAGTCGACATCGAAGCATCGAGCCTGCCCCCGGGTCTTCCAGCAGCTAGCAGATACACTCTCGCTAGTTGACGCTGACCTGACTTGGTGCTTAATTTGCGCAGAGGAGCTTGCTGTGCCAAATGCTGCGAGGATTCCCAAACACCCCTCACGATACTTCGTTGGTCAGTACGGGTTCCTTCGCGTACAATGTCTCACTCACTCAGCAGCAGGATTCGATCTTGGCCCCCAGTCTTTACATCTCAAGGCCTACTTTATGACCGAAGCTCGCGCATCGAGCCTCGGTGTCCCAAAGCTGGAACTTGTGGCTGCTGTTGTCCGACGGCTCTCAAGCATACCCCACGACCCCCTCCCGAATCTGATGATTGCGTGGGGCACCCTTCACAAATTCCTTACTTCTCTCCCCGCCCACCTCGCACCTTCTGTGGATATTGTCGCCGTTGACTGTGTCCCCTCACGCGAGAATCGACTGAAGGTCTATGTCCGTACGTCTCGGGCCTCCTTTTCCAACCTCAGACACCACATGACACTGGGCGGCACACAAGAAACACGTACGACGTCCTCGGCGCTCAAGATGGCCAGTGCCTTTTGGAAGCTCCTCTTCTCCAATCTCCCTGACGGAGACGAGCCGGACGTCGCCCAGGAGCGTCTGCGTCATCCTACCAGTGGCCTCCTCTTCTACTTCGAGCTTCGTGGCGATAGTACCATTCCACTTCCGAAGGTATACATACCTGTCCGGCATCTTTGTCCGGACGACGAATGTATTGTTCGTGCCGTGGAGATGACATATGCCATGATCGGACTGGAAGACGCCAAGCAACAATACGGTAACTTTGTACGAGGAAGCTTGTGAGTGTTTGAATTGATGACCTCCGCTGTACACTGCTCTGAGAGTGCCCTTCCACGCAGCACCCACCGCCCGCTTTCTGTACATGCAGGCATTCATACTTATGTCGCGTTCGCGGCGAAGCCAGACAAAGCAGAGATCACTACGTACTTTAGTCCGGAGTGTTTCGGGCCTGAACGCGAGGCCGAAGCAGTTCCTTCGGTCCGTCTGTGAGCATCTGTCAGTATACCTGAAGGCAAGAATGAATTAATGACTCCCGGATCACGCACATGATCGTCGCTAGCATTAATTGGTCGCAGTGTCGGTTCGATTGAGCTCACGGATTAGCAATCGGCAGCCCCCAAAAGGATGCGCGAAGGTGTATACACTGTCATCATGTAGACGCGAGCGCTCTGTTGTAGTTGTTACTAGAATATCCAAGCGTCACATACGGGGAAATGACGACGACTTGAGCATCTCTCACCAGCACCGCCGCACACTGGCACCCCGGATCTAGTCCTATATGGAGTCAACGTTCCCTCAATGATGCCAGTGCACGGTGTACATCAACTTCCCTAGTCTTGTCGATGCGACCGGTGAAAGAGTGTGTGGACTGACTCGGAGGACTCGTACAGTGTTCTTGCCGATGGTACTCCAGACACCGCCGCGGAGAATCCTATCAAGAAAGAAGGCAATTGCCTGGATGCATGAGAAATTGATATTTGAAATTAGAAAGCCTGGAGCGAATACCGCAACTAAAGGTTTCATGCTATGTATCCATCAGAGCATTCCGCGAGTGGTTATTGTCAGAAGCTGGCACGAATAGTTATCCTTGTCTGAACCTTATGTCATTTGAGAACATGTGAGCAGTGCGCACCGGATAGAACGAGAAGAGTATCACTACCTGTACGTCTTTCCGAGTCTGCGACCATCTGCGACCGTCGAACGCTATGCCTGCCAGTCAGCCTCTTTGCTACCCAAGATACGACGGCCAACCTACTAGTAATGGAGTCCCGATTCCACCGCTTCTGCCTCTCGTACCGCCGCGGACATTCTCCACCGCTCTCTACCACAATCTCCCTGAGCCAGCGAATGTAGCAAACTACAGAAGGACGTCTCATTTGGTCCCAGCAGCGAGCCCACGATCGCTCACCTTTACATCGCCTTTGCGTGAAGACGCGACGAGGAGCGAGCGCGTCGACGCAAAATCCCTTGCAAAGGCACTCATCGACGCGAAGATAGATTTCGAGACGGGACCGGCGCAGAGACAGTACAAAGGACGGTCGCAGGCCACGCTGTGGAACTGCGTAGATCGCTATGTCCGTCGGAGTCCTCCAATCGACCACCGCAACCGCGGCATCACGTTGTTCCTGACCCACGCGACTGGCTCGCCTCGTCAGGTTAGATCCAAGTCGCTGACGCCTATGGGCGACATTGATCCCTCTATCTCAGATTTGGGAGCCCACCCTAATCCGCCTGTTTGGCCACGCGCAAGCAGTGTCGTCGCTGCTGATTGACGAGATATGGTCGTTTGAGTCCGTGCAGCATGGTGACTCTGGCGTCCTGAACGACGCAGAGCTGCGCGATGTATGTACGTATCCTTGCCCTGTCTCTCTCGAACGTCGCTGAGGACTGGTCTCAAAGTCGACTGGCAGGATCAGACTCGCGATATCCATAATTTTGTCCTCCATTACTTGCCTACCCACTGCTCTGCCGCATCCCTCCCTCTCCATCTAGAATACATCGAGGCCCGTCCTGAGCAACGCCCGATCATCGGAATCGGACATTCGTATGGAGGAACCACGCTGTAGGTGACTACGAATTACCTCTACTATCTCGTCATGCTCACAACGTGTTGCACACTGCCTGCGGCGCAGCATACGGGCTGCAATAGCTAAACCTGAGTTATTCCAGCGTCTCATCCTGGTTGAACCAATGATCACTCCCCCGACTTTCACTCGTGGAAAGGGGCTGAACCTCCTGCTCTGGAGCGCGCTCGGGAAGCCGAGTCAATGGTCGTCCAGGTGCGTACCACGCCGACCAGCGTAGCAGCTTATCCTCACGCGATTGTGCCTACAAAGGGCGCATGCGAAAAGCGACCTGTCACAGTCCAGGGTGGCGAAGGCTTGGCACCCGGATGTCATCGACATCTTCGTCAAGCACGGGCTCGTCGGGTGCGGCGATGCGAGGGCACCGGACACTGTTCGCCTGAAGACACGGCCGTTCGACGAGGCCGTTGTCTACTGCGAGTGGAACGTGTGCTATGAGGCGTGGACGGGCCTGAAGGACATCCCTCCTGGGCTCAGCCTCCACTGGATTATGAGTGCCAAGTCAAATGCGACGTGGGTTTCTGCCTAGCACGATGTATATGTATCGTTGAGACGTGCACCAGGACTGGTGGAACAGCCATGACACAAGAAACCGTGTGGAGAAGGGCTGAGAACGCCAGCAATGTCCGCGTGGACGCGGGTCACCTTGTGAGTACCGCTTCTCTGTCCGTTTGGCATGCGGTGCGCTCAGACGACGGTACATAGATCGTTCACGAGGCGCCTGACGAATTGGGTGAGTCGCTATCGCGTGCGGTATGCCTCAGGCAGCCATACTGATTCAATGTCGCCCAGCTCGCGAGCTCATCAAAGCCCTATCTGGGTGCCCGTTAGTTCCGCTGCCCAAGTCCCAGCTGTAACAGGGGAAGAAGAGGAAATAATCTCATGACATCTAGTACAAGTGTTCAGCGCTCAACGTTTCAACTGTCGCAATGATAAATCATGAGCCCACGTAGCTGACGTCTATCGGTGGCTTCATGGTTACGGTTTCGCTCGCCTTGCCGCCCCAATTTCTCCCCCATATTTCTCACTGTCAAGATATACTGAGTACTCTGGGCAGTCGCATGGTGCGTCTCTGAGAGTGAATAACGTGACATAAGGACTAGGAACATAGCAGTCTACTTCGTCCCCGTATTTATAGAGCATGATCGAGATGCCCACGGGACTTCCAAAATGTATGATGTACATCATTTCGGTACCTCTGCTGCTAAGCATCGAGCGGCCGAACGCATTACACCCAAGGCGTATCGCGCCGCCTAGCATTCATGGTCCTCCCAAGACCAATAACGAATGCACCGACGAGAATTACAGTCTGCGGCATACTGCGTCAGCCTAGAGCCCCGAATGCAACAACCATATGCAACTGGCGACTTACCGCGCTGAATATGATCGGGCGGTACCAGTAGTACGGTCCGGCGGTCAGAAGGGCGCCGTCAATGGGCGTGCCGGTGAGGTTGCAGACGGACCCAATGAAGAATGCGAGGCCGAGGCGGACGCTGTGCGTGGCGAGAGTCACAAGTCAGATCGTGACGGAGGACACGGGCGGCGTACCCGATCTGACTCGGGTGGGGAGACAGGGAGGCCAGTGTCGGCGACACCAAGGAGAGCACTGGTGACGACAGCCGCAGCAGAGGTGTCAGTGATCAGTGTGAGAGCGGACGCGGCCCGGGAGACCTACCCGCGCCCGAGAAGAAGCCGTAAAGCACGGCAAATACAGCGACGCCAGCGACGGTTGATACTCCGAAGAGGCCCAAGATGAGGATGCCCGCGCCGAAAGACACCGCGGTGAGCGCGTTCATCGGGCCAAAGTAGTCCGCGAGCATGTTGGGGATCGTGCGGCCGAACACGGAGCTGGCGTTCAGGATGGCGAGCTGCGAGGGCAGTAAGAGGCGAAGCGGATGCCTGGATGACAGAGCGGGACGTACAGTGTAGAACCCGAACGTCGCATCCAGTCCATGCGAGATCGTGAAAAGCTGTAAGTAAAAATCTGGAATGGTATGAGCTTACAGAATCTTGTGTGCGTTTTGTAAACGTACACGGGAAGAAAAGGCCCCAGAATACCAGGAAGAACCTGGGAAGGCACCTTTAGCTTGGAGCGGACACGGCAAAGGAAATTACGACGGCTCACCCAGCAACAGAGACGATGTAAGTCGCATCCGTTAGTACGTCTTTCAGCGAGAAGGCACGAGGCGGTGGCGCGCTCCTCTTGGCATTGCTCGTAGAGAGACCGAGCAGCATGAGGCCATTCGCAAGGGCGAGCAAGCCCAACGTGAGGTAAGCGGTCGCCCGGACGCTCGGACCAAACCCGATTTGCCTGTCAAAATATAACTGGTTCAACAGGATCGGGTAGATGATTCCGCCAACAGAAGAGCCTGGAAGCGGACATCGTCAGCACGTAGCTCAGAAAGTCGCGTCTCGACATACTCACCGGTGATCACTGCTCCCATGGCAAGTGCGCGGCGCTCTTTCCAGTAATGGGCTTGGATCGCGACAGCAGGGACGTATAGTAGTCCGGAGCCGAGGCCCATGCCAATACCCAAGGAAAGATACATTTGATAGTAGCTGGAGACATGAGCGAGCGAAACCATGAACAACCTGCGCACGATGGGCATGAGTGAGCAATGTGATTTGGAGCAAATCGGATGAAGATACTAACGAGAATACATAGAGGACGGAGCCAATGACCATGGTTTGTCTGAAGTAGCCCTTGTCGAGAAGTCTGCCTGCGGGAAGAGCCATCGCGTTGAAGAAGAAGAGCTGTGTAGAACCAATCCAGCTGATGTTTGACGGTGTGGATGTTTTGGAAGTCGTGAGCAGGTCCTGGTAGACACCGAACGCATTCGTGTAGCCAAAGGTCGTGAAGAGCAGAAGCCAGCTTGAAGAATGTAGGCATCAGGCGAACGAGTTTCACTCCAGTAGTGTGGCAGACATACCTTCCGACGAGCACCAACCAGGCATCCCTGCCTGGGCGCGTGGGGGTTGCTGCCGCAACGACTTGCGTTACCTCTGGCTTGCTGTCGGCAAGACCGTCCTCTGGCATGTGTGGTAGTGCGGCCCCGTCCGTGTTCGCGGCGGGAAGAGTATCAGTAGACATTGCCGTTCAGACAGGACAGGCGGTATGAGCCCAGGGCGCGACAAGTGCCCGTGCAGGGTACCACGACGCGAAATGGTCTTGCGGAGGCAGGCCGGCATAGCACTGCGATCGTGTTTGGCAAGTGTTATACCACCCTAGTGTCCCATGACATCGCCGTGACATGATCCAACAGCGTGTGGTACAATATTTAATATCCATTCGAATTCCTCGGGCTAAGTAGAATGGAAGTCGTTCGCCGAGAGAGGAAACGCCACCATGGTCGGGGACCCCGGACCGTGGAGGGTATTCCATTTAGTCACCCCAAATCAACCTCGCCACTCCGCCTTCTTGGGCGCTAGCATGGATTAGTCACGATCCGAGCCTGCAGGGCGAACACCGTGACAATCATGATTTCACTCAGGATCTCCTCCGGAGTGCATGGCAGCGAGCGCTGAGGGCACTCCCTCGGACACAAAGAGGGCGGTCATGCGCGGATCCCGCACCGCTCAATTGGAAGCTCGTGGAGACGGCAATGGCCACTGTGGTAAGCAGAATCCCGTCCATTATACTTGCAGACTCTGGGCTGACTTCCATCAAGTTAAGAACACGCCGCCGGCGCAGAACCGCGTGCATCGTGGCATTACCTTCCCATGCGTCGCCACGTATCGTATGTATCTGAACACTAATGTAGATGTACTGCGCGCTGCCAGTGTTGGTCTGTTGCTGCCCACTGATGGGTGCAGCCTTCCTACCACGAAGACGAAGCATGCCTGGGATCGCATAATTTCTCCGCATTCTCCTCATGATTGAACGTGAACGATGAAATCCAGTCTCCAATCAACATCGTAAGGTAGCGCGCCTGCTATCGCTTACTCCATTCCGTACCTGCGCCAACTCTCTCACTCGAGTCTAAGTTTTGTGTGCCTCCATTTGCACGGTGTGCATCAAAAGTGTCCGTCACCTGCGCGTCTTGTATATAGTGCCTCAGCCACGCACCGACCGCGAACTTTACCCTGGTGGCCATGGCTTCAATTGACCTCACCGCTGGCGCCGTCGAGGTTGGCATCGTGATATCGACATTCCTGTACGGCATTGCGACGGTGCAGGCCTACATATACAGTCGGTCAAATCATCAAGATCCACTCTGGCTCAAGTCGCTGGTAAGATTTTCGTCGCATCCATGTTTTCCGCGATCTCATTCTGTGTGAACAGGTTGGCGTAGTATGGTGAGTACTCTGGCGGCATGTCTAGAAGTGACGACTAACGGACGACCCAGGCTACTCGAGACCCTGCTCACCGTGCTGACGTGCATGTACCTGTACTCCTTGACTATCACCCATTTTGGCGACATCGATACCCTGCAGAACCTACCATGGCCAATGGACGTCACATTTGCGATCGGCGGCATTGTCAGTGGTCTAGTACAAGTAAGTCTCGCCGTGTGGCTTGCCGTGTCGCATCTGATTTTTGCCAGTCATTCTTCGCCTGGCGCGTCTACGTTATTTCCCGCCGCCTAGAGACCAGCATCGTGTCCTGGGTAGGGTGTGTATGCCGCGTCGCAATCACGCTCACCATATGCATACTCGACATCAAATCGAAGACCGTCGGTCGCTATGAGAGCCGGTACGGCTGGACGATCACCTTCTCCCTCTCGCTCGCCATGTTCATCGACGTCCTCAACACTTGCTCCCTCTGCTTTTGGCTGTGGCGTAAGAAGGACAAAGAACACTCGTGCGAGCACATTTACCTGCTAGCGTTCTCCCCGCCAACACTGACTCTTGCCCTCTCAGGACCAGCGCATTGATCGACAAGGTTATGACGTGGACGATTGGTGGGTCCGCCTTGATAAACAGCCTTCCTCCTGTCTGACTGCATGGGACGCACTATGAAAGAGACCGGATTAGTGACTAGGTAAGCGCGACGCAGGAATACCAGCTGTCATACTCATACTTGGAACAGTATCTGCGAAATACTGATGCTATCCCTCGTAAGCTGATCCTTTCCTTGCTACTACTGACACTCGTCGGCTCTGATCTCGCTCGCCCTAGAACCTGACCCGGCCTCAAGACGGTAAGTCTCCTGTACGTGTCCCTCTCTTCGGTACTCATTCGCACTATTCCGCCAAGACATCTGGATTGCCATCCTCATGTTCTACGCCAAGCGTAAGCACGCGCGTCGAATGCAGAAAGAACCGCGCTGACATCGTCCGCGCCCTCAGTCTACTCAAACTCCATGCTCATGTCGTGAGTCCGCACTGCTCCTCGCGCGCCGCCGCCCCACGCGTCCCGGCTCACCGTAAGCCGTCTAGGCTGAACGCACGAGACTCTCTGCGGAAGCGCGTTCCCATGCCGAGTGTCTCCGGCCTGCAATTCGCTACGCAGCCGATCTCCGTTTCCGTGAGGCAGGTGGGTGGCAATCGATTGATCGCTGTGCAGCATGCGAGTTCTTACGCAGTGTGTTTTCTCTCTAGCAGGACGTGGAAAGCAGCTTGGAGATGGACGCGCTCGGGGAGTCGCAGCCCTCCAAGCGGTCGTTCTCGTGGGCCGCACATTGAGCCCAAGCTGGGGTGGTGGCTGAGCGTTCTTGGACTTTGCAAGTTGGTAGCCGTCCGATCATCTCGAGGCCGGATGTATGGTTTGATATGTGTACTCTCTGCCACTCTGCTCGTTTCTGAAAATTGATACTTATGTTCCAACATCGTGATATGCGGAGCGCGAGAATGTACCTCAGGAGGCCAGTATCCCCTGGTTCTCGTGGACTTGGGTCTCGCATTGGTGTTGTAGGAGTAAAGACCCGGATCATCCAACGTTCAGCTTCTCAGCCATTCCTGTGTTATCCAAACAGCCTCGTCTAGGGAAGAAGACAAGAGACATACAACGATTCATCAAGAACGGTAGATATATGTGGGGATGTTGCCTTCAAGTCCCGACAAGGGACCCACGGTCTAGCGACATGTTTTATATTGGTGAAGGCTGCTTGAGGCTGATCAAGCAGCTTGCGAGACACCGCGATGCAAAACCGCGAGATGCTAAGTATTACGGCAAGATCGCTGAATTGGAGGCACCCTAAGTTCGTACCTACCCTGCCGAGTACCTTACGATCGCGCACGGTGTATTAGTATTAGTACGGTTGGCGGGCGAATAGGGACGAATCGAGAAAACGCCGCGAGGCTGACAAAAAAGCATCCGCGACGCAGCGCGCGGGATCTAGATCTCAGCTATCTCAGCGAAGTCCATGTATAAGAGTGCCCGGGGTCCCCGACGGCACATCCTTCAACGTCACCGCGGTCAAGCTTCTCGCACGGCGCGCATGGCCTGCAGTACTTGCGATCCCCCGCGTCCGGATTCTTGTCCGCGAAGGGCGCAGCTTACGGTATCTGGATGCTTGTCTGGATGTCCACCTCTTCCTCAACGTTCACATCCCGCAATCGGGCTCGCATGTACCACGACCGAGCGCTGTCTATCTACTTCATCGTCTGAGCAAACATGCAGTCCTCTCCAAACGCTTCAGCCCGTTCAGTAGATGTCCTAGTCGTCGGTGGCGGCCCCACAGCCCTCGTAGCAACGTATATGCTACTCAAGACTGGGGTTGTTGCCCTTGCAGTAGGTTTGTTGGTTGCTTGTGCATGTCCCCGAGCAGAAGCTGAGTTTACCATGATTTAGAACAGTACGATAAAGCGGCACAGGCCTCGTATGGAAGGGCATGCATGCTCTACGCTCGCTCCGTCGAGCTCCTTGACCTGATTGGAATGTACGCTCGGATTGCAGATATAGGATTCATGATCAGGTATATGCTCTCTTCGCTTGCAGGTCGTTCCTTGTTTCACCGGCGCCGTTCACAGAGGCTCGATCACCTTCAAAGATGGCAGGGAAGTACCGGCGCGAGGATGGTCCTTCGTGCGCGACGCCATTGTCGGCAACACCTTCTTCGATTTCAGGTATGATTTCCCCCCTCTTATCATCATCATAGCCGCCTCTCAACTCCCCAACAGCTTCAGTATCAGGCAAAAGTACCTCGAGGCTGCCTTAAGGGAGGCCATACAATCCATCGATCCCAACGCCCTCCGAGCTCCCGCGAAACTCATCGAGTACTCTATTGATCCAACCGCACCGTACCCCGTACTTGCGACAATACAAGAGGACCAAAGAACTTACCAAGTTCGCTGGTTAGTCCACACTGAGTGTAACGCGCACTTCCGAAATAACAACCACTCAATAGCAAATACTTGGTAGGAGCTGACGGGGGACGCTCCACCGTCCGTTCCATTTGCCGGATCCCGTTTCCTGGTACAAACTCAGACCATCGTTGGGTGCGCATGGACGCTGTTGTGCGCACGGACATGCCGCATAGCAGGAGAGGCGGCGTCGCGATCGAATCCATCGAGCATGGCAACGTTCTCTGGACCCCGACGGATAACGGGCGCACTCGGATCGGCTTTGTCTGCCCACAACATCTATTTGGTCAGGACGGGGAGTCACCGACCGCTGAAGTCATCATGGCAGAGGCCAAGAAAGCCGTCCGCCCGTTCACTCTGGACTTTGTCGAGCTGGACTGGTGGACGGTGTACGCGATCGGGCAGCGCGTCGCGGAGACGTTCAAAGACGGGCCAGTCCTTCTATCGGGCGACGCGGCACACACGCACTCCTCCGGTGCAGCACAGGTCAGGGCGCCCTCACTGTAATGCGCTCCGGAGCTGATTCTTCCCACGATGAAACACTGTCTTCTAGGGCATGAACACAGGCATTCACGACGCGACCAACCTCGCCTGGAAGCTCGCCGGGGTGCTCAAGGGGTGGCTGCACGAGAGCGTGCTCGACACGTACGACGCCGAGCGCCGCGCCTCCGCACAGTACCTAATACAGCTAGATCGCGACATCGCATCGCTCATCTCTGGCAAGATCCCCAGCCACATCCACGCGCCGCCCGACGCGGACGTCAACTCGTACCTCGACGAGGTCTTCACCACCAACGCGTCCTTCACCGTCGGCCTCGGCATCTCGTACACGGAGAACGTGCTGAACCGCCGCACCGGCGCGAGCGCGACGCCTGCGGCTGCGCTCCTGGGTCGTCGTGCGCCAGACGTCGCGCTCGTCCTCCCGGGCGCCGCGTTCCCGCGACGGCTCTACGAGCTGATGCCGTACTCTGGGCGGTTTTGGATCCTCGTCTTTGCCGGCGCACTGGAGGCGACACCTGCGGGCGCGGCGCTGAACGCGGCGTGCGCGGGCAAATACTTCGCGCTCAGGCAGGCGCTGGACGCGCCAGACGCATTCACGCACACACGCGCGCCCGTGTTCGCGTTCCTGACGATCCCGCGCGGGGAGGGTGCACTACAGTCCGCTGAGACGCTGGGCGAGCAGCCACTGGGCACTTCGGCTTATGACCTGACCGGGGATGCGTATGCGAAGTATGCGGTAGATGCGGCGGAGGGTGGCGTGGTCGTCGTTCGCCCGGACGGCATAGTCGGGACCGTGGCCCCGCTGGGGGCGACCGGGTATGGAGAGCTCGAATCCTACTTCGCGAAGATTGTGCGGCCGTCGGCGAACGAGGGGCAGCAGGAGGTGGCAGGGCAGCTGACGGTGGGCGAGATATCGCTCGAAGGCCATGAGGAGAAGCTTGATATCACCAATGCTTCCTTGCTGTAAACTAGCAGCTACGCACTTGTCGCCTGATGAAGTTGCTATGTAGCAACTGAGGCTATAAAACAGCACTAGCGTGAGCCGGGTACCACCGGGCTGACCATCGACTATCGCACCTCCCAGAGTGGCGCAACCTCCAAATCAGTACTTGCCTCGACCAAACGCGTGCTTGCTCCCAACATCGGCATTGAACTTGGTCGTAAATCCCACTTTCTGCGACTTACTGGGGTCACCCTGAATACATGATGTACGTCTTCCGATGCATCTCACCTCAGCGCAATCATTCGTAGCTGCTGAGTACTTACTCCCGTCATGACGTTGTCATGATCAGCGGATGCTGTACCAATATATAACTCCGTTTCTACAACGCACTTCACCTCTATTCGATCTGTCCGCGCTCCTTCTCCACGGCCCAGATGACCGTATGGGTTCCCTTGAGGTGATACCAGCGGAACCAGGTAAATTTACGTTCAGTGTCAATGTTCCGCGATACCTGCGTCCACAGGTCGGCCGTCCATTCTGGACTAGCGAAGGGTAAGGGAGGAAACGTACCGGTTCTGTGCATGAGAGTATGCACGTGCGCCGCCAGCTCATCAGTCTCGCGGGGTCGACCAGCCAGCGCAGCGCGAACGTCGCGGGGAAGATGAGGGCGGCAGGGCTGTATGTCGCGACAAAGTAGGGGCGGGGACGACCTGGGGGACCGGCAAACCGCACCCACGCTGACGCTGACGTGGCCTTGATGCTGCAGAGGCCAACGTGTCAGTCGATAACCGGCGAAACAGCAAGGGCCGGAGGATACGCACATGCGATCGCTGTCTCTCTCGATTGCGTAGTGTTTGATTCGTTCCACCCAGATGTCCTTTTGGAAGCCGGGCTTGCACGCCGCCCACGATGGTATGCTAACATGGATGATAAGTCTCGGAGGATCATTGGAGGCTTGAGGTATAATCCGCGCCCATACAACTTCTTCCGCCGCCTGCGATTCGTCTACAGATGACGTAGGCTACCCTCAGTAAATTGCTCACGGTGAAAACGAGATGGCTCACCGCCCGGATCATCACTGGGAGAATTCGTTTCAACGGTAATCCACATCTTGTCTACCGTGCCAGCTATTAAGAACGGGATGGCACACAAAGTTTCGACTTCGTCTGCTGGATCCATAACATGAGGCGCAATCTTGATGAGCAGGTTCTTGAGGTTCCCGCAGTGTTGCAGCGCAGTAGAGAGGAATGACACTGCGGTGCAATGAGAACATAGGAGTCTGGTCGTAGCGCTCTGTTACTCACCTAGTCCTCCTTGGGATAGGTCGGAGCCGTGGAATATGATGGTTAACTGGCTGAGTGAGGGTGGCAGGCTGGCGACGAACTTCTCATAGTTCGTGAGCCCGGTATCAGGATTCCGGTCGTGGTGGGGGACAGAGTACACACTCAACCACACAGAGCGGCTTTTTCGTGCAAGACCCGCCATCGCAAAGAGGTCGACAATGGCGTCTCCGTCCGGACAATCAAGAATGAGCTTCTTCAGTTCGAACGGAGGATCTCGCAGGATTCGTAACGCGGCCGAATCGCCATAGCGTTGTTTCGGCGTAGTCGACACCGTGACATTAACGCATTCGAGGGTGCGCAAGCCGGGCAGAGCACAGATAAAATGGGCGAAGGCGGTCGTCGACGGCAAGGTTACGTTGCGGAGGCGCAGGCGGTGGATTGCTGTGAATGTGGGGAGACGTCGACAGAGTATGATTATGTTCAGTGCCGCAACCTTCCATATACCGTCGACGATATGGAGCTCTTCGAGCTGACGAAGCTTGCCTGATAGCATCGCCGCGAACGTCCCGAAATGCGCAAGCGATCTGGAGTGGGGATCGCCGTAGACATGGACCGCCTTCGTACGCAATGCGCGAACGCGAGAGAAACGCGAAAGAAGGATCACTTCTCGCCGACTGGGAAGACCTACGGCGTGTCCGTCACCTTGAGGCAAATACAGTTGGGCACGAACATGCCACGCTTGGCAGACGGCGGTGCAGGCTAGAAGCGCGGACCAGTCGTGCTGACTCAGGTAGTCTATGATCATCCACCACAGCTCAATCGGCAGCTGGACCGCTGGAGCAGTCTTCGCGGCGTCTGCGTGAGGCTTCGCGATTTCTCCATCTCTGGGCGAAAGTGTTGGTCAATCGAGTCAGCATCAGTACAATCTCACTCGGTGCAATGAAGTACTTACAAAGAGTCCCGGCGGTGACGAACCACTGGTATCAAACCGAAGGGGAGGCTAGGGCCCCTGCCATTCGTGTCTGTTATATGTCGCAGCGAGTTCCTCAGCCTCTGTCGCATTCTGCTCAATTTGGATGTCTTCAGACGTGCGGCGAGGTCCGCGGGGACCCCCGGGCCACTGCTTTCGGTGGAGGCTTCCATGGTGGGTTTGAGAGACTCGTGTTCGCTCCGTTGAGGCTGTTGCTCGATCAAACGTTTATTGCGTTTATCCATTTCTGTTGCCACAGCTTGCAATTGGCCAGCAACGGTCGTGGCGAATCCTGCGAGATCGGATTGATCCGAGACGACGCGTGATGCGTGACGGATTGGGAAGGTATGATACCGGAAAAGGAAAGTATTGTACAAAGGGAGGGCGGCGACGCAGCCATCCGTTGAATCATCTTCCGATTTTGGACGCTGATTTGAACGAGAAAGAGAAAATTTGGAGAAAATCAAACTGTGCATGTACATAATCGGGACTCTGACGCAAAGAGGCGTCGAGCTCGACGTGCGTCGACCGTTTCCTCCGTACCGTTCAAACACTGAGGTAGGTACACTTTGGCACGGAAATGATGCTCAACAGACCTTGGTGCAGGTCAGTAGCGCCGACCAGTCGTGCTGAAGATAGGAGTCTATGAATCGTCATCATACGTAGGCATGACTCCCGAATCTGGACACCTTGTCTGGAAGCTGTGTCACTGAGGCTGTACGTGGCAGTACCGCGTTACAGCCTGAGCCGAGGTATTGAGTATCTCTCGTCTACTTCCAAACAAGTTGCTACCCTTCGGTTCACATCAGTGCTCTCGGCAGTGGCCCATCGTCGATATACACGCGTCATACACACTACGTAATTCGTAGACAGCTCTGAGCCTGAGGGGCAGAGTAGCCTGGCTTGCGGCGAGTAGTATCGGGAGTCGTAAGGAGAGAAACTTGTACGTGAAGAGGGAACTTGAACGGGAGAGCTCTGGTAAGTACTACTCGCAGCGAAAACGACCTCTGCTATGCCAAGATGCGCAACCGTGCTAATCCACATTGTCATATAGGGAACCCCCCTAGCGAACATGGCGAGAATACGTGCTCAACCATTGCCCCCCGAGTTGGCATCCATGATAGTAGATCATCTACACGACGACTGGGCAGCACTATTGGTCGTTGCTGCCGTCTGCAAAGGATGGCGTAGTCTTGTGCAAAAGTACCTTCCTCATGGGCGAGGCATGTGCGTCGAGCTACACACGCAGAGAGAGGTCGTACGTCTCTCAAGTATTGCTCGAAACCGCAAGTTGCTAGCCCGGGAGGTGCATATCCGAGGGGATGCCCATTCTGGCTCGCTGACGCATCTCGGGACCTTTGCTGCGATGCTTTCCGGCTATTTGCCTCGACTCGAAGATCTTCGCATGTCCAACGGTGTATTGAAGACTCGATCCATAGACGCACCAAAGCTTCTCTCATGTTTATCCACGTTCACAACGATCCGCGGTCTGCACCTTGTCGATGTCGCACTTCCATCGACCACAATGTTTACCAATGTGGTATCTGCCCTAACGCACCTGCGATACGTCACTTGCTACGGCGTCTCAGTGGACAGACAGGATAATCACGCCGCATTGCCCAATCCTACGCCTCCGTCAGAAGGGCGTGCTGGAGAAAAACCGTATCCACGTCGGGAACTTCGTTTGGATTGCCGAACCGACATGGAGGCCGCTCTGTCGTCTTTAGCAGCTGCAGGATTTACCCCTGAAGTTCATAAGATCACCGTCGATCTGAAAGGATCGCCGGCACGACTCGAGGCTTTGACCACGCAGCTCCACAGGCTTCATCAACTCGGTCACTTGTGCCTAACGAACAACTCATGGAAGGTGGAGGATGAACGGAAGTTGTTTCAGGGTCTATTCACATCGGCAGTCGTCCGACTAGACCTCATCCATGTTACACTCCCATCGCCCACGTTTCTCGCTGGCGTACTGTGCGCTCTAGTCCAATTGCACACCGTTACCTGCCGCGACGTTCGTTTCGCGTCGACAACTTCACAGCAGAACAGCCACGGATCCCGCTCATCATCTCCGAGTCGCCAGGGCAAGCTGGAGAATTTGTTTAGGGTGCTGGATCTGCACGTCGCCTCTGGTACTGGCCCAGGAGGCTTCGCACCAGCCAATCTTCCGCTGCCAGATTGTTGTAACGTCCGCTTGGTTGGATCGTTGCCAGTCCATCGCCTTGAGACACTCGCCGAGATGCTCTCCAAATACGGAGGTAGACATGGCAGCTCGCGCATATCCGATGCTGTATGGGGAGCTGGACGAGTCACGCCGATTGGAGGAGAGTTGAACCCAATGACAGTGGACAGCCTGAGATGGGTGTCATTGATGCCTGCAATGGGAGCAATCCGCAATCTCCACCTCCACAACGTCGAGCTACCATCGAGCGGGATGTTCGTCCGGATCATCCGAAATCTACCTCAACTGTGTGCCGTCAGTTCTGGCAGCATCTCGGTGGTGAGTAAACAATGTTACCATGTGCCGCCTGTAGCACCAGAAGGTGTGATGGACCGGGTATCACCAGTCGGCCGCCACCCTACTCAGGCATGGTTCCTCGATCTGGATTGTCTTGACATGTACGACATCTTAGCGTGTGTCACGACGACGCCAAGTTGGAGTTTTAAGCAGCAACTCGTCTCCTTTGGACTCGGTATCCACGCTGCTCCCGTCTCCGGTTTTGGTGGCTTCCGATATCGGGACTACGCGATGTTTGTCGCGAACCTAGAGTCGATAACTCATCTGGGGTTCGTGATCTACGAGGACTTGCCCCTTGACCAGCTAGGTGAGCTTTGGGACTGGGAACATTGCAAAATACTGGAAGCACTCACGATTTGATTGCACTGATACAGCGGCGTACCTCTTCCTGGCGGTGTTTCACAGTAAACGGCTTCGCCGCCTAACCATCAGGGTTGCTCCTTGTGTTGACACGGCGTCCGACTTCACAGTCATGTACGGCATTCTCTACTCCGTGGCTCATGACGCCACCGGGAGTGCTGTGTTTCCCTACTACAGTGAATTCGCACCTGAGAGGTATGACCGGACCGGGTGGAATGTAAGTCACCTAACAGGTTGCTTCACCACACGGCTGAAGCGCTGACCGACGTACTTAGACTCGAGAGTCGGAGTGCTCGTGGACCTTGAATGTATCGGTATCGAAGGCGGACGACATGGCATCATCGGAAGAAGGACGGGGCCTCGAAGAAGTACTGGATATCGTCTTCCACGACACTGAACCCGAAACGTCACTCTGGAGCGAATCCCGAGAATCCACGTCTACGTTTAGGATACCGACTTGGGTGGCGCGCGCGCCAGGGTTTTCGATGGATGCATGGATGGAGCGAGCCCGTCGGGAGTTGATTTTTTCCTTCGACAAGTATGCCTACTGCGGAACGGCTTGCCATCCGAAGCCGTAGATGAATAGATTGAACAATTCTTTGAGGTTTCACCCCCTCTTCCGTCAGTGCATGATCCCTTGTCTGCCATAAAATCACAATCATGAAGCCCTGCTGAGTCTCCGTTTGCTCAGGCACAGGCCTGACCACTCACCTGAGCTTGTCGAGGCAGTAGCAAGACTGTAGGAGACTAGGGAGTCCCCTGCCGTGAACCGATCATACGTGCGCGAGGTCACCTGTTGCTCAATGCGCAATTCCGGCCAACGGGCTCACCTCTCCGACCTGGGATGTCCGCAAGACCGTCTATGGTCGCATGGATATCGGATGTTGGCCGTCTGTAGGAGTCCTTTACGGGCCCATCTGTGATTTGACAGATGGGAGGATGATGAGGATAGTAGGTCAGCGGTCACTCAGCCACCGGCCGCGGGCACATAGAACAGTTGGCCGGGTTGACGACCGGAGACTGCCACCGAGATACATGCACCACGTCCGAGTTTCAGTCCGGTGCTGTGATGTTACAGTCATCGTAGTACGTGTCCATGGCCAAGTTCTCCATGCAAACCTCGGTGCACCTATGTACACCACACTCAGACGTAGTCTAAAGATACAACACACGCTTTCCGAGGGACCTGATACGCACCATCCGACCGAGGCCATCGGTATGTGGTTTCCATTTCGGCCAGAAAGTATGTGCCTCGGTGGTACATACCTCGGGGAGCTCCATCGCCGGGTACACCGTCAATTCGGCATACTCGACCGCGCTGTTGAAGAACTCGTCCAGGGGGGAGTGGCGCGCACGCGATCCGTGGAAGCCTGGCAGGTAACCGACGACGACACGCTCGCAACGGCGTCGCTCTGGTACTGGCTCCCGGAGAACGGGTGTGCCCATCGCCTGGTCGAGATCCCGCGTATTCCTAGCAAGGATGGTGAGCGTGCTGAGCCTGGGACAGATCAGGTCTACTCTTGCGTCGGCGTCGCGCTGGGTCGGGAAGGACAGCGTGTCCAAGACAACCGCAGAGTTCCATGCGCATACGACCAGCGTTTCCAACTCGCTCAGGCCGCCCAGCATGTCGCGCAACCCCGCAGCGGAGAAGGTGCACATAGCGTCGGGGTCGTAGTCCTCCATGATCCAGCACTCGCGCACTCCCAGGAATGGTACGATGGGCGGCCGGACCCAGCGCCGTTCGCGCTCGTTATATCGATGGTATCGCGATGTTCTATGGCCACCGCGAAGTCGCCTGACAGACCGCCAATAGCATCGGCCGCGATGACGGAGCAGAGGCTCTCCGTCGGCTCGAACTTGATGGACATCCTCGTCCAGGCCCGCCCGGCGACGTACAGCTGCAGACCCGGACACGACGTCAGCTCGTCCTCCAGGAGCTCGCAGTGCTGGAAGAGGACGGACGTGCCCTCGGCGAGCGATACGGACGCCATGAAGGTGCGGATGTCTTTGCGTAGCGTCGTGTCGATGGTGAGGCGACGCAGTTTTCGCAGGTTGACATACGGCGCGTCCGCGATCGGCCCGACGAACGTCATCATCGACAGCACGAGGTCCGTCAGCTCTGGACTCGACTGCAGGAACACCATTAAATCACTTTCAGGATTCAACACAAAGCCGCATACGCGGAGGTGGAGGTGAGTCAAGGAAGAGAGTCGGTTTTGGGGCACCCAGATCATGCCCGTGAGCGACAGGTACCGTAAACGTGGCGCGTGTCCCTGAAAGAGAGGCGTCTCGATCTTGCGGAGCACTAGTGCTCTCTCTTCTTGCAATGACAGGGACTCAAGGAGCGGAGCCGGAAAATCGAAAGTCTCGTGGACGGGGTCGCAGAGAGGTCGGCAGTAGATGGAACGAAGTCGTGACGTGAGCTGAGGACCCATCTTGCGGAAGAAGCTTTCCAAGCCCCCTGCCTTTGCTCGGTTATCAACGACGAAGTTGAAGGGTAGATAGCGAGCGCGCTCGAGGAACATGAGTGCCGTCCTCTCGAAGCATCGCGACGGTCAATCCAGCCAGGACTAATGTCGGTCCACAGGGTGGGCGTGTTCAAGGCGACTGCGCGCCAGCGTTTGCATACTGAGGTAAGCGTAGCCTGGACGTGTCCAGCCATGGGGAACTCCCATGGTAAGGGATCTTGGCCTACAAATTCTGCACTGTAGCGTCTCGACAAGGAGAGTTTGAAAATCGCCTGGAGGAGCTCCGCTGGGAGCTTGTGAACTACCACAGCGCTGTCCGGGATCCCGTGTAACGTGTCCAGCCACGCTTCTGTGGTATTGTGTTTCTGCGAATGTATTTCGTCGTCCGTGAGCGCATGATAATGGTACAGGACGATTAGCTCACCTGGTGCACCTGCTAAATTAATCAGCTTGCCAGGAGAAGTAGACTGACTTGCGTCGACTTACGTGAATTCAATGTTGTTACGGACCGTAGAGCCCGCCGTACTAGCGATCTATTCGTACAGCGCATCATGCGTAAGCGACAAGAATTCCAAAGGCAGTATGATACTCACCGAGGTCCAAGGGGTACGTGGGGGTTGTTGCATGTTGAGAAGCATTGTCGCGTTTCTGGCAGTGGACCGTGATGAGGGATGTGAGAGATAAGGAGGAGACGAAGAAGTTGACGGGATATATCCTTACGTGTCCCATGGAGACCTTATGTTGTGATCGCGCGGGAGACACAAGGATGCTCCCTATTCCGGACTACTAGTAATCTCAAGCCATAACGCGTAGCCTGGATCGACCTTGTTATACACTTCATGGCGTGTTCGTTGGAGAGATACAAGACGCACCATGTTGAAATGAAATGCTAGTTACCACGTTCATAGCGGCAGTGCTGGCCAGACTGTTGCGTGCTTGTCGGGAACATCGTTCCCAGAGTTTCGGACTCTGTTAGATAGTGTGGTCACTGGTATCCGCAGAGGTTCGTATCTTCTTTACCCGGCAGTAGTAAGTTAAAGGGTAGTTCCGCTTTTGGACGGCGCTTCCGCTTCGGAAACGTTGAACGGATTTGGCAAGTGTCGTTCTGGTCCCGTCAGTTCTGGTAAGCACTGGTGCTGCACGCTCGAAACGGTTGACTCGCTTGCAGAATACAATTTTATGAAACTGCACGGATAGCCTGTTAGTGAAGTGACACGGTACCGTTGCAGTACCGTCGTCTTCGACAGCTGAGACTCTGAGTTCGCGAAGTCACATGCTTGTCCAGGCCGCGCGCCTATCCTTATGTTGCTGCTTGCGACCGTTCCATATTACAGAACTTGCCACCATTACACGGATGCATGATCAGGCCCAGGTAAGTATGCACACTACAGTCGTTTGTCTTAAACTCACGCGTGTCAACTCCGTCTAGCACTGACGTCCCAAATTCGAGCGTTATCATCGCACCTTTCAGCAGTCGAAACTGCGGAATTAACGCATAGGAACGGAGCCCCGACGTGCTCCCTTTCTAGCTTGCTGTAGTCAGGTGCGGCTCTCTGCCGTAGCGAGATTTGGGTCTATATTGACTAGACAAGTACAGTGCGCAAGGTGTCCGGAACCAAATCATGGCCCCTTCGCAGAGGGTTCTCCGGCCCCGAGCGACCCAGCCGGCTTCGGAGGCACCTGTCCAGGCAAGTCAGCATTCAGGTCATTCTTTTCATATGACTACAGTACGTCGACGTGTAGCCCAAGGCCAAGCGAATCAAGCGCGTGCGAACGGCGCGGTCTGCGGATCCGGAGCAGAGCGATGCAGCGGCGTACTCATTGAAGCTCCCACTTGAGCTGATCCTACTCATCCTCAAACAGGTCGACTCTCCCCGCACGCTTGCTGATGCAAGTCGTGTGTGTCGCACTCTTCAGCTCGAAGCCGAGCGTCTCTTGTATCGAGAAGTATACGTGGGGCGCGTTCCGCACGTTCGCGGTCTGCACCGGGCTCTTACGAAGGCCTCCAGACGGGCATCCCTCGTCAACGTATTCAAGGTTAACGACAATGGGCGCATGACTCCCGTGATTCCGCTGGTGATCGAGATACTCCTCATGCTCACAAAGCTCGAGCACTTGGAGCTCAACCTTCTTGCAAACCACGAGAGGCCCGCGATCTTTACCACCGTACTTCGTGCGCTTGCACAGTGCACGTTCAAACTCAAGTCGTTCGAAGGCTGGGTCACCTATGATGGTGACTTTGTTCACTTCCTCCGACGGCAGACCGCCTTGGAATCACTGTACATACAAGGTCTCAGCACACCTGCCTGGAAGATACCACAAGATGCCCTCCCATGCCTCAAATACGTGCAGACGTATCAAGAGCTCTTTGCGCACAGCATCTGCGCCCCTCACGCAATTACGCATCTCGATCTCACTCTTTATGGATGGGATGAGCGGGATCTCAACGAGTTTCTTCGAGTGGTACGGCACCAGCTGATCAGCCTCAAGTGCAAACGATCGTCCTTAGAGGTCCGAACTCCCGTTTGGTCCCTGTTGTCGAATACGATCAATTGCGGGCTCATGCCAAATTTGAGGTATCTCGAGGTAGAAGACGGCAATGATGCCAGCGTATGCACCCACTTCCCATGCCACCGCATTTATTTCGTTTTTACTAATGCTCTCCACAGTTCCTGCCGTGCTCAGATAATGGTCTCATGCAGACGGGTAGGGACAACGTTGCGCTGGAGACGTTCGTTTGGTCTGCGGTGTATAACGACCGCATGTATCTCTTACAAGACGATGACAACAACGCCGCCGCTACCAGCTGCAATCGGCTGGCTTCTGTCCGTCCCTGGGCGAAGAAGATTCTGAAGACTTTCAGCTCTTTGCGCCGTTTCTTCTATGTCGAGCTAGAGAGGGAAAATAGCAGCCTACAGACGAACTTCGTGAGGTTGTTCACGTTAACGCCTGATGATAGGCTTGTGGAGGAAAGGAAAGGGCCGAGGGACTTACCTATTTGGAGTGATATCTAAAAACATTATGGACTCGGGTGCTCCGTGGGCTTTGTGTCTATGAAAATTGAACGGAAACTCGTCCTGATCAAGCTCGTACATCGTACAGGTCAAGGTATGTAAGTGACCACGAAGACAGTGGGCGCTTACTTGATAGAGTCTCGGCAATCACCGGCGGCTGATCAGCTGAGTGTTGTGCCGAATATGGCTCAGGTGTTGCCTTTCTTGGAAACACAATTTTCGCCATTTTCGCCATCGCCTTCCACTTCAGCTTGCTTGGGTTCAACTTGCGCCCTCCACCTTTCGACGCTATGACTGCTCCAAAACAGGAACCACAGGAAGCGGTTCTCCCGCCATCAAAGCCTGCACACAAGCGTCCCGTCGCGAGCGAGAAAGCCCGCAAGGACGCACTCAAAACCATTACGGCTATCCGACGTGTCTCCGCTTGGCAAATACACCGCTGGCCGCTAGAAAAGCGGATTGTCGACGAGCGCACGCGGGTGCATCTACCACGCACATACCTCGGGAAGGACGGCATCGACGTCCGAGTAGTTCGCGCCGGACAGGATCTAAACCAATTTGTTCATCGTTATTACTCAGAGGAGCTCGGGAAGGAAGCAGGCAAGGAGAACGAAGAGGGGAAGAACTGGGTCAACTTCGTGACACCAGACAGCGTATTGAAGAGAAGGTATGTTATATTCCGTGTTTCGGAGCATTGGCATGGTGTCGGACGATCTGTGGTTACTGTTTGTGTGTGCCGTCATTGCAGACATGAATACCTAGGACCGGATCCTCGAGTAGCGGGATACCGGTGCGACGTCGCTGGAGATATGCACATCAAGTGGTGGGATGCGTTCCTGCAGGATCAGTGGATGAACAAGCAGAAGTGGACTTTCGATGTGAGGATGGAGGAGGATGGGAGATGGGTGGAGATAGACGACTGAAGTAGGTTTCATTTTTGCTCTCATCCGATGGTGTTCAATGTTTATCTCTGACGAGACTGTGCTTCGATTGTACAGGACAAATTGTCTGAAGTACGAAGTCCGGCTGCAGTAGGGCACTCAGTAGGTGGCTGGCGGTGGAATGTAACAACGCTGAAAACTTTCTCCAGACCAGTGTTGCGCGTCTGGAATGTCTGTTGGGATACGATGTTTGATTCAGGCCGTCGGGCCTTGTTCATAGTTCAACGTTCAACGTTCAACGTCGGAAACGTCGTATGAAGCTGTAGTAGTACCTCACGGGCTTCCCTCGGGCTTTCCTGATCGAGTATGTATGTACAGCATACAGCGCCGAGCGACAACTTTAAATTGTCCCTTCATTTCATGTTCGAAGCCAGCTGCGCCCTCGTCTCAGCTCCGGACGCACCGGACCGCAAAGATTACAGGATTCTGAATTTCCAGTCATGGCACGCTGATCACTCGATTCACAGCAAAGGAACGAGAAGTCTTTTCACACGCGCGACGGCTGTTCGGGGAGTCACATCCAGGCTGCCGCCACCCGGCGGTAGCTCTGCCATGCAAATGACTCGCAATAATGCATCGCAGGCATGGACTCAGAAGAAAACGTTTTCTACCCCACTAGGCGAGTCACAATTTCGACTCTTCCATCGGCAGGCTAATGATACCGACGCTTGCCGACAGTAAGAAAGGCGGAGTTGTCCAATGAGCCGCACTGCATGCCCACCTCATGCACCGCAGGGTTGTCCGTTGGCACTCCGCAGTGCACCATACCGAGTCATTCGCGACAAATCCGCGCCGCGGCACGGAAACTCAACATGATTGTGTTCGCGTGCGCCACTTGTGAAAGGCGATACGTCCTGGCATATAAAGAAGGGCATGTACGCCTGTTGTGCTGCAAGCAAGACAGGCCTCTCCGCCCGTTGCGCACTCCCTTCTCCAGACTCGTCTGTCGCACTTCCCCGACTTTAAATCCTTTGTACCAAGCTACACCACGACCATGAACGCCACTAACGCAACAGCTTCCGTTGCGTCAAGCACTTCTACGCCCCTTCCGGGGGACTTCCACTCTCTCGTGTCAACACTGTTCTCGATCTCTGCGCTGGCGGACTGGTTCAACTCTTCGTTGTCGGTGGGGCGCTCGAGACGTGCCGCCGCCACCTGTCTACTTGGTGGGAGCGACTAACGCAAGCACTCTGGATCACCGCGACATTCGACGCCAATGACGAAAGCTACAGTGAGTGCTGCCCTCTGATCATGCTCCACCCGATGATGACGCGGACTATGCTCATCAGGATGGATGCTCTACTGGCTCTCCCGCAACCCAATCTGGAACGAAGCACGAACGATCGCAGTCTCAACACGCTCGTTCGGGCTGGATGCGGATGAGGATGAGGATAGCAGCTCTTCACTGGGCCAGGTCTCTTATCTTCCGTCACTCGAGAGCACGTACAACATCTGGTACAGGGGCCACTACGTGACCGTCTCGAGGGAAGAGAGGTCGGAGAATCAGTGGTCTAGCAAGGAGACTTTGCGGATACAGTGAGTCGACAACAACAACGAGCAGCGTTGTCAGAACGACATATTGATCAATGCGTGTAGGATACTCTCGCGGAACCGAGCCATACTTCAGAGCATACTCGACGAGGCACGCGAAGCGTTCAAAGCTGCCCAGACGAAACTCATCTCGATTCACGCCGCAGACATGTATGTTTTAATGCGGATATTTGTATCTGACCAGGAAGACTGATAGTGCGGCCGCGATTGCAGACATGGAGACTGGAACTTCATGGCATCACGCCCTAAGCGACCTCTCAGCTCGATCATCCTCGATCCGGGAATCAAGGAGCTGCTCCTCAATGACGCACGCGATTTCCTCGGCAGCCGCAGATGGTATTCTGACAGGGGAATCCCCTTCCGTCGCGGCTACCTCCTCGTACGTCTATAGCTGGACCCGTATGACGTACCGTTCACTAACACGTCGACCACCAGTACGGTGCGCCCGGTTCGGGGAAGACGTCCATGATCCAGAGCATCGCAGGAGAGCTCGGGCTGAACGTCTACATCGTGACGCTCAGTCGGATCGGGTTGGACGACAGCGCGCTGAACGAACTCATCTCGAACATGCCCCGCCGCTGCATCGCACTCATGGAGGACATCGACGCGGCGTTCACCGCAGGAATCAAGCGCGACCTCCCGCTGGACATCAAGCGACCGGGGGAGGACGGCGACGCCGAGGACGCGCCAAAGAGCCCGCGCGAGCAAGCACAGGCGCAGGGAATGGACACCGGCTCTCGCATCACCCTTTCGGGCCTCCTCAACGCGCTGGACGGTATCGGTGCGCAGGAGGGCCGTATCCTGTTTGCGACGACGAACAACTACAAGGCCCTGGATCCTGCGCTCTGCCGTCCAGGGCGGATGGACCTCCACATTGAGTTCAGGCTAGCAAGTCGATACCAGGCGGAGAACCTCTACAAGTGCTTCTACATGCCCTCTGGCGCGGACGAGCCCGAGGTGGTTAAGGTCGACGAAGGCTACGACTCGAGACGGAGCAGCGTGGGCAGCGATGAAGCCGACGATGAGAAGACCTCAGAACTCGAACCGCTCCTCTCATCTCCGCCTACACCCTCGCCGCCGTATTCCCCATCGCTGTCAAAGCCTATCAACTCCCTGATACCAAGTCATCTCCTTCCGCGTAGAGAAGTGCTCGCGCTCGCAGCACGTTTTGCAGACGCGATCCCTGAACGGGAGTTATCGATGGCGAGCCTCCAGGGATACCTCATGACGTACAAAAGTCGACCGCGCGAGGCAGTCGATGAGGTATCACAGTGGATCGAGAATGAAAGACGGGCGAGGAGAGAGCGAAGCTAGAATGGACTGCATCATACCCGTTGTAATGAAGATTTAACACTGTAGCATACCCGTTGTACACGACGACATGAATGATCTTCACGCTGAATGTCTTCTGAGATGCCGAATCTTTCTCTTGTCCGAGTGAGAAGGCGACTCATCTGCCATAGACACCTACTAATTAAGGACTCGGAATGAGGCGGTGTATCAAAGCATGTACATGTTGCCATTTTGGGTAAGTGAGTTACTTGCTTTCCACGTTGCCACCGCGCGCGGGTCTGACTCTGCTTCAGCCACCTCCTCCAGTCATGTCGGCGAACTTGAAGGACAGCCTGCTCGACCTGTTCGAAGGCAAGATAGTGAGTCAAACTGTTTGTGATATTCAAGCTGATCTTGATGCAACATCCTTCCACAGGATTTCGAGGGGCAGAAACTCGCTGAGGACATCACCAAGTTCACCTTGATTGCAGCGGCGGTAAGTGGTTCGGTTCGATCCATTCTCGCCGTGAAGCTTGCAGCCTCATATCCTACTCTCAGGTGTTTGCGTTCATAGTTGGAGCTCTCTTCCAGTCTCTGCGCGTCACTCTCGGTATCTTCGGGGTCGCCTCGGTCGTTCTCTGCCTAGTATGTCCATCATAAACTTGATCCGTAGGGGCACACTCACAAGTCAAGCAGATTGTCTTACCTCCATGGCCCATGTACAATCGACACCCTGTACAATGGCTTCCAACGAAAGAGTCGGAACCTTCGTCATAATGCATGGTATCGGTTCGCCTTGTCGGGTATAGATGTGTGCAGTGTAGGCTGTAGGTCGTCGTCCCCTCGCACTTGCTGAAAAGGCCCACCCCAGCAGCGAAAGGGCCGGACTACACTTCTATGCGCCGGCCGTTCTCAGCACTGCCGTTCATCGCGCTCGTGCTATGGGAGACATGGATCTACTCCCCCGAAGACTCGAGGCGCGTAAGAAGGAGCACAAGAAGGAACCGCCTAAAAAGGCCGCTCCTGCGAAACCGAAGCCCGCAAAGAAGAAACACAACATCAACTGGAAGGAGATCGGCAGCACCGCCGCTACCGTCGCCGGAGAGGGCAAATTCTTCCTGCACTTACCTCGCGAGGATCCGGAGCTCTTCGCACGTCTGCTCGATCACGATGAGGAGTTGATGGCAAGAGAGGATCTGGTGGAGCTCTTGAGACGTGGTGGTGGTGGTATGGTTCTAGACCGCCTAGACTAGAGCGTCTTAGGGCTAGGATGACGTTTCGTGGAGTCAGCTTTGTCTAGCCTCTTGAACAAATGGCGGTATGTTCCGCCCAATTCGCGTTTCTTGAGACTGAGTGACTTCAGAACACGTTCACAGCTAAGTCCCCAACGTTGGGCCCCGCACAAAAGGTGCGCATAGGAGCGGAGGTCATCGAGCGTTGGTATTCGGTGATCCGGCCACTGTGCCGCTCAACCTGGGCCGACGTAGCTAAGGTCGCGGCTGCCTGGCTCAGCCTTGCCGTCGAATTCCGCCACGTCTGGGAGCCGCTTACTACACATAACTTGTCAATCGCCGCTCGTCGAGGGCGAGTTTGCGAGACCGAATCCGACACTAGCGGAGGTGATCCAGGCATCTGTCATGCGTGACATCAAACGTCTGCTTCGATGCGAAAGAAATCCCGATCCAATCCATATATACCTCGGAGACATGGACTCGCTCTTGCTCTATCAACTCGCTCTTGCTCTACCAACTCGCTCTTTGCTCTACCAACTCGCTCTTGCTCTACCCCACCACCAAGACATGGCCCGAATAAGACAATTCCGCATTCCCCAGTTCGAAAGCGCAGAGCGCAAGGGCCGTGACGCTGTGTTCGGTGCAGACTACGTCAGCGCAGTAACCGAGGAGGTCAACAAGCTGGGATGTTCCAAGGTGTACCTCGTCGCGTCGACGAGCCTGAACGCGCAGACGGATGCGGTCAAGAGATTGGAGGAGGCGCTTGGCAACAAACTGTGCGGAAAGAAGATCGGTGTGAAGAGCCACACGCCGTACGACGAGGTGCTCCAGATCGCGAAGGAGACGAAGGAGAACGGCGCCGACATTATCGTGACGCTAGGAAGCAGCTCGTACAGTGATGCGGCCAAGGCTGCCCTAGTGAGTGTCGATTATGTGCGCGAACAAAACACTCACTAATATATACGCGTCGAGTCAGATCATTCACGCCTCGCTTCCCGTTGATAAAATGGACGTCGACTCCATGGAGTCTTTCAACGGTGGATATGTAGACAAGAAAACAGGCGAATTGAACTCGCCGGCGACCGTCAGAGAACCCACGCTCAAGCTCATATGCGTGCCTACCTCTCTTTCAGCGGCGGAGTGGAACGCAAACAGCGGCTGTACGAACCCGATCACACGCAAGAAACAGCACTTCGGTCACCCCGCCTGCGCACCAAACCTCATTGTGCTCGACCCGCAGCTCTCGCTCACGACCCCACTGCACCTCTGGCTGAGCACGGGCGTACGTGCGGTGGACCACTGCGTCGAGACGCTCTGCACCGACAGAAGCAGCGCCGATATCAAGGACACCGCGGAGGAGGGCTTGAGGGCTCTCACGGAGGGTCTGCTGAAGTGTAAGGAGGATGAGACCGATGCCGCGGCGCGTGCGGAATGCCAGATCGGCGCGTGGAAGGCAGTGCGGTCTATCGTATCCAAAGTCCCACTGGGTGCGTCGCACGCGATAACACATCAGGTAAGTTGAAGCTTACATACTGAATGCGAGGCCCCTACTAAGCCATGCCACCGAATGTAGCTGGGCGCATTTTGTGGTGTACCACACGGCATAACCTCCTGCATTATGCTCTCTCCGGTGCTCAAGTACAACGCGGCGCACTCCCCGTCGAACGCACAGCTGCAACAGCGGGTCTCAGCGATCTTCTGGTCCGCTATACCGGACACCCTTGTTCGGGCAGGACTTGAAGAAGCTCAGGCTGACGCCGGAGACCTCGTAAAGGCCTTCGTGCAGGCTCTGCGTTTCCCGACGACATTGACGGAGGTGGGTGTCGGCGAAGATGTATGGGACAACGTCGCGAAGGCGTCCCTGGAAGATGCGTGGGGAAAGACCAACCCTGTGCCGCTTGAAAGCGTTGAGCAGGTGAAGGAGATCCTCGCGATGGCTAAATGATTGACGAGTCCTGGCCTGTCACCGCGTCATCATGATTACATGCCCTATATTTTTTTTCCTTTTCTCCCTCGTTTCTCTGCATCGCTGAATGAGTCTCTCAACAGACTCTTACGATGCGATTGCCTATGCGCAAACTCGTCGATGTCCCGCCCGCGCTCTCCTATTCATCTTATCTCTCTCGCTCTGCTGTGCTTCCAGAATCTCGCGCGTGTATTTGTACTGGGCCGCGTGACGGCGCGGCGCCCTGATCTCCATCGAATTCCCTCTCCCCGAGTTCTCTCTCCTCCCGCGTCTTCGACTCCGGCACTTTTGCGCGACAAGACGGTTCGCGCGTGGAATAAATGTCGAGTAGAACGTGTCGAGACGTGTTTCGATACCAGTACGTTTTCCATTGACATTCGGCGGCCTAACTACTCTATCTAGACCACCTTTGTCGTCCTCGCTGAGCCCTACGTCTGCCTCGACTCCCGACCTCCCTGCATCAAGGACGAGCGCACGTGTGTTGGTTTGTCGTCGCCCAAGCACGTCTTCTCTCCGACAACGGCGCTTTCTCTAGAAGTTAGTGCACGATACCACAAAAAATGTGACTCAGAGGTTCTACCGTGTAACAACAAAGGCTACATCCTCATTGCGCCCTACTATTGTTCGTTACGAGGTGTCGGGTTGTACATCCACTTTCGGCCTGATATGACTCTGAAGCAACAGACACACCTGAGACAAACCTGAGATTCAACGAACTCAGTCCATTCTTAGACCATCTCGTTCCGTTCTAATCATAGCCCAGAGCTGTTCCGCCGAGGTCTGCTGCCAGCTGGGGCAGAACACACGAAGTGTTCTTAGTCACCGCATTTCACGGTATCATGTCAGATTACAGTGCCTAGCTTCCCCAGTGAGACGAGTGTTGCACGTTCGCAATGAATTACGTACCTTATTTGATGTTCATTACCGGTATGTGTATCACTATCCCCGCTTTGACATGCGTGACGACTTAGTTACCAGACTCTCCACTGGTTCAACCTATAGGTCGCGGTCTCATGGCCAGGGTCACATCCTGGAATATCAAAATGACACCCTGACAAGTACACATCCGCAGCACGTCCAGCAGATAATGGAGCGACCGTTCACATTACCCACCACTTCGCCTCGCCTTCGCTCTGTACATGCACCATACCCAATCCGACGCCCGACGCTATCTTCTTCCTTTGATACCGCCCCCTCGTCGGTGACGGCATGCCAACATCTCCTCGGCTGGCAACAGGTGTCGGAGGAGTGATGCGTACTTCTACTGCGGCGCCCTCTCCGTCCTCCGTATCGACCTTGAAGATGCGCGGGAGCGAGGGCGAGATGACCACGTTGAGCGTGGACACGGAGGTATCTCCGCAGTCTTTCTCGGGGTCGCGGCTGGCCCGCGCCAAAGGCATAGGGGAGCTGATGAGGTCCACAGAGAGCTTGGGCGCGGCTTTGCGAGATGGAGCCCGCCTCGCACGTCGTTGCGGGGTCTTACTGAGGGGCGCAGGTTTCTCGGCGGACAGATGAGACGTGTCGACGGATACAAGTTGTCGCCGGTGATGAAGGATAATACCGGTAGCGGATAAGACGATGAGGACAAACAGCGTTCCTATTACGATGCCAGCTATGGCGCCTGTAATGTTAGAGTGAGTCGGCGTGTCAACGATTGCACGCAGTTGGCACGTACCCGGAGCGAGCTCGTGCTTGGAACCAGACATCGTTCGCTTGAGTAACGTTGGCGTGAGGTACTATGATCAAGGACATCAACACAGAACAGTAGAATGTGTTCTTGCCCAGGATGGCTGACACAGTGGCTGACGACTGCATGTTAGCAGCGTCGCTAGTCTTCAGTGCGCCATGAAGTCGAATTAAGAGCAGGACGTCACATATTGGCCATGATAAAACTTGACCGGAATACGCTTAATACGTTGGTGTGGAGGCTAAGCGAGTGCATACTAGTATGTATACGTAGTGTGGATGGCACCAGCAAGCCAGCGACTGAGCGCGAAGTAACTAAGTCTCTGCGTTGCATTCCTATGAGTTGCACCTCTCTTACCTCGCGGGTCAAGGGTACTATTGCCAAGTTACAGTATGCTGGTAAACCTTGGGCGGGAGCCAGCGTTGAAACGTTGTGTGAGGCTGAGCCAGCGGCAGGTGCAACGACTCGACTCAGCAGTGTACTACTTACATAAGCTACTGAGTAGGGGCCCAGGCGTCGGGCGGTGCGGTGGCTGAGCCGACCGTGGGAGAAATGTGGACGGTGGAGCCACTCAAAGCCAACTTCAACTGCTGTTTGTAGATGGATTCTTTCTGATCGACGCTCAGCGCTCAACTGCAACGGCTGGTATTACGATACTTCGAGAATGGTGCGAATAAGTGAGTGAAGGCGTATTAAAACTGGGCAAATACCGGGCCTTGGCATAACACTGGATCGCCGCGCCGGGTCCAACTGGATAGTAACTGCCCTCGGACTCGGAGGCACAGTACTCAACGTCAATCGTATGTTCGCTCGAATGACTCCGACCCTTTCCTAGACCCCCAAATTTGGACTTCAGAAGGCAGCGGGTGAGTCAAATTCATGACCTGTGACATGCTTCACACGAACGCATGCAACGATCAGACGCCTGTCGGTCATAAGTCGTTGTATTCTCATAAACACCACTGTGGTGATTTTCTATCACTGCCCCGCCGTCTGGAATGAGGGCGTGAGATTCAGTCTTCGCTACCTCACATATCCTCTTGTTCCCTGCCGCTTCCCGCCAGCAATGTCTTCATAACCCCTCGTCCTTACGCTAGTGTCTCTGCCAGAAATCCCTTCTCAACTGATTCTGTGACTCGTAACGAAGCTTACTATGCCGTTCGCAGTCGTGTAAGACCCTGTTGTTGCAGCTTCCGCCAGTTTTGACTTTGACGCTCTCGGCTACTCCCAGGCAGAGCACAAAGGAGAGATTATGGACCTCCCTGCGCAACTTGACGATCGGCACTGGAGGGAAGCATTCAGACATACCTATCATGCTATCGCCGATTTACGCGCCGATTTCGTGAGTATCTGCCCAACATGAATCTGATGCCTATCGCTGAAGCACTGCCACCATTTGCATCTACCAGGGAGGAGCCGCCTAACACTAAAACTGAAGATGCACGACCCACATTCAGCCTTAATCCGGATTGCAAATTGCCACTTGAGCTCTGGTGGACAATCATTGACGAATTCCAGCATGACTGGCTCGCATTATTTGCATGCAGCGTCGTCTGTCGGTCGTGGCGTGCTCGTACCCAGATTTATCTACCCCAGGGCTATCGACGCACCGTGGAGCTCTACAGCCAGAGAGACGTAGCCAGTCTTTCGAGGTTCGCTCGCGTCCGAAAGCTGCAAGCACGGACGGTCCAGATTCATGGAAGTCGCCATTCCGGCTCGATAGCGCACCTCGGAACGTTCGCGGCGATGCTCTCGGGGCAACTGCGTCATCTCAACGAGCTGCATGTCATGTACGGCGCTTGGCAGACGGCCACAGTGGACACATGTTCTCTTTTCCGATGTCTCTCCACGTATTCGACCATTCGACATCTACGGCTCTGCGGCGTCACATTGCCGTCCACAACGTCCCTCCTCCGCTTGTTATACTCTCTCCCCCGATTACGCTCCTTCGACTGTGTTGATGTATCAACGACAGACAGGAACTATGGGAACCGAGCGAGCGCACATTCCGCCCGGCTCTGCAAAATCGAGGCGTTTGTTCTAGATTGCTCTGACGTGGACGACATATTCGACCTCTTCGCCGCGGCCAGCCTTGCGGAGTACAGCGGTACCGTTGAACTCGGTATACACTCCGCTCGCGATGTCGAAGATGGCGAGCGAACACATTTCGCGAGATTCACCAGGAGCTTGACCTCTGTCTCCCGACTCACGATTGTACTCCGCGATGCGGATATGTCTGACGAAGCACTAGGTGAGCCTCGTCTAAACTTTTGTACCTGAGCTTTACGAAGTTATATAAAGCGATGTGCCTTTCACTGGCGCAGCATCACTGCGAACGACTTGAATATCTCATCATTCAAGCCATCCCTCGTGCAAGCCCCATATTCGAGTTCTCGTTCATATCTGCTATCCTGTCGTTCGTGGCCACCAACATCACCAAGCGATTTATCATACTTGATATACAACGCGGGTACTTACACGGAAGTGAGTCATCCATACTCCTCTTTCTCGTCGGAAGTAGCTCAAATCCCGATCCAGGCCAACCAATGGATTTCATGGATACGACATCATTCTCAGAAGGAAGACGAGGCGCTGACCAAGTACTCATGGTCAAGTTCCAGGACCGCAAGGCTACGCGTCCCGCGATACTTCGGAGAGCGTTCGTCACTCTGAGCATACCGTCGTGGGTGGCTCGCGCCCCGGGTTTCCGGGAGGACGTATGGATTCGACAGATTAGGCAGCACGTAGGCATTTTGGAGCGGCGAGACGATCTAGAGTACGTATCCTTCTCATTCATTCAGCTCACTGATCGTCTGAAGTTGACTGCCGCATTTCACGCGTTTACAGCATCGGCGAGATATACTTCCGGTGACGTTACTTTCAGTGCCGTTGGGCTGCCTGGAGACAGTTGCTTGCTTGCAATTGACATATCACGTCGAGACCAACTTGTGATCTGCCAGTTGTTGACAGTCTCGACGGTTGGTGTAACGCGCCGATTTTACAGAGCACTGGTTCTTAACAAGTACGCATTTTTTATATTTCCTCGTCTCATGATTGACCAGTTAACTCAAGAATAGGTACGCAAAAGCACGCGAGTGCGAGAGGGGTCGGATTTAGCTCTACTACCATGAAGATATGCCGGTACTGCTTGCGCTAATACGTGATGGATATTGACCACCCGCACACGCATATCTTGCTCACTGACTCGGAGACGTTGACGAGGAAGGATACGGAGAGTGGGGGACCGTGGCACCGTCACATTGTCGAGGTCACCCGACGCCTCGTCGATTCCGAGGGCAAGATGATCACCTCGGGCTCTGTCTTCGTCTTCGACGAGGACGAGAGTTGCATCAAGCGATGGCCCGGACGGACGGGTTCTTTTGGAGCCCGAGTCGTATATTGGGCAATCTCCTACTCTACCGCGAGACGGAGAAGCGCGGTGCGGGGAACAGGGGCGCCCGCGTTGAGCAGCAATAAGAAGTGGACGCGAAGGGCGAGGGGCAGTCGCTGAGCAGGCCGAAGTATGAGGCACACCGTCTGACGGGCGTCGACCGCCAGCGCGAGCGCAGTCTCCGAGTAGGCAGCTGCCGGCGGGGTCGCTCAAGTATAGAAAATGTACATTTACTGCCTGTGATCTCTAGCATTGGATGAGCCCCGAATAACGATGCATGATTCTTATTGCTGTTTGCAAAAGTCTTGTCGCGGCGCCAAAATCACAAAAAGTTCGCACGACGCGACCTTGCGACCTCTTGCTCAGAATCGCTGTTCCTCGCTCAATTCTCAACCTATCGGCTCGGCAACTACAGCGTTCGATTCGCCTCGGTGAGACGCAGCACCTGGTATGAAGAATATGGCGAAATTCGAAGGTCTCAAAATCTCGATTTTCGGGTGTGCGCGTGAAGGAGAACGGCGGCGGCGAGCGTAGGAGAGGCCAGGGAGCGTCGGGAATGGCTGGGACATGTTTGGTTGGGTAGTATGCAGTGCCCAAAAATGCGATGGTGAGTTTCGACCGCTCTGTTCTGTTGCCCGCGAGGTCTTTGACGCGAAACACGACCTCTTGCTCAGAGTCGCGGTTTCTCGCTCAATTCTCAACATATCTGCGCGGTAACTACAGCGTTCGAATCGTCTCGCCGAGACGCAGCACCTGGTATAAAGAACACGGCAAGATTCGTGAACCTCAAAATCTTGATTCTCGGGTGCGCGCGCGAAGGAGAATAGCGGCGGCGAGCGGAGGAGAGGTCAGAGAGCGTCGGGAATGGCTGGGACATGTTTGGTTGGGTAGTATGCAGTGCCCGAAAATGCGATGGCGAGTTTTGACCACTCTGTTCCGTTGTACTCACCTGCCCCCAGTTGCCTGCGAGGTCTTCGACGCGACGCGAAACATGCAGAGCACGCCCAGCTCTCATAAGATCTACCCAACGCTGATGCCATTCGACGCCTCTCATAAGGCTGCAGTGCGCTTCATCAAGAACAGTAGAAAGGACAAGGTTTCGGTGGGTGGGCCCTTCACTCGGACCAGGCAAGCATCGCGCGTCTCACGATTGGCATGACTGCCCCGTTGTGCTTGCAAAACCGCATCAAGGTATGATGTAAAATTACTATAAACCTGTTTGTATTGTCTTCTTTCCATCGCGCCGGCTCTCGAGCCTTTATTCCAGATCGGAAATGCGCTGTGAATTGCTATTCTGAAGGTGTGCGCCCGCGCGCTACACACGGTGGCACGGTGAGTTCACGCCCATTCTGATGCAGTCTCCGAGTTGCGACGGCAGGCGGTTGTCTCGGGACTTGTCAAGCCTTGCGCCTGATATAGTCTGCTAGTCTGATATGCGCAGACCATTGGCATCAACCTTTGCAATCTCCCCCAATCCAATTCCGGACTTTTGATGTTGCTCGCTGGCCTGCATGGCGACATATTGATCTTGGCCGACGTATGTAGTATCTACTAGCCCATAGATTATTCGAATAAATAATGAACATTCGTACATTGATCTTGTCCGACACCGATATCTACATATGTGGCGTGCACCAGTGCGATCACAAGTCTTGAAGGGTGCCGCGATCTCACCGGTCGGCGGTCCCTCTTTTGTCTTGTGCACTCATCATCCACGTTCTCAAAATGCCACAGAATGTGCCGACACTCACCAAGGATCTCTGCTGGGTGCTCATTTACATGCATTACATCTCCCAGCTGTCTACCAAGGATATCTCAACATTGACTGGTATCAGGCTGCGCACACTACAGCGCCTTTTCCGTCTGCACTTGATGACCGGGGATGTCGCCACACACCGGAAACGAACTGGCCGGAAACGAAAACTTGATCAAAATGCTGAAGAGGTACAGATGCCATCTATAGTGCTGTACATTGCTCATTACATTCACAGTTCATTCAAGGCTTGATCGAGCACTCGCCTGATTCGTACCTTATGGAGCTGAGGGACAGACTTCAGGAGATCCATGGTGTACAGGTGGACATGAGCACAATTTGGAGGACTCTAAAGAAGCTTGGTTTCACATACAAGAAGGCATGTACTAGTGTTTTGGCAATGGGGATGTGGATATCATAAACTCAACTCATGTTATCCTGGTTGTCCACAGATCTCAAAGAAAGCACTGGAACGAAGTGATATCAAGCGCACCGAGTACATCATGCGGATGGCTTCGCAATATAGTCCTCATCAGCTTGTCTTTGTTGATGAGAGTGCCTTTGACCGACGGACAACATATCGTGGTCGGGCATGGGCGCTCAAGGGACACAGGGCAGTGCGGAAGTGTTTCTATGTGCGGGGAAAGAAGTATGAATCTAGTCATAGTACATTATCTGGTCTCTGTACTGACTCCTGAGCCATGTATCAGATTTTCAATTTTGCCTGGCCTGTCACTCGATGGCATGCTATATTGCCGGATTGTCGAGGGGTCATTCAACACTGCACGGTTCATCCAGTTCATTGAAGGTTTACTTGAACAAATGCAACCTTATCCTGGGCCAAACTCAGTCATTGTCATGGACAATGCACGCATACATAAGGATCCATCAATTGCTGAACTTGTGGAATCACGGTAATGTTCAATTGTTCAGATCTCACTCTCTCAACTGTTCATGAATTATGATGATTTAGTGGCATGCGGGTCGAGTTTCTCCCTGCTTATTCGCCAGACTTCAATCCAATTGAGCAAGCATTTGGTGTCATAAAGGCCTATATGTGTCGTACACATCATGATTTTGCTCGTTCCAATTCGACTGGTGCTGATTCGGAGGATCTGAATGAAGCATATATCATGCTGTATGAGGCTGTCTACTCTATCACAGCAGGCAATGCACGCTCCTTCTTTAATCATAGCGGGTATAGATAGCCTGTACAGCAATTGTCCAATAGTCTAATGCATCTGAGTTTAATGTAAATGGAATGCTTCAGAGGGAGTCCGAGTCTTAGCACTTCAGATCTATACAAGAACAAATTATCTGTATATTAAAGATGCTCTACTCTACTCAATAAGCAGGTCAACTATATACATCTGCTATGATAGACTAATTAGGGTGACAACGAGACATCAAGATCAGAAGCGCAACCTCTTCGTAGCTCTCCTTGCACGGCGCTGGAGTTCTGCAACATCCTCACGGGCCCACTTCTTCAACTGCAATGCAATGCCCAGAGGCATTTCGAAATACTGCTGGAGCTGCTCTTCAGTAAGCAAATGAAAGTCATCCAGACGTGCAATTCGCTGTTCCCACAAAGCCTGTGCCCATCCTACGAATTGGAGCTGATCCCGTCCTCGATACGGATCATTGTCGAGGCCGAGAAGCCACTCGTACATCGTAGGATAGTCGACCTGAACTGGCTCATCATCAGATATGTCGAGGCTTGCACGGCGACGTCGTGAACGAGAGGTTGATTGGGATGGCGAAGAATCTACAGATCCCGCGCGGTGCCGATGAGGTCGATCATGATGACGGGGAGTCTGTGGCGTATACATTGGGGCAGGTGGGAATCCATACGGCATAGGCGGGTAGCCATAGATCGGGGGTGGCAGTGGCAAAGGCGCCGCATAACCTGGCAGCGATCCCGGATAGATGCCTGCATGCGGAGCAACTGACATTGCCGACGGATGCCCTTGCATTCCCAGATAGCCCGGGGCACCAGGATAGGGGAATGTCACTGCACCACCGACCGCAGACTGCGCAACAGGGTCTGCGTCTCGGGGAGCCCCGGCAGCCACATCACTACTGCTTGCACTGGAGCCAGCATCCCTCGGCTTCGGCGGAGGCGCAATCTTCAGTTGGGGCGGGATCACATCAACTGTCGCATCGCCGCCGCTCTACAGAGTGAATAATCAACATTTATTTGTAGATGTGAGTGTCGAGTGATTAAATCACGTACCACGAGTCTGATCCACGTCGTGAGTTCCCACATACTGAATTCCCGATGCTTCCCAACGATCTTTAATGCACATGCCTTGTCGCATTTCTGGCAGTACCAGATCCGCTGCAGCTTCGCAAGAACACGAGCATACGCGGTAGACGTAGGCTCGCCAACATTATCTTCATTCTCGCTGGTATGTGTGTCCTGGCCTTGGGCAGCAGACGTCGATCCGCGCGCCTTCTGCTTCGCCTTCGTGTTCTTCGACAGAACCATCAGCCAATATCACCAAATCAAGATCAAGCATACCTTGCCAGTGACGGGCGCAGCACTAGACACGTCAGATTCCATGAGAGGGACTATACGGACATGGTATGGCTTGACGCCGTTCTTGCCGCGCGACTGCGAATCAACGAACATGCGCACTTGCTCCGTCAAGCCTTGCCACTCTTCCGCATCATCGAGCGAGTTTGCTGCAGGGTTCTTTTGATTGCTCTTGAACTCCCACGACGGGATATATGCAAGGCGACTCGGCGGGATCATGACGCCGAGGATGCTTTGTCGAACTGTCTCCCACTTCGCAGTCGACTCCACGCGGATATCTTTGACGGTGTTCGCGCCAATCGGGACCTTCAAAGGGATGACCAATGTTGCTAGAACTGCATGTTAGCATTGGTGCGTGAGCCTAGCAAATCTGTACATACCAGGTGTTGACTCCGACTCCAAGTCTGCAGCCGCAGAGGTACTGGCTTTACTACGGCTCGGGGTGGCATTGCGGGACCGGCCCTTCAACTTGGACGGAGGAACCTTGATTTTGAAAGACGGCATGACCTGGTCATAGACCTTGTCCCAAAAAGCCTCGTTCCTCTCGTTCTCCTCGTCCTGTTGTTGGCTGGGAACGATCTTCTTGCGCCCGGGCCATTTGCCAGCTGCATCCTCCAACTCCCCATCCACCTCTGCCGACTCGTCCTCCTCGTCCTCGTCCTCGTCATCCTCGTCCTCCTCGTCATCCTCGTCACCTTCATCGTCCGAGCCTGACCCAGGTGCGTCGGGCGTATCCGATGAGGCGTCAACATCAATGATATCGGAACTGACTTGAGCCGTCGCCTTTGGATGCGTGGAGGAGTCCCGACGCAGGCCCACTAGGATCGATGCCGCTTCCAGCTCGGTTTCCTCGCGAGTCTCAGACTCCTGGACATTGCCATTCCGCAAAGCACCTTTGTAGGCAGGCCTTGGACGAGGTCTCGGAGGCGGAGGCGGCGGCGGAGGCGGCGGCGAGTCTGGGGTGGTCTGACGTCGAGAGGACTTCGAAGTCTTCCGAGTTGTGCGTGGTTTCCCTGACTTCCGCTTCGATTTGTTCCGTTTGTCTGCCATAGAGTCTAGAGATGAGAAGAAGGAGTGTGTAGAGTGTATGAGTGAATGTGCTAGGGTAGGGTATACGGGTATGTGCAATGTCAAGTTCAACTTGCAAACACCGACTCGGCTGTGTAGCGATCTTCACGCTGGATGTGATCCCGGCCATACACGTAATGGCAGGGCTTTCTCTCTCGACACTGCAAGCATACATGCTGACCATCACCATGTCACACATTAGCTCTTTCACTTCATAGAAATATATTGTTGTTCGAGTCGTCAGGGCATAGGTACCGGGTCGGTGTCACATAGCAGCGAGGAGAGCCTGAAAAAAGAAAGTTCTCTGCATACCTGCGACTATGTCGTGCTGCGGTGAACTCCCCTGAGCATGTCCCAGCCATTCCCGACGCTCTCTGACCTCTCCTCCGCTCGCCGCCGCTATTCTCCTTCGCGCGCGCACCCGAGAATCAAGATTTTGAGGTTCGCGAATCTTGCCGTGTTCTTTATACCAGGTGCTGCGTCTCGGCGAGACGATTCGAACGCTGTAGTTACCGCGCAGATATGTTGAGAATTGAGCGAGAAACCGCGACTCTGAGCAAGAGGTCGTGTTTCGCGTCAAAGACCTCGCGGGCAACAGAACAGAGCGGTCGAAACTCACCATCGCATTTTTGGGCACTGCATACTACCCAACCAAACATGTCCCAGCCATTCCCGACGCTCCCTGGCCTCTCCTACGCTCGCCGCCGCCGTTCTCCTTCACGCGCACACCCGAAAATCGAGATTTTGAGACCTTCGAATTTCGCCATATTCTTCATACCAGGTGCTGCGTCTCACCGAGGCGAATCGAACGCTGTAGTTGCCGAGCCGATAGGTTGAGAATTGAGCGAGGAACAGCGATTCTGAGCAAGAGGTCGCAAGGTCGCGTCGTGCGAACTTTTTGTGATTTTGGCGCCGCGACAAGACTTTTGCAAACAGCAATAATACTGTATTTTCTGGGATGGCGAAATAGCTGGTACGAATGCACGGGCGCTTCTACCCGAGTTCTGGCAGTCACCGAGTTAGCGCCGGTTCTGTTCTGCGAACAACTTGAATTTTGGGCTCCTTCCTCGCTGCACGATCACGTCGCGTCGTCAGTCTGTACTGAACTACACTTTGGCTGCTCGCGCGCTCTTGAGTGAATGGAACGATTCCATTTTCCCGTGTACCAGACGAAAGCATTGGCGTACGGAGTCTGACTTCCTACCACCACGTCGACTTCTTCGTACCCTGTTCTGTTTCCCTGGAGTCAAGGAGCGCTCAGAGCGATGATAAATATGGAGAAGGATCGCAAGATGCGCGGTCTGAGGTTGTCAGTGTTGGATGATCTGTGTTGAAAAGGTACGTGCGGTATTTCTCAAGCGTTCGCAATCTCGACTTACGACAGTATCCTGCTCTTCACTGAAAGCGCACATGATGCGGACTCGGAGTACTCTGAGACATGCCGATCGCCAGAGCAATGTCGTTATCGGTGAGCAACGAATACAGCTCCTTGGATGTACCTGCTCACGGTGGCTAAAGCCGCATCGCAAATGGATTCAGAGCGTGCTGGTACCGTTCTCCGAGTCCATAAGGCCCGGTTCCCTGAGCCTTCCACGTTCAGCAGCACACCATTTGTGCCATTCGCTGTCTTGTGCGCGGCCTTGCGCTCCGGACATATGTACTGCAGGCCACATCAGAAACCCCTTTCGAGTTGGCCTCTACGCGATACGAACAACGCTAGCTTCAAGAAGCGATCCTCCTGTGTCGATTACGGCGATAGGCACGAGCGCGCCCGCACTACATAAACCCGTCTAAGGACGTCCAGGGCGACCACCAAACGGCCCACATCAAGTGAGCGACTGATACGTTGGTGCTGGTCTGTCGCGGACTCGCGGTGCGGATGCACGGTTGCTTTGGACCTTTCGGGAGGCCGAGCGATTAGTTGCCCGCCCGTGGAAGACCTATTCCTTGGCGTGCGTACCTGTCTGTAGTGACCCTACGATTGAGGCCTCCCAAGGAGAAGCCGCAACACCGCTCGCGACAGCCATCCGTTCGCCATGATAACCACGCAGCCCTTTCCTTTGCTATACTTCAACTTGTATTGGTCACGGGCGCCATGGTGGATGTCGCAACAATAGATGCGCGATGACGATGCACACATGCACAGCGAGCCGGCGACTTCGCATATGCTGCTGCTCATATCCATCCCAGCCACCGGCCCAACCCTTTCTCCCCTCGTTTGAGCATGTGCGTCACGCCGCACTAGATCGCGGCACATGGGCGTACGATTCTGCGCGTCGGGCGTATGCCATGTCATCGCGTCTCCACAACACCAACGTCCTCTCATACCTTGCAACACTCGCCTTGCTGTGTCGCATTACACCACAGGCACAGCATTGGTCTCCGCAATGAACCACGGCGATGTCTCCGCCCCAGGTTGCGCTATGCTGGTCATCCTCAACAGTGTTCCGGCCCCTCACCGGCGTTGATCGCTATCCTCGCCCTTCACTCGCACAGGTGTACGTGTCCTCCTCCGGTCGAGATTCTCGCTGTCGTGGCACGACGAAGACCGAGGCATGCCCCCGATGCACACCAGCGGCGACCCTATCATCGGGAACCAAGCGACCACGGGCTAGGGTTATCACTCGCCAGCGACGAGACCGAGATCGAGGACGAGTGGTGCCTTTTCAATTATCAGTAGGTAGAACCACCTCTCGCTGCTCGCTGCCGCCCTGCGACAACTTACCTCTGGACCTGTCGGCTTGCTATACAAGACGCGGTGTCATTGGCTGGTCGTGTTGGTATGATCATCGCGCGTAGGCCCAGGCGGCGAAGAGAGCAGCCCGAACTGGGTCAGTGCCTGCTTTTCTTGCGACGTTCGACCGATGTGGCTCACAGTCTGCCTGTGGATAGCGAGGAGCGCTCATTCGACACGCGTCCATGAACTACTGCCGCCACATGTCGATATCGCCTCGCTCGGTGAATATGTACTCCTTGGAGTCGTTAGCATTTATCAATCATCAGATGCTCATATAACCCTCCATGACAGTCAAGCACCCGTACGCGGACACACTTCTAAGTTCGCGGCTTGCTCGAGTTGAGGCATGTCCGAAATAGAGCTGCAGATGTAGACAGATCGCTCGCCCGGGTACATCGACCACGAGCGGCCTGGTCTGTCCGCAGCAGTTCAACGCAAGAACAGTTGTAGGAAACGGACCGAGGAAAACGTCACGGTGACTGGATGCTCGAATGACATCCGGTGTTCTGGCAGGCAGCTTTGCCATTCCCCTCGATCCCTGCACTATAGCATGTCGCGAATTCTCGATATTCATTGGATGACTTTGTGAGCCATCCCGTTCCTCGTCCGCGTCATGTAATCACACGTCTCAGGCTCGCCATGTGGTAGCAGTCCTCAGAGTAGCTGTCGATTTCTGTCTGGACGACGCGATGTATGTAGTCGCAGGATTGGGGTTCCGGGCAGAGGCGAATAAGCCGGGTTAATTTCAATGGATGGCGAGATGTTACCTGCCGATACTTCAGGTACGGCTCGCCGTTCCTTGTGTTCTTGGTCCACAATCGTCTGTGAACCTGCGTGTATATACCCGATAGACGAGCTTCTCATCAATTACCGCGTTCTCTGGTTACATGTCCACCGTGTACTGTCCTGTACAGCCCCACAAGGTGTTCCATTTGCGGTTCAATCAGGCAAGAACGGCGGCAACACGCTATGTATGCTGTTCTTCTCTCCGTTGTCGAGCCTCTGAGCAGGGAAGTACCATAGAGTCAGTGCCCATACCACAGACGGTGGAAGCGACAGGTGCGTACCTCAAGTCTCTGCTGTCAAATCCGGGAGCTCCCATTTGCGTAGAGTTCCGTCGTATGAAGCGGACACGACATAGGTGTAGTCGTGAGAGATGAAGAGGTAGTTCACGCTGTCGGTGTGTCCACTTAACTGCACGATCTCCCGTTGTGCCGCCATGTCCCACACAGTGATGACATAGTCCTCCCCACCTGCTGCGAGCAGGCGTCCGTCCCCAGAGAATGTCATGGCTGTGGCAAGCTTGTCGCCACAGTCTATGCTATTGATTAGGTCCCAGCCGTTGGAATCGTAGGTCCTGATGATCCCTTCGCTGTCGGCGCAATGAACCTTCGTCCCGTCTGCAGAAAACTGCGCGGCCCTAACCGTGACGCCCGCTGGCCCTACCCTGAGCCGCGCGATCTCGGTCCCAAGAAGTGCGTCCCAGATTCCGGCAGTGCCGTCGTCGGACCCTGTGACGACCCTTTTCCCGTCGGTGGAATATGCAACAGTGTGGATTACCCCCTCATGCCCCCGCAGATCGCAGATACGCGAAGCGGTCTCTATGCCCCACACATATGCGGTACCGTTCGCACTCGTAGATAGGAACCGCTTGTTGTCGGGAGAGAACACGACAGCCATGATCAGACCGTTGTGTTCGTCCGTCTCCGCGCGCAATTCATCTGTGTCAACATGCCACAGCTTCGCGACCGAGTTACCCGCCGCGGAGACGACTAACGTTCCATCCAGTGAATATGCGATGCACTTGACATCATCTTCATGAGAAACCGTGCGCCAGATCATTTGATCTTCGACAAGGTCCCATACAACGATAACGCCATCGCATTGGCCCCAGGCAAGTTTGCGTCCGTCGGGGGAGAAGCCGAGAGAGGAGATAGCGTGATGGGAGGTCGGTCTGTGCGTCTCAGCAGATGTCATGGCATTCCAAATGATAATGGTGTTGTCCTCGAACCCTGCAGCAATGCTCCCCCGATGGCTGAGCACGCAAACACGGTGATTCTCGACAGTGCTGGGCCTGAGTCGGTCCGGGCAGGGGAATACAAGATGCTCGACCCCCCGTAGACACTTTTCCACGATTGGTATGGTCTTCCGCGAATGGATCCGCAGGGTTGAATATGCTTGGCTTTGAGCCAGATTGGGTGCCAGTGGCATTCGGACCTGCAGCGATATGCATTTCGATGTCCGAATCCTCATCGTCGTCAAAAAATAACAGGCCGACTGTGAACTTCATGAGCACGATCAATCACAGCCTGTTACTGAAATAAGCCTACGTCCGTCATCGGTGACTTCAATCTCGGGTTGAACCTCGGTCAAGAAGCTGGGTATATCATCAGGAATCGGACATGTACCCTGGTACCAAAGCTGCGTCTTCGCATCAACTCCGATTCGGTGATGCCGATAAAAGTCACACGTACCTTGCATAGTTGCAACAGGTCTAAGTCACTGGCGATTGCGATTTCTGCATCGGAATTCTGTATTCATGCGCTGATTGAGGATCAGAAATAGTGCTGAGATATTAATCGAACAGACCTCAAGGATATAATCCAAAACGAATGTAACAGGATCATATGGCTTCAAAGGCGAGGAATCCGTGAAATGAACTGCAAACATGAGTTGTGATATCCTACCGTCACTCGAGAGGGTACTTCCTCCATCATTTCCATGTCCTCGTCGGCACCGCGATCCATGGACGGATCCCGTGGTTCGGCGGCGGCCTTGATCTTATCGGGAAGGAAAAAACGGCGTTTCTTCAGCTTGAGATAGTGTAGGAACACACACTGGTCCGAAGAGTACGACTCTGGTGCTCCTCCCCATGTCCGAGAAGACGGGCCAGCTGGATCTGTCTCCGGCTGCTCATTGGCGGGACGCTGCCAATGTCGTGACCCCTGCGCCTGGATAGTCGGGGGCTCCTGTGGGCGTGGCCCTAAAGGTCGATTCGGGTCGAACCGAGGCCGATTATCGGGCCCTACGCGTCGTTCGCACTTCGCGGTTACGTGATTTGCTACGTCGAAATGGAAGGCGGCAGAAACGGGGAGGCCTATGTCGCCCTTGAAGGTAAGCTTTGACTGACTGCTGTTTCCATGAAAGGCGACAACAGCCCAGCGACTGGTTTTCACCCATCCTAGAACAAATAAGACGTCTTCGACAGAGATATCAACCCCTAGCTCGTTTGCTCCCCATTCGTGCCAGTTGTCTATATTCTCCTTCATGTACTTCTGCATCCGGCGAATTTGATGCACCTTTTGGCGAATTCCAGGAGTGTCCAGAATTACCAAGGCACCATGCTGATCAGTGCACTCGCATTGAAAGGCAACATTCAGATTGTGACTATAAATGGCATTGAGGGTCAGTACTCTACACCAGTAGTTCATGAAGAGGACATTACGATCCAGCTCCCCCTCCTATGTTGATCTGACGAACCGTGTCGCTGAAATGCGGTCCTTCGTGTATGGCCTGCTTTGTGGGGACTATTGGATGCGGGCCGAGGTCGAAAGTTCTGAAGTGTGATGGCGTACTTGCCTCTCTCAGGCTGTCGTGCACTATGCCGAGGTCCGCGTCCTCTGTCGCTTTCATTGCATTGAAAAGACGGTAAAACCCTCCATCCCTTAAATAGCCAACGTCACCAATCAGTACCTCGTGTTCGTCGTTGGGTGGATCGGGTTCCCATAGAGGATAACCATAGCCAAGTTTGAACAGTTGCTGCGCATACACTTCGGCAGGCCGAGCGGTCATGGCAGGTGCGGTTAAAGGGCTGCGAGCTGTGAAGTAGCCCGATGGCACGGTGCGCACTAACGTCCTCGTTGCGTCCTCCGAGTCGGGCTATCCATAGCAGAGATAAGATGTGAGCATGTGCCAACGCCGTGACTCTGGGGCAGTACACGCCCATTTTGATGTGGCATTCGGAAGATCTGGATCACTCGGGCGCCACGGAGGTAACCCGCGAGATGCGGCTCATAGCGGAGGGACCCTACGCTAGGGTCACCGCCTTTGCCTGATCACGACCTGGTTCACAAGGTCCTCAGGAGGTGCGAGGTAAGGCGATCAGGCCCTCTACATTGACATGGCTCAGACCTCTCCCTGACGGCTGACTGATCTGTTTGTCAGGCTGTTTCAACCTCACGGCGCAAGAGCCCCACAATATGAACTGTTCGCTCTGATTACAACGGTGCGAGTGAGAGACTCAGACTCGTTCACACATTCATAAGGGGAGTAGCACGTCACGGTATACATGTACAGTATATGCTAGGATGTCACGTCTTCCATCTCCACATCGTCGTCCTGTCTAGTAGTACCAGTATCTTCATTCGCCACACTGGTCTCCGAGTCTGCAATTTGATAAGGTCATTCGAACAAGCACATATGAGGCTATGAGCGACTGGCGAACCTGCGATAAGTGGATCATTGGTACCATCTGCTTGCGTCTGAGCCTGAGGATTGTGGCTCGAAGTCGTTGCCGCACGAGCCTCTTTGTTACGAATGCGAGTCTGGGCAGCCTTAGCAGCAGCTTGTGCCCTCCGGGCTCCGCCAGTGACACGTAGGTCCGTGGCAATGCGACGGTGCTGTGCCTTGCGGTCAGCAAGATAATACCGAGGCTCTGTGAGATTCCGCGGTAAGGTCTCGCGAACGAGGTCTGCATTGTGAAGAGCATGCATGTTCAGCAGAAAACGCGGTGTTTCTGCGTGTGTAACGTGGAGTCGGGTTCGGGCCGTGACAACTCGCTCTTGAACGATGTGCTCCAGCGCGGTTGTGGTGCAATGACAGGCACGGCAGTCATGCTGTGCATTGAAGATGAAGAGGATATCCTATAAGGGCAGGGGGTGAAAAGGTAAGCACATCATTGGATCACCGGGTCGTAGACAGACCTTGGGGGGACAAGCTGAGGGTGCCGATCACTGGGAGTAAGGATGGGCATATTGAGATAGTCATCCCGTTCTCCCATGATGTCGAAACATTGTACGACGGCGATCGCTTCTCTGCCACCAACAGGAGAGAGGATCTTGAAGATACGCCCTGCTCGCACGTCTGTAGGCTGCAGAGCAGGCGGTGTGCGTGATCAGCCTAAGATTTTCATCGAAATACCAGATTATTACACTTACCATCTCGGGTACTGCAGGCGTCGCCGTGTCTTGTGGAACCTTGAAAAACACCCACGAACCAGGCTTACAAATGTCTTTTGCTTGCGACACCAAGAATTTGCACTGCTGGAAGATTGTTATATCTAAAGAGTTTGGTGCGCCATCATGCGTCGGCGGTGGAAGCGATAATGGTGCAATAGCATCGGCCCAGCTAGACGGGCATCGCTTGAGCCGTGCCTCTAGCTTCGCCGTGCCTGGGAAACCAGTGATGTGAGCGTTCAATTCGCAACGAAGACGACATTACTGTACTGCTCACCAACTATTAGTGTTGCTTGTATATCCTCCACCCAGCCCAGACGCCGCTGCAGATTCGGACTCTCCTGAAGGAACGTGCAAACTCTGTCCCCTGCCCGAACATATTCGCCTGCGGAGTTACACCACCAGCCGCCGCTCACCTGATGCTTGAAGCGCTCCATATCGGCCAATGCAACAGCGATGTCACGGCTCGGTGCGCGATGGTTCGAGAGGATGCTGCAGAATCGGAAGATAGCGTTCCAGCACTCGAAGACTTCTGTGGAGTACAAAATCGCGGGACCGAAGCGGCGAATGTTCGCTATCAAATGAGCGAGGACGTGGAGCTTGTTTTTGGTGAGGATTCGATTCGGATCGATGAGCACCCAGACGTCGAGAACGTTCGCGATGAGAATCTCTAGATCTGCCTACGAATGTTCAAGGTCAGTGACAGTGATGGCTCGCGACGGTGTCCGGCACTGCGAGTCCAAGACGTACCAAATACTCATCCATTCTCCTTATCTTACTGTACCATAGCATTGCGCCGAGTTCACCAGTTGCTTTCCAGAGTTGCCGGACAAGATCGGAGCACAGATCGTCGTGTAGATGGAACACACCAACCTGTTGCAACGCCTTGAAATGCTTCCCGACAAGTGAATTCTTGTATTGCAGCAGATACTCTGCGCGAAGAGGCGGCAAGGTCAAACCATCGACCGAGGTACTACGAAGCCGTGCCGCAAAGAGTTCGTCCTTCTTCTTGTCCCAGGGCGAGGTCGTCTTGTGCCAAACATACTTCTCCTGTCCAAGTAGGTAAGTGTGCAGAATCTCACCTGGTGTATCGAAATGAATTTCAACGCCAGGGAGCCCGAGCAGAACATTGTAGTGGTCCCCTGGTCGCAGCGTATCACGAAGTGCTGTGATTGCAGAACTTGAGGTGAGCTTCCGAAGACGACTCCATCATGTATTGAAAAACACGTACGGGAAGTAGCTGGGAGCGCATCATAGCTCTGTGAAGGCTGACGGACAAGCCAATCGTGCAGTTCCTGTTGTATCTCATGGGAGATTGTGTTCTTTACAGCCTGTTTGGCCTCGGCGTCACGGTTGCAGGTACGATCATTCAAGCGCGGGTCCCTCGTTGCGATTGCTGCTATTCGCTCGTGTTGCAGTGCACGCGCTTTCTTAATCAGGATGCTAATCCAGTATTGGGCGGTCTTGTCTTTAACTCCCGTGTTCGTCTGCATAAGATCCACTGTATCCTGCACACCAAGGCCCGCAATCCATAGCTGTGACTCGATTTGGCTGATTGTCCATTCCGTCGTGCGATGAGGTCCAGCCTTACAACCCCAGGTGAGAAGCAGATCTACGATAGAATTGCAACTTACTCACCGCGAAAAATGTTTCATATTTCTCGTCTGTTTCCCGCTCCTTTGCGGTGCCGCCGATCTTGCAAGCTCGACAGGGTTTGTTGCCATTACCACCAATGTGCGAACAATGTTCTGATTGCTGGGGATTATCCGCTGGGAAGACATGTGGGATGATGCGGAACAAGACTTCCTGTTGAAGCTTGCAATCGTAGGCTGTATGCCATCTGTCCGGACCCCTGTTGCCCTGACCCTTCAGTACGTGTATTTCGATGTCTTTCCACCGGCTACTAGTAATGGAATACTCACGTGTCTTTGGCAAGCTCTTCAAGTTGTTCGGACGACGACGCATGCTGCGATGTAGAGCAAAAGCGAACAAAGTATTCTTGTTTGAGTTTCTCATGCGGGAGGTTGATGTTTGCGACGTAGACATTGGTATGAGCATTGTATTGCTTCGTTTTGTTTCCAGAGACATCATCGCACCAAGCCATCAATCGGACCGTGAATGTTGGGCGTTTGAGAGCTGTAGCTCGGACTGGATGGCGCACATTCCGAACCCATGGAGGCGCAAGCTCTGAAAATACCACACATCAGCACTATGTGGCTCATATACGATAAGTACGTGCAAACAGATCTCACCATCAAATTGTATGTTGAGACCTGCCTGTATCTCTATCACGTTGTCTTGCAGCTCCCTTGCCGCTACACGGATGAACTCCTGATTACGAACCACAAATAACCCCGTCTATCCACAAATCCGTATGTCACTACAAATATCTCTGATCAAATGATGGATCACGTACCGCAGGATAATGGACTACGAGGAAGCCATCAAGACAGTCCACCTCATTCTCTTCCACAAATCTCAGCGGCATCACGTAGCGTCCATCCTGCAGCCGCGCGAGTTCCTTGATGTAGAAGTGCCGGTGCGGTGTCTTCTCGTCCATCCACATGAGCTGGCCTCTCTCGAGTGCTTCGTCATTCATGTCGAGCCATTTCTCACCATCTCTGAACTCCGAGACAGGTGCACCGATGCGTGGCAGGAACCTCATATGTGGTCGCACAAGAGGATTTGCAAAATCCTACCGAAATGGTCAGTTACATGTTTAGTATCCGAGTCGGGGCTTATTCAGGACCCGTTGTTGCTGTACTCACAAGTCGGCTAGTCTCTGATGGGCACGTCGCATAGAAGTGGTTCTCTTGGGCTGATGTATGGTGCGTTGTCTTGATATTCATCTCCTTGGTGAGCTGAGCCTGTTTCGTTCGCAGCGAGGTGAATGATGGAACATTCTCGGCTCCACACTCTCTCAACGCCCAGATGACCACTTTGAGATGATCATCAGAGAGCCGTAATCGTGGTAGATTGTCCAAAAGGTCGAGAATGAACATCTAATCATGTGTGTGCTGAGGAATTCTGACGTTCAATCTGTATAGCATGACGTACTGTTTTTGATTCATAGGGTCGCCACTGTGGGTCATCCTCCATGTTTTCGTGACCGAGGCTCATATCAAAGTCGTCGTCATCGTCAATAGCATCCTCGACGCCTAAGCAATCCAAGGTGAGCTGTAGGTCTTTCTACTTGCAGCAAGGCCCAGGCATAGTATTTACCTGCACGGTACAATTCAGCAACAGCATCCGCGATCATAAGATCATCCTCGTCATTGGCCTCAGGTTCGCCTGCCACGTCCGGATCAGCAATCCCAGCCGCCCTTGTGCCCCAGTGTCCATGCTCAAGGTATGGATTCTGCAGTAGACTCTCCAGTGTACTTCGAATTCGTGCTGGTTCCGTCTCCCAGGGAGCCATGCCCGCAGAGAATGTGACCTCGTTGCCAGCATCATCCATGATCTGGTCGCCATTGGCATATACATGTTCAAAAGGGTTGAAGCGAGGTATGCTCTCCGGTTCATCGCTCTGTCCTGCAAATGCCTCTGACAGAAGCATATCCGCCGGTGGTTGCTGGCGAATGGCTTGATCATTGCCGCGGCGACTGGCTTCAGCATGTTCATCCTCAAGCAATGTGGCAACTGACTCGCGGTGCTTTTTGGATTCGATATGTCGCTTGACTCCGTTTTTCTTGACTGATGTCCGCTGATTTGTGTGCTTGCTGCAGGGCTTACATTCCCATGAACTGGGGTCATCCGCGGTGGGAATGAAGTATCCTGGTCCGAGTGAGCATCTCGATTAACCCTGATAGTATGATTAACATTCACCGTCTGCATGAAGATCTGTTTTATGGGCCGGCATGCTTTCAGCAACGCGTCAATCAATCTGCACGACGTCGGCCCAAGCTGCTGCACAAAAGTTGTTCTCATTCTTGGACGACAGTTCTGCACGTGACCATTGGCCGTCGAGTTTCAAAGTCCTCTTTGCGTTGACGACAAGTGACAGTCTTTTCCTTCATCCCTCTTAATCTTTTCTCATCTCATTTTTTCTTCATGGCTCAACTCCTGGACTCACTGCTTGATGTCGCAAGCTCTCCACCAACCAGTCCAACAGCGCCCGCCGCGGAGCTTCCTCCAGACCCTGATTCTGTCAATCTCGGCACAGGCAACTCGAATGCTGCAGCCGCCACTGAAGACGCGGACTCGGATTCCACATTGTCTGCAGCCAACAACCCACGTGTTGGTGACAAACGACGTGCGGAGGATGACCTCATCCAATCCGCCCAACAGATGGGTCGTCGAGTTCGCCTCAAGCCAGCGGCACAGCAAGCGCTCGATGGTGTCGCAACGGTATGTGCTCACGTCAGTTCAAGAGTCCTTTGCTCTGACAAGTCTTGCAATGTAAGCTCCCTTTTCCCCACCAGATACTATGGATTGTCGCGCGCATGCTCAAGCACGAAGAGCGGCTAGATACCATTCAGCCTGCGGAAGCTCAGTGGACCCTGCCAAGAGGGTTAAAGGTATGTTCTTCAGTCGTCCTTTTCGATGTCGAGGCCACTAATAGCTATGTGTCGTTGATATCGAGCAGGAGAAGATTGAAGTCTATAGCCACCTGATAATCGTCTCGCCGCTGTTGCCCGCTTATGTCCGAGGTACAATACCGAATAAGCGCATTGTGGTAAGTCCGAGAATGTCTTGAATACGAGTCATCATGATCATGCAGTCACTGAGCTGTTTGCAGTCGTTGTTCGAGCGTCACACGCAATGGGGTTATACACCTGAAGTCTGCAATAACTCGCACAAGAACCTGATTGTCATGAAGCGGATAACACAGCGCATCTGTTACGGATAGATAACCCATTATCTGTCCATTAGATTAGATTATGAACCGATAGTGTACATCTCATCTTATCTCAATGTACCTAGCCACCTGACTTCCATTTTGGGAAGTAATCTACTCTTCTACCTGAACTACCACCTCGTCCGAGTGCGAACTCTTCGCGCCGTCCGAGTTAGTTCCCCTGTCCTCGGCTAGGCTCGTCGCCCCGCCTAGGAACTCCCCTCGGCTTAGGCTCGTCGCCTTCGCCTTGGACCCCTCCTCGACCTGGCCCAACAGCCCGTCTAGGACTCCCCACTTGGCCCAGCTCGTCGCTGGCAACCAAGGACCTCTCCGCGCTCCCGAATAGCAAGGCTCGTCGCCCTGCTAACGACCCTAGCAGGTACTCCTCACCCTGCTCACGACCCCGAGATCCTCCTTTCCCCCCTGGTCGCGTCGCGACCACCAACCATTAGGTTCACGAGGCAGCCCGGCCCCTGAATCTAGGGTTCCGAGCCCACGAGCCCTAACATTGGTGGACATTCAGGGGACCGGTCCACTGCCCTGTGAACACCCTTGGTCCCTCTAGGTTCTCTCGGAATTCCTTCAAAGTCGAAATCCATTCTCGAGTACTCTATCTACCACTTTCTATCCTAATGCCTTCTCCCAGCTGGCTGGCCTGCTCCGAATGGCGAGCACTATCACCAATTCGGGCCCCCGCGCCAGCTCACAGCTCGCGCGCCTACAGCGCCCAACCCTACGCCTCGGTGATCGCGCCTCGAGGCTCTCAACCTCTCCCTCTCGCCACCTGCGGCCCAGGATCTCCTGCTGCGCGGTCCGAGCCCATTCGGAGACCCGTGGGAGTTCCATCCCCGCGGGAGCGCCCAGACGCGTCGCGCGCTGAGTCGCTCGCTCAACGCGTCGACCTCGCTCCTCCTTCCATCTCGCGCTTCAACTCCCCCGCTACCCTCCGACCCACTCTCGCGGACAGCCCGCAAGATGAGTATCGAGCCGCGCGAAGTATTCACGCGCTCGGTACAAATAGCTGCCCCGCCGCGGACGGCTCAAGGCCAGAGGTCGGACGACCGCACGCCCATCCTCCGCGCGACGGCAAGACCGACGCGCCAATACTTACGCCAAGGCCCAGGCAAGAGGCCCTATCCTCGGCGCGGACGACCGACGAGCAGCTCACCTGCAAGCCCAACGACCAGGTCGTCCCAACGCGAGCAAGGCCGAGCGCACACGAAGCCCCACCGGCCCCGCGGTCAGCCGACGCGTCGCTCGCCCGGAGAATCGACTCGCAAGACGCGTCGATCCGCGCGTTAGGATGCCCGGAGGACGCCCCGGCCCGTTCAAGCACAAACTACCGCGGAGGGACGAGGTGGGAGGTCGACAGAGAGGCAAGAAGAGTCAAGCCGACTCCTGTGAGTACTGCCGCTCGTCTCCCTCCACTGCCCTCTCCCTCTTCTGCGTGCCATGCGCCTCCGGCTCCGTCCTCTCCGCTTCCATCTATCACGCCCGCGCCCTCTCTCCACGCCCAACCCTCCATCTCGCGCCTTGGCTCTACCGCTATCCGCCGACCCTCTCACGCGAGCGACCCTCAAGACGAATATCGAGCCGAGTGGAACGTCCGCTCGCTCGATACCAGTGGTCGCCCAGCCATCGTCAGCTCAAGGCCCGAGGTCGTGCAACCACACGCCCGACCTCTGCGCGATAGCGAGTCCCACGCGCCGAGGTCCCGACAGGAGGTTCCGCCCTCGGCACGGACGAGCGGAGCGCAGCACGCCTGCAAGCCCGACGGTCATGCCGTCCCGACGCGCGCGAGAGCAGCCACGCAGGACTTGCAGACGAACGGCGCGTCCCGCGCCTGCAAGACAGCCCCGCTAGACGCGTCGACGTGCCCGACCAGGCACCCAAGGGATGCACGGACGATCGCGCGGACGAGTCACCGCGAAGAGACGAGCAGAGAGGTCGATGGACAGGGATTAGGAGTCAGGCTGACTCCGGTGAGTACCACCGTCCATCTACCACCATCGCCCTCTCCCTCTTCAACGCGCTATGCGCCCTCTACTTCGCCCTCTCCGCGTCCACCTTCCGCCCGCGCGCCCTCATTCGATGCACCTGCCTCCTCGCTCCACCCTCGTCCATCCGCCGCCGCCCTTCCGCTGCTCCCTCCTGCATTCGCCGCCCATCCGTCACCGCCTTCCATCTCCGGCTTTCCGTCGCGCGAGGAAAGTGCGGCTCTCGTCCGTGCGCATCACGCCAGGGAGACGGCTGCGGCTGAACGGGCGGCGTTCGCACAAAGGTATGGGAAGGACACCCCGTCCATCCCTCTCCTCGGCAACCCATCCTTCGACCTGGTGCCCTCACACTCGCTTGACGCGCCTGCGCCCTCCCGGCTCGACCTCTCGACCTCTATCCATACGCCTCCCGCGGGCAGCCTGCAACATGAGTACCGAGCCGTGCGAACTCTTCGCTCGCTCGGTACAAGTGGTTGTCCCGCCGTCGACGGCTCAAGGCCAGAGGTCGAGCAACGACCCGTCCAATCTCTGCACAACGGCAAGCTCAACGCGTCTACGCCTACGCCACGGCTTCGACAGGAAGCCCCGTCCACTGCGCGGACGATCGACGCGCAACGCACCTACAAGTCCGACGAACAGGCCGCCCCTACGCGCGCAAGAGCGAGCACAGACAAGGCCCCGCAAGACTTGCAGATTAACGCCCGCGCGCCGTCCGCTCGCAAGTCCGCCGAGCCGACTTCGCTAGAGCTGTTCGAGATGGGCATAGAGGCTGCGCGCCGATCACTCGCGAGGACGAGCAGCTGCGAAGGACCATCCAAGAGTCCACGCGGTACGACTCGGACGGAGATTGAGCGAGGCAGAGGGGAGAATCGAGTCGCAGAGACTCCGGTGAGCCGGTCTATCCCTCTACTTTCTCCCTCTGCTCCTCTACACACACGTTACGCGCCCCCGTCCTCGTCCAACGCATCCACGGCCTCTCAGACTCGCGCCTACTCGCTCGCACGTCCGCCAGCACCCTTCACGCGCGGTGGCCTCGCCTCGCCGATCACTCCAAGCCCGGCTACGCCTCCTGGCCATGTCCCCTCATCCGCGTCTACGCTCTCACAGCACGCCCTCTCGACCTCTAGCAGTACCGCTCACACGGACGGTCGGCAAGACAAGTACCAGGCCGTGTGGAACGTCCGCGCGCCTGGTACCCACCCTGCCGTCTCCGTCCCGTCACTCGAGACCGAGCCATTCTGTGATGGCGAAGCTGTCCCGCCCACGCGTGCATCAAAGTCCCGCAAGGAAGTGCCCTCAGCAGCGCGGACGGACGACCTACGACGCGCCTGCACGTCGGATGTGCAAGCCCAGTCAACCCACGCCGAGACTTATAGGGGAAGCGTCCCGCTCGGCCCTTCAGTGAACAGCCCCGAACAATCGAGCGGGGGGCACCAGAGCTCGAACCAGAGGGATGGCCAAGGAGAGGAACGGGTCGAATCGACTCCGGTGAGCTTCGCTATCCCTCGCCTCTCATCCTCCTCTCCTCCCTCTCGTACTACGCCTCTCCGCTCGTCCGACACACCTCCACCCGACGCACCCTCGGCCTCGCCCGCCTTCATCCGTCCACCGTCGCCCGACTCGCACGTCAAACGCTCAGCGACCTCTCTGTCGACATCGACGCTCCACCCACCGGTCATGCAACGAGCGGAGGGAACGTCCCTCCCTCGACGCAACCTCCGAACCGATCCATCGTCGCTCGACGCGTTACCACTCGCGTCCCCGTGTTCTCTCAGCTCCCTGGCTGCCGACTCGCGTTCGACCCCCGTGGGCATCACTTCCGAGGACGAAGCCACGCCTATCACTAGGACAAGCAGACTGGAAGACCTGAGTCGGGGGCACCTCAGCACGAGCGTACGAGGTCAGGAAGTCAGGAGAGAAGAGACACGAGTCGGGTCGACTCTGGTGAGCATCCCCATCCGTCTCCCTCCTCCTTCCTCGACTTCACACCCTCGCTCCGCGCCCTCTACTCCGCGCCCTCCACGCCCGCGTTCCGCACCGGTGCCCTCGAACTGCACGCGCCCGTTCGACGGGTCCACGCGCCCGTCCGTTCGCTCGTCCGGCACATCCATGTCCTTGACCGACTCGCCGGCGCAATCCGTTGGCTTGCCTAGAACCCCGCCGCCCGACTCGCGATCGACCTCAGTCGATACCACCCGCAAGGACGAACTACAAGGAGAGTACCGGACCGTGTGGAATGTCCGCGCGTCCGGTTACAACCTTGCAGCCTCGAACGACACGCCGTCTTTCTCGCGACTCGACCACTCTGCGACCTCCAAGGTCCTGCCCGTGGACGACTTGCTGAGCGAGTACCAGGCTGTGTGGACTCTTCGCGCGCCTGGTACAGCAGCCAGCTTGATGCTCGAGGTCGAGCAACCCCATGGTAGCGAAGCCGGCACGCCGACGCGTACACCAAGGCTCCCGACGCGTGCAAGGGCAAGCGAAGACGATATGCCCACGCATCCGTCCATTCCACACTCGCGCTCCGCACTTCTGCCCTCGAACTGCACGCCCCTGTTCGACGCGTCCACGCACTCGTCCCCTCGCTCGTCCGACACATCCGCGTCCTCGGCCTCACCCGTCTCCCTCAGTCCACCATCGCCCGAGTCACGCCCGAGTCACTCGACCTCGACCGGATCTATTCGCGCGGACGGCTTACAGGGCGAATACCGGACCGCGTGGAACCTCCGCGCGTCCAGTAACGACCTCGCGGCTTCAGACGCAGTTGTCAACACAGCAGCTAAGTCGTCACCAGCCGAAGATGAGCAAGTGGCATCGTTTCGCGCAGAGACACTCGAGGACGGGGCCTCGCCTGTCACTAAGGCAAGCCGACAAGAAAGCTTGAGTGGGGGGCACCTTCAAGTTGGCACGAGCGAGCGAGGTCAGGAAGTCCGGAAAGAAGAGACACGAGTCGAATCGACTCTGGTAAGCACTACCGTCCCTTGCCGTTCCTCTTCTCCATCCTCGCCCAATACGCCTTCATCCTCGAATGCACCTCGCCTCCACCCCCCGTTCGCCGCGTCTCATCCTCCACTCCTTCGCGTGGAACTTGCGTCCCCGTCCCTCGCATCTGCGCCACTCGAACATTCAGTCTCGCCGCCTCTCAGTGCGCCGCCACCCGACTCACGTTCGACCCTCGAGAGCGCCACTTCCGAGGACGACCCACAAGGAGAACACTGGGCCGTGTGGAACGTCCGCGCGCCCAGTAAACTCCCCGTCCTCGCCGTCCCCACGTTCGAGGTCGAACGAACACATGCCCGCCTTCGGAGCGATCGCGAGACTGACGCGTTGACTCGCACGTCCAGGCGCTCCGATGAAGTCCCACGTAACCCGAAGACGAGCCAGCCCGGACTCGCAAGTGGGGGGCCACCAAGCGTTACAGGTGTGAATGCAGACAGAGGGGGTAGGGGAGTCGGGAACACCCGACCTCCGTCCTGGTCTGACATGCCTGCGTTCCCACCCGCATCTCCATCGCTACCTTTGCACTCAGGTCACCGGTCCGCCCTCGGAGTCAATCACACGGAAGACCCGCAAGACGAGCACTGGGCCGTGCGGAACCGCCGCACGCCTGGTAGTGACTCCGCTGTCGTCGGGCCATCGCTCGAAGTCGAGCATCCTCGGAGCAATATCGAGGCTTCGATTGCCGCGCCGACGGGCAACACATTGCATGCTCGCAATAACGCCCCACAAGTCACGACGACCTGCGCAAGGGCAGGCGAAGCTCCAAGCCCTACCGGCACGAGCAACAAAGTGCAAACATCCAGGGAGTGGGTGGATGTCAGTCGGCCGAGCAGGGATATCAATGAGGGACAAAGGCGAAGAATAGCAGAGATTGCGAGTACTCCAATCGAACAACCGTCGCCGTCTCCCTCTCCCTGCTCGCGTCCGACGCACCCGTCTGTTTCCGACACGTCCACGTCCTCACTGAGCGAGTACTGGGCTGCGTGGAGTCGCCGCGCGCCCGGTACAGCAACCGGCTCAACAAGTAAAGTTGAACAGCCCACCGTCCAAGGAGCGACAGCACACGCAGGCACCAAAGAGGAGGACCCCTCTTCCATTGCGAGGACGATCAGACGAGAAGGGTCACGAAAGGAAGTATCAGGAGCAAGACCACTGGACTACGAGGTCAACGAGCAGGAGACACGAGTCGTGACGACCGCTTCTGCTGCGTTACAGCCCTCCCGCTGCATGCCCTCGTCTTCCGGGAGCAGCGGTCGACCCCTTCGACCCTGCTCTCCACTCTCGCGGGCTGCGCACGCGTCCTCTCTCGAGCGCCCGATGCTCTCACCTACACCGCCGTGTGGCTCGTCCCCGCCCTCTCCTTCCATCTCGGTGTCCGTCTCACGTCTTGGTCGCCTCGCTACCCATGGAACCTCTCCCGCGGACGACCCTTCGGACGAAGACTGGACCGTGAGGAATGTCCGCACGTCCAGTACTCGCTCCGCACTTCCGTCCTCGTCTGTGCTTCAGCCCGACGCATCCACGTCCCTGCCGTGTACCATCTCGCCCGCGCCGCGACCGTCACGCCGCTCCACCTCTTCCAGTACGCCATCATCTCCCTCGCACGTGGGTCACTCGGCGACCTCAAAGGTCTTGTGCACGAACATCCCGCTGAGTGATTACTGGGCTGCGTGGACTCGCCGCGCGCCTGGTACAACCGCCAACTCAGAGCGCGAAGCCGAGTGCCCCAAGAGCGAAGTCGAGGCTACACCGGCTGCGCAGATGAATGGCGTGTCGCACGTCGCCGAGACCGTCCCACAAGTCACGCTGACGTGCGCAGAAGCACACAAGGACGTCTCGTTAAGCGAGTACTGGGCAGCGTGGAGTCGCCGCGCGCCTAGTACAGCAAACAGCTCGACGAGCGAAGTCGAGCAGCCAAGCAGCCAAGCTGCAGAGGCACGCGCAGGTGCCGACGAGGAGGACTCCGGGTCAATCGCGAGGACGAACGGATGCAAAGGATCGCGATGGGAAGTGCCAGGAGCGAGGACCCTAAGCTGGGAGGTCGACAGGCAGGAGACGCGAGTCAAGACGACCGCGGTAAGTCTTCCTATCCGTCAACCCTCCCCACCCTCGCCAGCGTCTCCGCCGCCGACCTCGTTCCTCGGTCTTCCCTCGGCCTTCGGAACCTCTTGTGCGGATGGCTTGCAAGACGAACTTCGGGCTGTGCGAGACCACCGCACGCCCAGTAGTTGCTCCGAGCACCCGCCTTCGTTTGGCATGCAAGCTTCCACGTCCGCGTCTCCGTCGCCGCCTTCGCGCCTTGGCGTGTCCACGACTCTTGGAGCCAATATCGCGGACGACCCTTCGGACGAGGGCTGGACCGTGCGGAACGTCCGCACGTCCAGTATCCATGTTTCATCATATGATCATGCTTCGCGTCCGCCCTCATCTTCCGAGAGCAGCGGTCGACCCCTTCGACCCTGCTCTCCACTCCCGTGGGCCGCACACACGTCCTCTCTCGACGTCGACTGTATGTCCCTCAATTGTGACCATCACGTCCCATTAAGCTCGACGGCGAGCTTGGAGGATCCCTCTCGTCGTGCCTCTCCATCCATGCTTGACCTATTCAAGCCAGTGTATGATCGAGACACGTGTACAGCCTCGTCTGCACAGTTCAGCTCAGCTGTCTCGCCTTCATCCTCGCCGCGCGTTTCCTCGCCTGCAACTCCATTGCCGCCTTTGTGCCTTGGCATTTCCAGGACTCCCGGAACCGATCTCGCAGATGACCCTTCGGACGAGGGCCGGACTGCGCGGAACTGCTGCGCCTCCAGTGCTCACTATCTGACCTCGTCAGCGCCCCAGCTCAACTCGCCCACGTCGACGCATGATTGCTGTGAGGATGCAGACTCGTCGGTGCGAGCTGCGCTGACTCCTTCCCGCTTGTTGTGTGGCGACACCTCGCTCTCGTCCACCTTGCCCTCCTCGAATTCATCATCTTCCGAGAGCAGTGGTTGACTTCTTCGACCCTGCTCTCCACTCTTGTGTTCCATGCATGTGCCTGCTCTCAATGTAAACTCAATGTCCCTTGATCATGACTGTTGTGTTCCACCAAGCTCGGTACCATCTCTCTCGGCTTTCGACAATGAGGATGTGTGGAACGTCCGCACTCCTCGTAGTCCGCCCCCATTGAGTTCGGCCCCTGCACGCTACAAGCCAATCAGCTTCAGCCCACTCTATTGCACGCACAGGAAAGCCTGGGAACGAACTGTCTACAACAAATCCCCAGCAGCACTAGCAGCACTTGCACATGCACGGTGGCAAATAGAGGAGGCGATACAAGTGTCGGATGCCTACGACAAGGAATGCCTACGCAATAGAGGCAGATAAAGCCCAGCCCACCCACCCTCACTACTATTCTACCCTTACCTGCTACCATCCCCTCTGCTCTACGGAATCTCGAGCCGAACCTCACCACCGGATTGCTCCGACTCGGGATTGGGGGGCAGGGGGTAGGGGAGGATAGGGAGGTCCACCGAGCCTAGCCTACCTTAGCCCTTGGCATATCCATGCCTTCTGCGAGGATGATAGCTTGGGACGCGGTACACGCAGGACAGCGCATCCTCGGCATGGCGACTATGGTGCAACCGGGATGCCTGCGAGGATGACCGCTCGGGATGCGATACATGCGGCACAGCTCAGCCTCTGCATGGCGGAGCCTTCTAGATGCAGTTTTACTGCCCAAAAAATTTTCCTTTCTATGCTCCTTCTCCTTTCCACTCCATGTCCACATCTACTTCTTCTGAGCCCTCACCTCATCATTCATACCCACACTATACACTTCATAATGGGGGGCTCTGTTACGGATAGATAACCCATTATCTGTCCATTAGATTAGATTATGAACCGATAGTGTACATCTCATCTTATCTCAATGTACCTAGCCACCTGACTTCCATTTTGGGAAGTAATCTACTCTTCTACCTGAACTACCACCTCGTCCGAGTGCGAACTCTTCGCGCCGTCCGAGTTAGTTCCCCTGTCCTCGGCTAGGCTCGTCGCCCCGCCTAGGAACTCCCCTCGGCTTAGGCTCGTCGCCTTCGCCTTGGACCCCTCCTCGACCTGGCCCAACAGCCCGTCTAGGACTCCCCACTTGGCCCAGCTCGTCGCTGGCAACCAAGGACCTCTCCGCGCTCCCGAATAGCAAGGCTCGTCGCCCTGCTAACGACCCTAGCAGGTACTCCTCACCCTGCTCACGACCCCGAGATCCTCCTTTCCCCCCTGGTCGCGTCGCGACCACCAACCATTAGGTTCACGAGGCAGCCCGGCCCCTGAATCTAGGGTTCCGAGCCCACGAGCCCTAACAGCATCACCGACCGGCGTTTGGAGTTGAAGCATCTAGTGAGTGTCACAATGGCTTACTGATTAGTATCACACAGATTCGTTACTGACGTCTTGAATGTTGGCCAGGTGTGGCTCAGCCTGGGACCCACAATGCTGCCAGCGAGTTCCCCCGCAAAGACGCTGGCTGCTGCCGTACGAGTCGACATTGTGACGTTATGTGAGAGCATCGCTACAAAGGTTCCGGGTGCTCGTGTTCAGGTGACTTTGGAACTGTGCGCGCGTGTCGCTCTGTTGGTACGTCCTGTTCTCTCGTCTCTATAGTTATCCAGCATACTGATGAGCTCTTTGACAGCGACTTGTGCTGATTGAGGTTCTGTCTGTGCCTGCACTGAGCAATAGTCTATACTGGGACCGAGTTGACGAGCGTCTTGTGGCCATTCGCGCCAAATATCCTGGCGATGCTCGCAAGACAACGAAGTATGTTGGCAATTGTTTGATCTCGTTATACCGAAGCTGACCTGCTCTGAGACTCTTTATGAGCATATTGGATGCCGACATGAAGGAATTCGGTTCACCCGATCTACCGAACGTCCGTGGACACGATGTGACAGATCCAACATCCGAGTCTCGGCTCCAGGCCTTGGCAGATGATGCAGCGGACAACTTCGCTGGCAATCTTCGTGAAGAATAGGCTATCTCAGGTCTGCTGTCGTGTTAACGCTATCGTTGTTGCATTCTGCTCTTGTTCGCTCTTGGCGCTGCTGTCGTTTTTGTACCCCCGTGTTGTTTACATTCGTTTAATTGTCTCTTCAAGATACATACTAGCTCGTATTCATAGTCTACCTATGCTATCATCGTCGTGATACCGACTATAATAATGGATTAAATCTGATTTGATTATGTGTGCAATTGACAATTGGACGCGCGGTGCTCTGTTCTGACAAGCTGGTGTATGGCTCCGACTCACCCTGCATACAGGTTCTGGCCACCTCAAACTGGGCTTTTCGCACGTATCACCTCAATATCTCAGTGATATACTGATGACCTAGACTGACATCATTACATTGCCCTTATGAGGAGGTGAATAGGATGTCTGGCCTGACCTCCCGACGACCTGAGCAGTTCAGGTCCGCCCCAGGGGGTAATGAGGGGAGCTCCCCTGATAGGCGTATTTCTCTCCCCCTCATGTCCCGTGGGCGCTCCGCTGATGACCGAACGCTGGCCGCGGATGTCACCGAGCTCAGCCAATCGAGACATGAGGTCAAAACGGGCGTGTACTACGCGCTCCGTTGGTACATATATAGCCGGGCCCGTACTGGCGTTAACGTTTCAATTATCATACATCACGGTTCTCAATTCAAGTTAACTGCCTTCTCTAGAAGCTATGATACTTGGCGCGCGAGGCTATACGTGGCAGTACCATTACTACTACAGTCTGAACCGCGGTATCAAGTATCTCTCGTCTAGTAGTATTTCCACTCAACCCCAGAGTCGTGACGTTCAGCACTCGACGACTCGGACTTGACCTTGCTACCTTTGGTCCACATTGTTCTCGGCGGCCGGTCATCGATATCCACGCGTCATACACACACGCTATTCGCAGACAACAGCCTGACTTGGAGTATCGGACGTCGGAAAGAGAGAATTCTTGAACGTGAAGGCTGCAGGGAACTTGAGCCTGAACCGGAGAGCTTGGGTAAATTCTCATGGCAAAAAGTCCGCTGATGATACGTAGCCGAGCTAATGCACATACAGGGAAGCCCCCTTCTACCAAGCATGATGGAGAGGATACGCACTCAAACATTGCCCCTCGAGTTGGCATGCATGATATTCGATCATCTACACGACGACTGGGCAACACTGTTGACTGTTGGTGCCGTCTGCCGAGGATGGCATCATCTCGTGGAGCAGTATCTTCCTCACGGGCGCGGCATGGGCATCGAGCTGCGCGTGCAGAGAGAGGTCGCACGTCTCTCAAGCCTTGCGCGAAACCGCATCTTAGGAGCGCGGGAGGTGCATATCCAAGGAGATGCTACCCATTCTGGATCGCTGGCGCATCTCGGGACCTTTGCTGCCATGCTCTCCGGCTATCTGCATCGACTCGAAGTCCTTCACATCTCTAATGGTGTGTTGAAGACCCGACACATAGACGCACCAAGGCTTTTCTCATGCTTATCCACGTTCACAACAATCCGTGGTCTGCACCTCGTCGATGTCACACTTCCATCGACCACAATGTTTGCCAATGTGGTATCTGCCCTAACGCACCTGCGATACGTTACTTGCTACGGTGTCTCAGTGGACAAACAGGATAATCACGCCGCATTGCCCAATCCTACGCCTCCGTCAGAAGGGCGTGCTGGAGAAAAACCGTATCCACGTCGGGAACTTCGTTTGGATTGCCGAACCGACATGGAGGCCGCTCTGTCGTCTTTAGCAGCTGCAGGATTTACCCCTGAAGTTCATAAGATCACCGTCGATCTGAAAGGATCGCCGGCACGACTCGAGGCTTTTACCACGGAGCTCCACAGACTTCATCAACTCGGTCACTTGTGCCTAACGGACAACTTATGGAAGGTGGAGGATGAACGGAAGTTGTTTCAGGGTCTATTCACATCGGCAGTCGTCCGACTAGACCTCATCCATGTTACACTCCCATCGCCCACGTTTCTCGCTGGCGTACTGTGCGCTCTAGTCCAATTGCACACCGTTACCTTCCGCGACGTTCGTTTCGCGTCGACAACTTCACAGCAAAACAGCCACGAATCCCGCTCATCATCTCCGAGTCGCCAGGGCAAGCTGGAGAATTTGTTTAGGGTGCTGGATCTGCACGTCGCCTCTGGTACTGGCCCAGGAGGCTTCGCACCAGCCAATCTTCCGCTGCCAGATTGTTGTAACGTCCGCTTGGTTGGATCGTTGCCAGTCCATCGCCTTGAGACACTCGCCGAGATGCTCTCCAAATACGCAGGTAGACATGGCAGCTCGCGCATATCCGATGCTGTATGGGGAGCTGGACGAGTCACGCCGATTGGAGGAGAGTTGAACCCAATGACAGTGGACAGCCTGAGATGGGTGTCATTGATGCCTGCAATGGGAGCAATCCGCAATCTCCACCTCCACAACGTCGAGCTACCATCGAGCGGGATGTTCGTCCGGATCATCCGAAATCTACCTCAACTGTGTGCCGTCAGTTCTGGCAGCATCTCGGTGGTGAGTAAACAATGTTACCATGTGCCGCCTGTAGCCTCAGAACGTGCGTTGGACCGGGTATCACCAGTCGGCCGCCACCCTACTCAGGCATGGTTCCTCGATCTGGATTGCCTTGACATGTATGACATCTTAGCGTGTGTCACGACAACGCCAAGTTGGAGATTTAGGCAGCAACTCGTCTCCTTTGGACTCGGTATCCACGCTGCTCCCGTCTCCGGTTTTGGTGGCTTCCGATATCGGGACTACGCGAGGTTTGGAGTGAACCTAGAGTCGATAACTCATCTAGGGTTCGTGATCTACGACGACTTGCCCCTTGACCAACTAGGTGAGCTTTAGGACTGGGAGCATTGCAGAATACTGGAAGCACTCACGACTTGACTGCACTGGTACAGCGGCGTACCTCTTCCTGGCGGTGTATCACAGTAAACGGCTTCGCCGCCTGACCATCAGGGTTGCTCCTTGTGTTGACACGGCGTCCGACTTCACAGTCATGTACGGCATTCTCTACTCCGTGGCTCATGACGCCACCGGGAGTGCTGTGTTTCCCTTCTACAGTGAATTCGCACCTGAGAGGCATGACCGGACCGGGTGGAATGTAAGTCACCTAACCGGTTGCTTCACCACCAAGGGCTGAAGCGCTGACCGACGTACTTAGACTCGAGAGTCGGGGTGCTCGTGGACCTTGGATGTATCGGTATCGAAGGCGGACGACATGGCATCATCGGAAGAAGGAGGGGGCCTTGAAGAAGTACTGGACATCGTCTTCCACAACCCTGAACCCGAAACGTCACTCTGGAGCGAGCCCCGAGAATCCACGTCTACGTTCAGGATACCGACTTGGGTGGCGCTCGTGCCAGGGTTTTCGATGGATGCATGGATGGAGCGAGCCCGTCGGCGGCCGATTTTTTCCTTCAACCCGTATCACTACTCTACAAATTGCCATCCGAAGTCGTAGATCATATACAGATTAAACACTAGTACTTCTTCGAGATTTCACTCCCTCTTCCATCAGTGTATGATCCCTTGTCTGTCAAAGAAATTACAAACATGAATCCCTGCCGAGTCTCTGTTTGCTCCATCCGGGCTTGTAAGGCAGGCCTGTGTATGTTCGCGACATCTCGTGCGAGCTCATGGAGTTCCGCCATCACATCAGGTCCGATCCGAAGGCGCAGTACAGCGAACTTAACCCATCGGGCACAGAGACGAGGCTGTTCTAGAAGAAAGCAGCACAGAAAACGGGCAACAGTGAGCGAGCAGCTCACCGACCATACCTCCGGCAGCAGATGCAGCTCGACGGACAGTAGACTCGACAGAACCGTGCGACATGTCTCGTGGGACGCTCTACCCTGCCATGCGTTCTACTTAGCGCCCCGAAGAGCGCGTCGTGCTGCAGAACTGTGTTGAACCGGAGCCCGGCGCGACGCATCGAGTACATGAGAGGACACTTGCGTCTGTGGCTATGAAAGATTCATCAAGTGTACATCAGAGAAATCAACGAGTGAGTGCGAGAGAAGAGCGCCTTCGAATCGCCAGGTGTGGAGGTGGCAGACATCACGGAACGGCCTAAGCGCATAGCACCATGCATTCATCTCAGGACTTACTAGATACTCACGTAGTATTACGTGTCATTGTCCATACCTGACGTGCAACCATCTCGCCCTCCCAGTCAGACAGACGCTCAACTTGCGTCTGAGTATCCGCTGTGCTCCTTCGAACACAACGCCACCATGCCACCGATGATCTCCCTGACGTCTGTGCGGCGAACGACAGGCCGAGATGTCGTAGAGCAGGATTGCACGCGTCGACGACATCCCGCACGAGCGCGTCCTGGTCGATGTTGCTCGCACGATCCACCAATACGCCAGGCCCGATACGGAGGCACAGGCCAGCAAGTTTGAGTGGACTGAACACGGAGACGAGGCTGATCTGGCGAAGCGATGAGTGTACCTAAAATGTATACCGCAGGCTCGCAGCTTACCAGCCACGCCTCACACGGCGTGTCCGGGACGCCGTCGGCAATCCGCCACTTCACATGCAGCTCGAGGAACCGCAGGCTCGGCAAGAGCTGCGCGACGCTCCTCGACGGTAGACTCCACCCTGCGTGGCACGAAAGGACGACCGGGTCCATGCGTTCGAGCATCGCGAGCGCATGGTGCTGCAGGAACGCGTTGAACCGAAGCTCAACGCGCCGAACGGCACACGCGAGGGGGACCGGGGCGTCCGTGATTAGCTCGTCGAGCTGTGCGTGAGAGAAGTCGACGAGGGAGGGGGAGAGCGGCGCAGCTTTGAAACGGCAGGTGTGGAGGTGGAGGACGCGTAGATTAGGGAGGACGCGTAGGATCTCGGACAAGTCGGCCCAACCTCGTAGAGTGAGCTGGCGCACCGAAGGAAGGACGAAGTCAGGGTCAAGGTCGCCCGTTAGGAGTATCGCGTCATCCAGGTCCAACACTTCAAGAGTTTTTGAAACGCGTGCGAATGCCGAGAGGTTGTGATAGAGGGAGCTCTGCCGGACATATTGGTCGTCAACGGAGAGCGTGAGCGAGCGGACCTCCGACCCGGATAGCCGTGAGACGCACTCGAGACTTGTTGAGCCGCACTTGCCCAGGTCAAGACGGCAGAGACGTGGTCGACTTGCTAGAGCGTCCACCAAGCGTGGCTCGGACGCCAGCAGAGGATCGGCGCTCGCTATGAGGACCTCCTCGAGTCTGTCAGCTTGTTGGATGACCTCTGCCAAGCGACCGGCCAACGAGTAGTCAACCATGTATGCACGGCCACTCCTCGGGTTGCCGACAGCGCCTGCCATCTCGACCTCGACCCAGGGAAATGCATCGCGGCGCAGGTGGAGCTTTCGGAGGAGGCTCACGCGGTTAGGAACGTCGGACAGGACGAAGTTGCAGAACAACGCGAGTTGCGATTTGGGTCGACGATGAAAGTGAAGGCCCAGCGTGACGTCGGATAGGAGATGTGGGATCGCGTGATAGTAGGCGAGACGGCAGGTACAAGCCAGTTTCCCCGCGTCGGAAGGAGGTAACAGCGCCAGTATGATGTTCAGAACATCATAATTGAGCACGGCAAATGGATCCATGCTGTGGTCCTGGGACGATGCACCGTCAGAAGAGCCGGTTGGTAGAGTACCAAAAAGTAAAATCATACCGTGTACTGAGAACGGAGTAGTAGTATACTGGCAATGGTTCTGTCAGACCGAGTCAGTCGGTGCACAAGCGGAGATGGAGGTTTCAGCGTAGTCCAGGACTCGGGGTACGAGTCGTCCGATGGGAAGGACACAAGTATACGTCGCACGTACTGTACTCATGTCACGGTACAGTACATGTCGCTCCCGTGTCGCTCCCACAGAAGCAGCCGCCGTATATCCACGTGATCAGTACGCAGTATTGCTTTCTCCGGTCTCAGTGTGCAATGTGCATGGCATGTAGCCTGAGTGTGATGCATGTAGGCTGTAGCCTTACTCACCGTTACTCAGAGTTACTCGGTAGGCTGCGAAGACGGGTATCACCGTCGCCTCGGGCACGCCGCCTGAAGCAGTGATATTGAAGCATCTACTGTGACACTGTCGGATACTTGCTGCGGCTGCCTTCAAGACATACATACACGAGGATACCAAGAGTACAGGCGTATATGAACCCAGCCAAACAAGGCTCCAGACGAGACACCCGTGCAGCTCAAGTCTCAACCCAGACACTGAGGGGGAGTAGGTCCACGTCAGTTCGTCCAGCGAGCGCAAATGCACCCACGTACACACGCACAAGACTAGATGTGTCCGCCTCGTTTTCGCGAACTGCCGTTCAACATGCCTCTTCCAGACGGCGTATGAATCCCTCACCCGCCAGGACGCGTCGAGCGAGATGACGACCGCCAGCCACCGGCTCGCGAAACGCGGACTTGACAGCAGATGGTCTAGCGCGGAGAAGTCCAAGTCGTTGGCTAGGTCCCTCATGAGCCTGAGCTGGGGATTTGGGACACCCGAGTGCGCGGCGCTGCTCAGTTGGCCTGCGATCATGACTCTGTGAGAAGGGCCATTGGGCTGAGTGATGGTGTCACTTACCCGGCTTATCTTCGACGACGAACTTGATCCCGATTCTGCAGAGGTGCCCGGGTGTTAGGCCAGAAAGGAGTGACGTGTTGTAGTTGCGGAACAAGAGCATAGAGTCCACATTTTGGTATAACACGAAGTGCACCTCCTTCAACGTATGGTTCGTAGCGAGGCTGAGAGCGTTCACTGTGGCCCTTTCTAAGTTTCAGTAGCACAGTGCATAGGGCCGGAACCTACTGAGACCCAGATTGTGGTTGTCACTGTCGCGAAGCTCGACGGTGAGCGTCTCAAGAGACGTGGCGCCTCGGAGGAAAGCAGGATAGCCTGAAGTCTCTGGATCCGTGAGCATCCCTAGCTTTGCGGCACGGATGACTAGAGTCGCTTGAGTGACTCTACACATTATGTCGGCATCAGCAAGAAACTCGACAACGTCATCAACCCCAGTAGAGTCCAGTAAGAGCCAGCGTAGCCGCAGAGGTCGGCCATGCGGAAGACAGAGATCGTGACCGCGGCGCTTCTCGATGGTCTTCACGTCGACGATAGAGAGCCTCGCGAGGTTCGGCAAGGCGCAGATGAGCTTAGCGACGAGTGTCGTCGACGGGAACGTGATCCCACGCAGAGTCAGTCTGGAGAGCGCGATGCACGCAGAAAAGCGAGCGAACGTCGGTGCGTCCGCCGAGCCTGGCCTCCAATCACCGCTGCGTATCTCCAGCTCGTCTATGCGGCAGAGCTGTTTCGCGAGCGCAGCCGCGAAGGTCTTCAGGTGCGCGAGCGAGCGAGTCGTATGGCCGCCCCGCACCACGACGGCGCGCCACTTGCGCTGCATCCGGACGGAGGGATACTCCCACCCAAACACTCTCGCCACGCGCATCACGTCCGCGCGCCCCGCGAGCTCCCAGGCATCGTCGATCCGCGGGAGGCTCCTGCTCGCGTGCGAGTACCACGTCCTGCACACGCACGCGCAGATGAACAGCACGCGGGGGTGGTCCCGGAACTCGTTCAGGACCCGCTCCCAGATGTCGACGGGGAGCTCGCCGCGAGCGCGTGGCCGGATGGGCGTGGCGCCGCTTCTTCCCAGCTCTAGCTCGACTCTTCTGAGTCTGGTCCTGCAGTGGGAGGATCGTCGCGTCAAGATCCGCGTAATCGGGCGCGGAGGAGCACAGTAGGTCACGTACAACCACTCCTTTCGAGCGGAGGCATCTGCACCTGCTCCTTGATAACTTGGGTCCCAGAACTCGCGTCGAAGCCCGACAGTCAACGGCGAAGCTGTGTTGGATCTTTTCCTCGCATAGTGAGTGGGTCCGTTCGAGGGCATAGTCGAGGAATTGCGGAGGACATCGACGTTCGAGATGCGAACCCGGTTGTGCCTTGTACTTGCTCGAGGCTGTCCACCAATACAAAACCACACATTACTAGTGCCGGAAGCGCATGCCATTCGGATCAGCACGTCGATTGACAGGCACACAGCCGTGGTGGTGATGGCGTACCACGTCGTGAATGGCATTGAAAGGACTGTCCGGCTGCGGACGAGTGTATCTCAATCGCAGTAGCATGAATTTAGCGAGCCACAATACTACGGGGACGATGAGTCCAGCTGTTGTAACGATATCGCTCACCACACCATACACCAGGGTGGATACTGCCTCTGTCACCTCGCAATACCGGCTGCAACTAGACGAAAGCAGCGCCTGGGCCATGTATCTCGTTCGCTCACGCAGAGTGAATTGGGGTCGATCGCGAAGTGTGATCATGGCGAAGTTTACACGCACTGTGCATGTTAGGATCGACATGAATGAATGCATGGGTACATACGCAGGCCACATGAGGCTCAATGATGAGGGCGCGATTACAGGTGCTCTGCCGTATGGTAGACTTTGTAGACAATGGGTGGTACCTGATATCATGACCCATGTGGTGCTATGGAGACCGACGGCATGAACAAGCGTCGACGGACGGAATGCAGGTTATTGGGAGACTCACTGTTCCTATGTCGTGGGCTCGACGACTTGCACAGGATCCGCCGGACAGGTCCACCGACTTCCGTACGAATTCCCGGTAAGCGGCTCGGAGCAGCCAAAAGGTGATATCCTACACGAAGCTTGGGTGACCCAGGCCCAGGTCAAAGAAGGTGGGATGTGGTACCAGAGGAAGATACTCACGCATATAACCCGTTTACTAGGCGTTCTGGGGTCGAAGACGAACATGCGGTCCCGGCAGACGGACGGCAGAAGCTTGAGAAGAAGGTAGTCAAGTCATACCCTGTCGTACCCAACCGAAGAAATGAGCAGACCGGCTACTCAGACGGGTTTTGCGAGACCGTCGTGCGGATCGAGGTGGTGCAGATCACGGAGAAAATGTACACATCGTTGCTTGGCTAGGATGAGGTCGCAGGAATGCTGGTCTCGGGCCGGTGAGAATTGTCGCGATGACCACATCTATGCCATCCTGGGCTCATCCACGCACCAGAGGTCGCTGTTGAGGCCGTAGAACGCGACGCGAAACGCGGAGTGAGCGGAGAGGAAGAGTGGCTTGAGACAAGGTGGCGGGAGGGCTCGCGGCGAGATGGGCGGAGATCGATGGGCAAGACAAGCGGCGGAGGTCGATCTGCACATCGCTCTCGCTCCTGCTCAGTCTCCGTCTCCTCGCTGCCCCTGCGTGCTTGTCGCTGGGCCGCCCGACGAGGAGGATGGCGCGCGCGTCGTCGGACGCTGTTAGCGCGTCGCTGGCCTGTCACGGAGCTTCCGGTGACACGACCCTGCATGACCTTCCCGCTGCCTGTCCCGTTTGGGGTCGGCGGCTCCTCCCTCCTTCTCACTCACCACCCCGTCCTCTCGCCGCCGCCGCCGTCGTCGTCCTCGACAGCGCCCACCATGCTGCTGACCATCCAGCGTTACCCCAAAACAGGTGCGTCCAGCGCTGCCCCACACGCCCCCGCTGATATACCCGTCTCGCATCTCTAGTCCCTCTTGATGTCCTCCTCCTCCGCTCGCCCAACACCATGCGCTGCTTCTCCCCCGTCAGGCTCCTCGATCTCAACCATGATGTCCTCGACACCATCGTCTCCTTTGTTGCCCCAGCCGACGCTATGCAGCTCGCCCTCACCTGCCGCGACGCCTACGATGCAGCCATGCCCCGCTTCCTCTCCGAAGTCGTCCTCGGCGGCCCCTCCGTCATGGACGGCCCTGAGCAGATCACTCTCTTCTGCAGGTGAGCCTTCTGTTCGCCATTCATGGCTTCGATCGTGCTCGCCCTTCCCTTCTTCATTTACTGCTATCTACAACGCTCTCGCCTCTCCGCTTCAGGGCACCAGCACCTGGCACCCGAGTACCCCATCCTTCGCAACCGGTGAAAGCTGCTGGCGATATTCCGCTAGACCCCTCGGCATAGCTCGCATAGTCGAGGGGACTCTCTTACGTGAGCCGTAGAAGGCGTCCGTTGGCTGTCATCCGATGGACTCGGAGCCTACGTCTGACATAGTGGGTCAGCTGAAGCGAGCATAGACCTCGATAAAGTTTCCTGATAGCGCGCGGTGGGGATCGTCCTCTTCTTGCATGTTTGGTGCCTGGCAGCAAGCGCGCCGTCCGCGGCGGACATCTCGCAGCGAGCGCGCACTCCGAGGCAGCCCTTGTATGTTCAGGGTGGAGGCGAGGAAGGTCGTTCAGCATCCCCTCGAGACGCACCACATCCTGACCGAATGGTAGTGGTATCACGTTGACAGCAGATTGGAGGCTGGACGAAGACATCGTCTGATGGAAAACTTGGGCGCACGTCTCTCCATTCAGTTGCTGCTAGCGCGCGACCGAGATTCCTTGCCCCTCACACGCTAGAGCAGACGCTCTTCATCTGCGCGAATGAATTGGAATGGACGTTCCGGTGTTGGACAGAGGACGAACGCATTACTTCGTCATGCGCCTCGCGACAGCGCCGTAGCTGACGCATCGGCCCAGGTACATGCTTGCCGACCCACACAACCGGATACGCCACCTGCGTGTGCTCGAGATCAAGGAGGGCGCGTTCGTGAGCTCCGAAGGCGAAGACCGAAGCGGCGCATGGGTCGCCGACTTCAGCTGTGCGGCGATCCTCGCCGACATGCTCCGCAAGGCGACCAACCTCCGCAAGATCACCATCCGCGACCTCGAGCCGCTGCTCCAGCACCAGCCCGCCGTCGCCGAGGCCATGTCCCACCTCTCGCGCCTGCGCGACCTCAGCTTCTACCTCGTCGGCAAGTGCACGCTCGAGATGCTCAAGAACACGACCTGCCACCCGTACCGCCTCGAGTTCGGCATGTGGAAGGACGGCCCACGCGTGGCGGGCGACACCGCCGCGTTCGACGAGTACGCGCCCTCGCTACACACCGTCAATCTCTGGCAGGTCGCGTGCCTGCTCGAGAGCTTCGGGCCGGAGTACGTCGGCGAGGGCGTCCGCGTGCTCGGGCTCGGTGGGCGCGTACCGCTGCTGTCGACGGTCTGCCGCGAGTTCCCAACGTACGCACGATCACCTTCGCGCCCGAGTGCTCCGTCGAGGAGGAGGCGCCGACGGCCAACTGGACGAGCCTCGACCACGTCGACACGAGCGCGCCGCTGCCGTTCTTCTCGTGCACCGTCCGGCGCCTCGACCTGCGCTACGTGCTCGGGGTCGTGCAGACGCGGCTGAGCAGGGCGCAGGTGGTCGACCGCACGGTGAAGCTGCTCACGCAGACGAAGCCAGTCGTGCTGTCGTGCAAGATCAGGGAGGAGCCCGGCGACACGATCGTGGAGCGGCTCGTGCCTGTCATCTCGCAGGTGCGCTTCCTCGAGGTCGCGTATACGCCGCCGGAGCCCGTGGCCGGCAACCACGACATGTTCCCGCCGTTGCAGAACGTGAACGACTGGACGGTGAGTCGTCTGGTGCGCTGTGCTCGCCATTGACGCCGGAGCGGGAGTCTGACTGTCGTGCGACCGCAGGGCGAGTTCTTCCGGCGGTTCGAGAAGGTGCCGCTGGTCGGCCTGTCGTTCGCGTACTGCACCGACCCCGTGTGCTTCGGGCGGCCCGTGCAGGAGACGGCGCGGCTGGCGGCGGTGCATATCCCGACGTTGCAGTTCATCAGCATCGGCGTCGTCCCGAGGCGCGAGGGCCTCCCCGTGCCGACGCGGTTGTACTTCCGCGTGCAGATGCGTGGCAAGGCGCAGGAGCCGCTGTTGGAGCAGCTCGAGAGCGGTCCAGGGAAGCGTATCCGCGACGAGCTGCGTACGTTCGCACGTACCGCTGGTGCCTAATCTGTGAGCCTTTCATTTTAGCGTCTCTCGACACGCTGGCTAACCTCATGAGCAGAGAAGGATGGAGTTTTTATACACGCTCTCCGTCGCAACGTGATCTCCGTAACGAGGATCCCTTATGTCTCTTGGATAGACAGCCAAGCGACGTCTTCTTGCTATCTTATCGCTCAATATCCCCGCTTTGTACGCTGTCCGAGGATGCATAGTCCAATGTATTCTACCTGTGTGTTCGTTTGCTGTCTGTCTGGCTCGAGCTGTGTTTTCTTGCCTCTTGTACTACTGTCTGTATGTCGTCCGCTGTTACCACGTCTTGTGGAGTTAGATGGCCATCGTTGCTTGTGGCTTGCCACTTATTGCTGGGTGCGGATCGGATTTGAGCGGGAATTGGCATTCATGGGTGCCCCGCTCCCTCGGTGTCTGAAATGCGCACGTCGAATCTTCTTCGAGTGATTGATGGACGTCCCTATGTACGTTCACTACTCGGGTACCGTACATTGACCAGGCAAACGCTGCACGTCCAATGCTCCTCAGGCTGCCAGTGGAATACATTGGTTCCGTCCGTTTCTAATGATCACCGCACGGAGTATACTTGAGTGTATTTACAAATGTGATCTACATATATCTATCAATACATCACTCAAAGTGGCTTGTTCGTGGTCCAAGGTGGATGCGATACACGTACTTTCTACCTACTACTGTAATACCGGTAGTAACTTACATATTATTGCTGTCCTCAGGCTGTGGAGTGCGTGCGGTGGTCACTGTGAGCGGCAGTGGCGGTCCGGCGCGCGCGTCGTTGCACGTGGCGGAGTCAGTGCGCGAGGGCCAAACACGGACCAAACAAACGCTCCCTTTGCTCATCGTCGACGACGACGCCCACGACGTCCAGCACGATGCCCGCCCCCTTCTCCAGCCCGCCCCATGTCGTGCCCGTTACACTCCCTGCGCTCTACCTCTACCCGCTAAACGACTCATTTGTCCCAAAACACATCTCGCTCGTCAACAACCTGCGCGTCAAGATCGGTCGCCAGACGAACGCGAAGACCGTCCCCGCAGAACGCAATGGATTCTTCGACTCGAAGGTGCTGAGTAGGCAGCATGCTGAGGTTTGGGAGGAGGGTGGAAAGGTACGTCGCGAGGCAGGTTTATGCGGCCGGAATAATCTCACCAATTTCACCACACCCCCGGCCGCGTGTAGATTTACATCAAGGACGTCAAGAGTTCTAATGGAACGTTCATCAACGGCGAGAGGCTGAGTCCCGAAGGGCTCGAGTCTGAGCCGTTCGAGCTCAAGTCCGAAGACATCGTCGTACGTTCCTCACCCGTCGATAGCCAACGTCCCTCGCGTTGAGACAGGCATGTTGCACGTCAGGAATTCGGTATCGACATCGTCGGCGAGGACAACAAGACCATCATTCACCACAAAGTCGCAGCGCGCGTTCTCTGCGTATTCAACGACCAAGATGCGCAGGCCGCCGCACGGGCAGAGGCACAACAGAACCCGCCCAGCTACGGCACTGTCGCGGGGCAGGCACCCGCCGGAAGCGGTTTCAATTTTGCGGGCCAGCAACAGCCCTCTGCGAACGGCGTACCAGGACAGCAGCGTCGCCCGTCCATGCCGCAAGGCTTGGTGGGTATGGGTGGCATGGGCGGGAATGTGCGCCCACCAGGCAAGAGTGGCCTCACCTTCGACCATATCCTGACCCGGCTCCAAGGCGAGCTGCAGAAGAGCAGAGACACGGGCGCGGAATTGCACTCACTGACCAACGCTATGAATGAGATCCATGATACGCTCGGGGGCAATCTGGTGCGTCCTCTCTGGGACCAGTTTTGAGGACGACGACTGAAGCAGCTGTGAACAGCCACCTAATCTCCCTCCTTACCCCTCAGTCCTTCCCCCGTCATGCCGCCTCAGTCGCAGGCACCCCCAGAGCCGTCGCAACAACAAATGCATGACACAAATGCCCTAAACGAGTTGCAGAGCCAGCTCCGCGAGACCCAGATGTCGCTCGCTACTCACGTCGAGAAGATCCGGACGCTAGAAGACATGCTTGCAGAGCAAGACGCCATCAAGCGCGAAGTGGGCACGATGCGCGAGCTCATGGAAGAACGTCGGCGCGAGATGGAGATGCTTCGAAGCCTCAGCGTGCGGAACTGGCGCCATGACCAATCGTCCGAAGAACACTATATGTCCGATGATGATGACGCTCGAAGCATCAACACGATCGTCCCACACGAGCTGGAGAGGGTGGACGAGGAAGATGAGGAGCAGCTGGCTGCGGAAGACGACGTAGAGCGGAGGCGACGGAGAGACGAACTCGGTCGACCGGGGACGCCAGAGCCGACGGGTATGGGTATGGTCGAGGACGAGGAGGAGCAAGAGCAGCGCGATCGTCAAAGGAACGCAGAGAGATCGCGCTCGCCGTCGCCGTCGCCACCTCCCGTACCAGTGATTGTCGCCACCCCGCCGCCGCCTCCGACCGCCGCCATACCCGACGAGCTCATGGAACGCCTCAACACGCTGTCGAAACAGCTCGAGACGGCGCTCGAGTTCTCGCGCTCGCTCGAGGCGCAGCACACTATGGCCCAGTCTACAATCCAAATGCTCGAGTCGAAGGTCACTTCGCTGGAGAGCCTTGTCCACGAAACGCAGTCGCAGGTGCAGACTCAGGCAGAGACTACTGAGCAGCTCGCCGAAGCTGTAAAGGCGGTCGAGATGCCACCCCAGGGACCTTCGCCCTCATCCGATGACCGCGACCGCGAGTCACTGACGGAGATCGTGAACGAGTGGAAGAAGAGTGTCGAAGGACGTTGGACTGGTGTGCAGGAGGAGTGGACGGAGGAGCGGGAGCGGTTGCGTCGCGCGCGCGAGGAGTGGGAGGTGCGAATGCGTGGACTCGAGGACGGATTCGGCAACGCCGTCTCGAAGCTCGAGTCCGGTCTATCAGTGCTTTCGGTCTTTCAAGGGCAGCAGCACCCGCAAGGGCTGCCCAACGGCAACTTCAAGCATAGCGGAGGCTTGGTCACGCCTCCGAGTCCGCGGAGCCTGTCGGCGGAATCGACGCGACCGCGAACACGAAAGAAACGGACGAGTGCGTCGCGTGGGCGTACGCGATCGCGGTCGATGTCGACGGGGGGCGGCCAGGATCAGCTACCCGGGTCGTCGGCGTCGTCAGTATCAGACGCTGGCTCGCTCCCCGAATCCACAGGCCGTTCCTCGTGGGCTGTGTCCGACGCCTCGAGCGCGACGGACATGGAGACGCATCATCTCGCGGAAATGGCAGGCAAGTTTGGACTCGGCAAGGACAAGATTGCGCAGGGTATGCCCTTCCCTCTCACGCCGGAGTCCTCGGTGTTGCTCCACCCACTTAACCGGTCTGACCCTTCCTCCTGTACGGCAACAGACTCGCAGACGGATACGAGCACTAGGGATCCACCTAAAGAGATTGTAAGTGCTGTCCCCGGGTACTATCCAGACCAGCCTCTGATGTCGGAACGCGGACGCGAACAGCCTCATTTCACGAACTTGTCCACGGCGTTTGGCGTGCTTGTCCTCAGCGCGGCCGCGGCCGCGGTCATATGGCGAGTCAAACCGGATGGATCAGTATAGATGGACTCGGATGTCGTCGTCGTGGTTGCGTGCAGTCCTGAAAAGGCTGTACTCATCAGAGGTAGTCGCACTTATTCAGACATATGCACTTATAATCCATCACCTCTTCTCTTTGTCTGTCTACCTCCTCGCCTCGCTGTCTATGTTTACGGTTCGGAATTCGACTTTTCACTTTTCTCGTCACTCGTCCTCTCGTATTGATGGATTCGCCGCTCGTTGCCGCCAACCTTCTGTGCATGTATATACTCGACCCATGTCTCTTCTCTTCTATTTAATCACGACCTGTCATGACCGCCCGTACGTTATTACTTCGAACACTGCGACTTTTGGCTCCAGTGACCGTGAGGTCAGAGTGAGACAAAGTAGGAACTCCGAGTAGTAACGGCGCGTGAATATGGCTGTGTTCACCCGAGTGGATGCGTTCTCACCGCCACTGCTCTCTAGGTTCGGTACTCCTCCCTGCTCAGCTGCACGATGTTTGCCAGATTGTGCGACATACGTACCGATTTATATTCGATCCACCAGTGTCATAAAGGACCTCTGTGATCGTTCACTAATATGGAAAGAAAGGACCGCCGCATGAGGCAACAGTGCGCTGCTAAAAGCACGCTCAGCGCGCCTTGAGCGCGCCTTGCGCTTCGTGTGCCGACCTTTCGTATACCCGTCTATATCCTGTTTGAGGAAAGTCTACTCGCGCTCAGTCAAGTCATCTGCGACATACCAGTTGGGAGTGCGTCGTAGTAGGTCGGGCTGCACACGATCACAAACGCGGTAAGCAGTACTGGTTGATCATGTCGCATTGGCCATACATACTCGCGGCGCCTCGATACTTCTCAATCCTCCACAACACACTGACTGTGGTCCTATGAATGGCACATTCGCGTAACGGTACCTTGACTCACAATGTGATTCGATAGAACTATCGAGGAATTCTCAATCGTCACTGGTACAGACACGGGTTCGCCCTGGATCCTTCGTGGCATCATTTCTCGCACGATCCGAATTCAATTGGTGCGCATCTCAGATCAATGCGTTCATCCTCATGTTCATAGAGTCAATAAGCAGTTCGCCATACGAAGATGAACCTCCTCTCGCTAGACCTCGATGTAGTGCACGTCATCCTCTCCGAGGTGCAACCTACGGATGCATTGAGACTGTCCTTGACATGCCGTGCTGCACACAACGTAGCGTATCCACGGTTCCTCTCTGAGGTCGTCTTGGGGCACCCATGGCGCCGCACGGGACCCGACCGTCTCGTCCAATTCTGCACGTCCATGCTCGCGGATGCCTCCCTGCGCATCTTTCACCTCCGCGAGCTCACCATACACAAAACGGCCTTCCAGCCGACGCGCACCGCCCCCACCCACGGTATCTTCGACTCCGCCGCCATGGCGTTCCTCGCGGAAGTGCTCAAGTACGCGGTCAATCTCCGCTCAATATGCATCCACGACACCGAAGAGCTTCTCGAGACGATGCCCGAGTTCCGCTGGCCGCTCGCGTCCTTGCCGAACCTCCAGGACGTCCGGTTCTTGCACGCGGGAACCCGCTCGCTGGACGTACTTGTCTCGTTCGGCAGCCAGCCCCGCCTGTTGGAGGTCGATTTCTCCGGTCTGCCGACGGACATGGATGTCCCGCCGTCTTATACAGACCAAGCTTTGGAGAGCCTCATGCGAAACCTCGTCACACTCAAATTGTCGCGCGTCGCGGGTGTGTTGCTGGTGGTCCCCGCAGAGCATGTCTGGCCAAAAGTACAACAGCTCGAGATCTTCGGGGACCTCCAGAGCCTCGAGACTTTCACTAATGTCTTCCCGAACCTGCACAGCCTTAACCTGGTGTGTAGCTACGTCGAGGACGTGTTCCAACCGGTTTGCTGGCCGCACCTTGACCACGTCTCGACGTCCTGCCCCATCCCGCTGGAAGGTCTCGTGCGCAGGCTGGACCTCACATACGACCTCGACGTGCTCTTGGACTCGATGCCGTACTCGGTATGGGCACCCCGGACCATGTCCTTGCTTCAGAGGACTCTGCCAGTCGTGCTCGCGTGCTCTCCGAACATGCAAATCCTGCGCTGGATCGCGAACATAGTGAAGAGCGTGCGCGTCCTCCAAGTGTACGCCTATCAGCCGATCCACCCGGACAGCGCTGGGGTAGAGGACGTAGAGACTTGGCTCGTCCGTCACCGTTTATTCTCGCTGCTGCCTATCGAAGACTGACCCACCCTCTCTCGTATCCGCAGAATTGCCACTTACCAATACTGTCTGCCGTCCCCCTCGTGGCCTTCACGTTCGCGCGTGGGCTCAGCACATCCGTCCCTGTGTCAGAGCTGGCCCGGCTCGCTGTCTTTATAGCGTCCCAGATACCCTCCTCGAGTACGTCGGATTCAGCCTCACGGCGACGGCGCCCTGGAAGCCTCAGTCAGAGTGGGGAGCTTGCGAATACTCTTGGTACAGCGTCACTCGAGTGGACACAACTGAGGCGACTTCGAGCCATGCTGTCATTGCTTTGTCGGAATGCGAGGGCTCTGTGGTCCATCGTCGCTTGCTGGAGACTGAGCGCGTGTAGACGGCTCGATCCTAAATAGCTTTGTACGTTATAGTCTCAACATACGTATCGGGCATCGAGTGCTAACAGCCTGTCGATGTCAGGTATAATTCTTCCCTCTTAATCCAGCTCCGCATACTCCGAATAGTACCAGGCCTTTCGTTTGTGCCTTTCGCGCGGCTGCTAACCCGTCGTTGTCGGCCGTCGTCGCCTCACCGCTGTCCCGAACCCGCATCGCAAGGTCCCTGGCCTCGGACAGGAACTCAAAGGCTTTGGCAAGATCGAACATTCAGTACGAACATCCCGAGTCTTTCTCGAATGTAATTTGAATCTGCAGCCGGCCGCGGCCTCTCATGACGGTGCCGCGGGTGTTATCGACCAATGAAGCTTCGACTGCGAGAATAAGCACCCCCAAAGACAACCGTGCCTTGCGACTTGATCGCAATATGCTGTCGACGTCAGTCTGCGGGCAACGATTCTTCCGCTATCGTTGTCAGCACTTTGTATCTGCTTTGTACATATGCTGCTACTTAAAGACCAACTGACGGCCGCCGGCAAGCGTGTTACCGAGTTGTGAAGCTACGACGAGAGTCTGGACCGGTACCGCCAGTGAGGACACCTTGAACGTCCTCGTTCCTGAAGTAGGCTCGATGCAACGTACCCCGAGGTGTTCGAAGATAGTAAAGGGATACATACATCTATAAATCAGTGTTACAGGACAGTACATTATTTGGTACGTTGTTTCTGCTCAGCGAGAATACCTTCGTGCGTTCCGTTATTCCCTCTCCTTGCCCTCAATTCATCCGGTATACCAGTGCTTCATCTTCTTCAACCCACGTCGTGGCTGTCGTCCACGATCGAGGTTGTCTTCTCGAAGTACTTGTTCTCGGTATCTCGCTCTTCGTCGCGGCTTTGCGCCACATCACTGTAAAACATCGAATCAGTTAGCTAAGATATCCCAAAGGTCCGGTCATGACCATATGATTCAAAACCGAGTATGCAAACCAATTACACGACTTGAAAGAATCAACGCCCCACGGCACATTTGAACGTCGACCGAGGGTGAACAGAACAGCAGCGAGGTTGTGTCATGGGCCAGGCACGCAACGCCACCGATGCCAGGCCGACGCTTCGCAAGTTCAGAACCAACTGCCGGCGCGCCCTGGGGCTGTGATCCAGATCGAAGTGGCCGAAACTCGAGAGGAAAGATACGCAACCCCGATCACAATGCGCAGCCAAACCAGCGGAGCAGTGGCAACGGCCAGAACCGGCCATCGGGCTCGAGTCTGCGCCCTGCACTGTATCGCCGCCCAAACGTTTCCAGAGCTGCGCGAGCAGAAGAGATCGGAGGCCCCAAACCCTAGGGCATTCTGTCGCACCGTCAAGGGGATATCGCCCGGGTGCAGTCGCACAGGGCCGGCGATGCGGTGTAAACGACAGAATGAAGTCTGCGTGCGTGCCCACAATCTGCGAGCGCCCGTGTGCGTCTGTGGTGGCAGTCTCCACATGCCCCTCGACGTCTAGTACGATCCCAAGACGAAGGGGGCATGTGCTCCCACAGGCCAAGTGAGAGCGTGTGCACGGAGGTCCGATATGAATCGCCCGCCAGATGCAGCTGGACGCAGGAATGTTGAGGCACTGACGTCGAATGTCGGCTGGCGGATTGCGGGCGGCGACGAAGCACACGGATGATGCATACAGGTGTCAAACGACAGAGGGCGGACGGAAGAGCTACAAAGACAGACAACACGGGGTCTAGATGAGAACGACCAAACGGGGACCATAACGAGAGTGAGCGAACCGAATGTGGCATAACCAAACATGCCAGCCAGGACCAGACAGACCCGAGACTAAATGAAGCAGTACAGCGCGCGGATAGGTGCGCGCTGAGCGTGAATAGTCCAACACAAGACGGATGAGCAGCGAGCATGAGCAGGAGGCGCGTGAGGTGAGCTCGAGGCGGGCACTTGGCGAGTCACCCCTCCTCGTCCCCTTCCTCGTCACTATACTCATACGCCTCCAACGAAAACTCTCCGTCGCTCCCGCTCCCGCTCCCATTATACTCGCGTTCCTCCCATTCGAGATCAAAGAAAGATACATACTCCCTGTCTTCGTGCAGCGTCGGCAGCGTCATCGTCCGCGGTCGGGGCTTCCAGCTCGAACTCGAATTCCCGCTCAAACCCAGGCTTGAATGCGAGCTTGAACTTGTCGGGGAGACCTGGAATGACGCGAGGTGCTCGCTGAGGTCGTCTTCCTCCGGCGGGAATATCGCCACGGACACACCGGCCGACAAGTCATTGCCCTTGTCCTTGTCGGCGGCGTACTCGTGTGGGAGCGGCGGAACGGCCGGGACGGGCCATGCAAACGTCGGCGTAGTCGGCATGGCCGTACTCGAGCTGCTTGCAGACGAGACAGACGTGAAGGATGAATACGATTGGCGAGAAGAGGAGGCAGAGAGGGTGTGCGGAAGAGAGTATCGGAGGACGCGGCGAGGCTGTTCCGGCTGAAAACTGGAGGGCGCGCTGCTCGCGAGCGTGGAGGTGGACGGCGAGGAGGAAGGGAAGAAACGCGCGGGGGCCGGAGGATGATTTCGGAGAAGTTGGTGGAGACATGTGCAAAGATGAGGGCGAGGAAGGAGGAGAGGTCGGGGCGAGGGTAAATACATAGACGTTGGGGAGGAGCATTGGGATAGTGACGGGGGATAGGCGGTACAGGCATGGCGGGTGGGGGGCCGGGCATCAGGTACGACTGGCTCCGCCTCGAACTTGAAGTCTGCGGTTCGCATGGAGGTGCTTGACGTCGACCGTGAGCGGCGACCCCGCTGCTGCCCGCTCTTCCTCAAAGGTTGCGCAGACATCTCCAAGAGCCCCGCCTGCCTGCTCGCGAGTCATTCTTGCCGCGCCTGCCCGCCGTCCCCGCCCTCACCGTCACGGTGTTCGCGCCCCGGTGGACCCGTGCAACGTCTGCTCCCCGCTCCTCGACGAGATCGCAGACAGCTCGCCCGCGCTTGCACCGACTCGATCCCGCTCTCCATCGACGCCGCCTCACGCCCCTCGTATCGCGGATATCCAGTTCGATCACGCCGTCTCCGTCGCTGTACACGGGCTCGCGCGCCGCCCTGCTCCGGCTCCGGCTGACCTTCTTCCAGATCTTCTTGAACCCCTCCGGCGGGTGCGAAGAGCGGTCCTTGGACGCGCTACGTGAGCGCGAGCGGAAGATGTTGCCCACGCTGCCACGGCCGGTGTGCTCTGCGAGGTGCGGGGACGCGGGCCGTGGAAGTCGGGGCTCGTCGCACGCGCATGGCTCATCTCCGCATTGCCGAGCTCACCGACGCGCTCCGCGTCCTCGGACGCACCGGGGGCAATATCTCCCGCCCCGCGCCGCGCGGACGGCCCGACGGACACGGAGCGGGTCGGAAGCGCGATCCGGAGCGGCTCTTGGACGTCTTCGGCGACTTTTGCTTTGTGCCCGCTGCGTTGCCCGCACCGCCGCGCCCGTACGTGCGCTGCTCGTGCGTCAGCGTCAGCTGTGTGGGGGAAAAGGCGGGGCGTACGCGGGCGTTCCGGGAGGCCTCTTGACGGGCGGCGACGACCAGCGCTCGTACTCGGCCTCTGCCTCTGCCTGGTCGTCACGAGCGAGTGTCAACGCATGTGGCCGTCGCCCGAGAGGGTTGGCGGCGCGGGCGATCGATGTCGAGCGGATATTCCCAGCACCCCCGCGCCCTGTGGACTTTGCCTGCACGATCAATTTGCTCGAGTCAGCTGCGGAAAATCTGTGCGAGTGAGGACGCACGGAGTCGGGGTTCACCGCGGGCCTTCGCGCCGCGAGCCATGGAGAGCTCGTCGTGGTCGAACGCGCCCGTCGGAGAGGTCGGGGTGCTGGGCGGGCGGGTGAGGTCATCCTTGGATGCGCGCCTGATGTTGCCGACCCCGCCGCGCCCAGATGAGTACTGCGAAAAAGTGAGTCGTGTGCCCGGTAGTGAGAGGGAGGCGACGCACGAATTCGCGGCCGCGGGAGACGGAGCGGGTGGACGAGCGTGCGGTCGAGCCCGACGAACCAGAGGTGCGGGATATGATGCTGGCTGCGTCTGTCATGGCGAGAGGAGTAAGTTAGGAATGTAGCAAAGGAAGAAGTGCTAAATAGGGAGGGAGTGTCGGTGTCCGGGAGGATGCAGCCCGTGATAGGGGTAAGGAAAAGCAGAGGACGGGAGACAGCGTCCCTGAAGAGGGAACGGTGAGGACGCCCTGGCGGTGCCCATCGCGCGAAAACAGTTCTGTGCGAGCTCAG